AAATAAACTCCTAGCGTTGTTCCATATTTCTTCGGCTCGATACACCTTAAAATTCCGTAAACCGCCAAAACCACAAAATCAGTAAAAGTTATGCTTGTCTTTGCTTCTGCGGTCATCCAGCTTCCTCGAAAACCAGTGGTGTACTTTATATGTTAGTACTCAAAGATACATCAAGAATTTAAGTCAGGGTTATTCAAACCTTTACAAAAAAGAATTACTAACTAAAGTGTATTCAACCATACTACCATCCTAAGGATTTGATTCCTTTGTTTTATGGTATGTTGTTTTCAAACGTTACTGCTTGAATGTAATTGGAATTTTGCGGCTTATTTGGAATGCAGCGGGGACTGATAAAATAGAGAGGACATCAGGAAGCTGAAAATATCATATCTTACCTTATGTTGGTTATCTCGACTCTTTACGCAAATTTGTTCAAATCTCTCACCCCTTACACAAAGCTCGATAACCACCGATAGAAATGAGTTTCACATAGGGAATAAATGTTCGTAGCCATTGGCAGGGGACAATTTAGTAACCAATAGCCTTAAAATCCCTGAGAAAGCATGTAAGTCCAATCGTTAACAATACTTATGCCGTACGCGTAATTGTGAGCTACAATCGCATGTAATTTTTATTAAAATTCAATTTTTCAATAATTAATTGAGAATCTTTGCACCAAGATATGCCCGTCCGACATTAACCCCGTTATTACCATCTACACATCATACAAAGGGTCTTTTAAAACTCTATTTATAGGAGCTTTTCCTACCATTTTCGAATGTACATTTACTATAGAAATTTGATTTTTTGAATCACTTTTTATTATATCCTGTTATTTATTTTTTAATGATGATGTTGTAAAATGTGTGTACCTACATCATCCTGTAACATAATTACTTTTTTCGGCCAATGACCAATGGCTGAGAAAAATATGTAAGAAACCACAATTCCGGTTCTCGTATAATATCTAGCCTCTGTTGCGTATAACATGGGTGTATTTCAATTGCAATTACGAACTTTACAGCGCTACCTCTTCTTTAGCAACCTAAATTATGTTTTCAATGATTACAGCTGAGATTCTTGGAAAGCAAAGGTATTGAATGTAGAATGTGTGAATGTGGTCACCCTTTTGTTGGTGTCCAAAAAATGTCCTAATTACTATTTTCGGTCAATTACGAAGACGGAACAAGGCAAGAAAGGCGTCTTAGCGGCGCGCCAGGCCACCGCAAGGAAGCGTTGCACATGCCCCACCGGCAGCGACAGGCAGATGTTTTAGCACCTGGCACCACGCGCCTACCGCGATATTTGGAATGACTTGACAGATGCTGATGTTTGCTGTTGAAACTTTTTTCCCGCCCAATGAGCTGCAGGCTTCGTAAACTGAGAATTGAAATACGTATTTTTAGAGAGCGCCTTTTCAGACAGTTCGATTTGCTTTCCAGTCATAAAAACATTTTTCCAGATTCCATTATTTATGATATCTACAACATTGAGTAGATAATAATCTACCTAGGCAAAATTACTTTTTTAATAGCTGGAATTGATTGTTCGTATCCACTATATTAGGACTATTGTCATTCAGTATATACTTAAATGATTTGTGCGATATCCAAACAACTGGAAAAATTGCCGACGATACCATCATGCTCTACAGTGCAGAAAATTGTAGTCAACTAGAACCAGTTTATGCAAATGAACTTAATACTATAATAAATTTCTTTAAATCTCATCTTCTAGTGGTAAATTATAACAAAACGTATTTTATGCCATTTTCATCATATCCCAAAAATTTGCCTGGCTACCAAGCATTAAATTGTATCAATGAAAGTACTGACGAAGTAATTTTACAGTTTGAATTATATACGATAGATGTCTATATGTATAGACCCACATCTCCGTTGGGATGCACATATACAATACAATACATTGTCAAAAGACTCAGATTTCTTCTTTATAAAATCAAAAATAATAAGTAGTTTCTGGCAGAAAAATAATTGATAATTCTTTATTATACATTAGTCGAAAGTCATATAAATTAAGGTACCAAAATTGGAGGAGCAGCCAAAAAAACTTACATTGATGCTCTAGAGTCTAGAAGAAGCACTTAAACTAATCTTAGAAACAATACACAATAAACTCAAATACTTGGTATTAAAACTATGTTCTTACTCCATGGCCCCAGACCATTTTTTAAATGTGTTGAACACAAGTATGTATCGTACAAAAAATAGATATAATTTACTGAAAATTCCCCAATCAGGTAAGAACTCATTGCTACGATGTTGGACCTTTCTATGTCCAAGATCTTATAACCTTCTACTACCTGAAACAAGGAGACAAACCAATATTAACAAGTTTGAAAAAGACAAAGAAAGTATATACTTACTTTTATCATTCAGGATATCTACTTACTTCTGCAAATTAAATATTAAGACATTTCATTGTGCTTACCTTCAACTTACGTTAAAACATGTATATCTTGCAAATGTATGTACAAAAGAACATATATTCATATTCATATATATTGTTATATTAATGAATGTGTTATTATTACATCTTTAGATTGTGTAAGATATACAAATTTGATGTATTGTGAATATTATGGCCCATGCACAAGGAACTTATATTAATTTCTATGAGATCGTACATATTTATTCCAATATTAGTTGTCAACATTTTGAATAAATATTATTATTTACCAATGTTGTAGTGCAATTTAACAACTCTTATGTGTTGAGATAAAGCACATTTAGATTTCATACCTGGAAGGAAAACTCCCATCCTTTGTATTTCTCGCCTAAGAAATCAGCCAATACGATTTGATAATTATTAAAAACGCCTTATGGACTTGTTGGATGGACCGTTCTTATAACAATAAAAAATTATATGGAATAAAAACGGAGAGATTTATTATTTTCCCATTCAGTAGATTTAAACTACACCCAAAAAGTGCGCTCTACATTATTGGCTGTAAACTCATTATCGATTATTTCAGGGTCTCTCCTCTAACAATGAACTCACACGACTGTATTGAAATTTGCACAAAACTTTCGAAGCATTTTGTTTACCAAGACGACATTAGTGAGGGGTGGTGGTTGACGTCAACACATGGTCACGTGCGACATCCTCTTTTCTTCCCTGAACGACAAAGGCGGATCTAAGCGGTGTAACTACTCGTGTTATTAAAAGTGTCTTAAATGAAATTGCAGGTCCTCTCACAACTTTAATTAACATGTCTGTCTATCAAGGCAAATTTCCTAAATCCCTGAAGCTTGCGATAATAGTTCCCGTTCCAAAAAAGGGAGATCCTACTCAAGTTGATAATTACCGCCCCATAACATTGTTGTCAATCTTTTCTAAAATAATCGAAAGAGCGATTTATTCAAGAATTTTGGGATATGCTGAAAAATTCAACCTTATCCCAAGCTCGCAGCATGGATTTAGGAAACTTCATTCAATAGAGACAGCTACTTATGAGTTTGTATGTCAGATATATAAACAGCTCGATATGAATAAATGTATCGCGGGCATCTTTTTTGACCTTTCGAAAGCTTTCGATACAATTGACATTGGACTTCTCGAGGAAAAATTATTTTATTTAGGTTTAAGAGGTTTTATATTAGATTGGGTAGTGTCTTTCCTGTCTGACAGGAAATTCAAAACAAAAGTTAACGGAATTACATCCGCAACGTACAGTATCGACATTGGAATAGCGCAAGGCTCAGTTTTAGCACCCCTTGTATTCATTCTGTATATAAGTGATTTGCATCTCTCTGGATTTGTAACAAATTATGCGGATGATACATCAGTTCTTGTAAGTGGAACCTCACGCAATGACATTATTGCAAAAATAAATGGAGTAAAATGTGAAATGAAAGGGTGGTGCCAAGCAAATCGTTTGATTTTAAACCTCGAAAAGTCAGATGTTGTACATTTTTATACAAACGCCCCTATTCTAGCAAATCATGAGACATCGAAAACTACGACATTCTTGGGAATAGAAATGGATGCAAAGCTCAGTTGGCAACAACACATGGACAGTGTGTGTAAAAAGTTGAACCAATCATATTATGCGATTCTTAAGATCAAGTTTTGCTTATCAGAGTCAGCTTTACTAGATGTATATTATGCTCTCGTCCACTCACATTTATCAAGGAACATCATAATTTGGGGACAAGCAACTTCAATTTCTAGAGCATTTGTTCAACAGAAGAGAATAATCAGACTGATATTCAACATTCGTAGAAGAGAATCCTGCAGAGATATCTTCAGAAGTAAAAACATCATGACTCTACCAAGCATTCATATTTATAAGTGCGCCCTTTTCGCACATACAAACAAAACAAAATTTATACAGAACAGAAACATCAACACACATTATAATACAAGGGCAGGTGAGAGTCTTACTATTCCAAAACACACACTGACGCGGTTCGAAAAGTCACCGGAATACACCTGCATCAGAATATATAACAAACTTTCAGCTAACCTCAGGAATGTCAGTAGTATTCCTAGTTTTAAATGTAAACTACGCAAATTATTAGTTGAAAAATGTTTCTATTCTTTGTCTGAATACCTCGCACTGTGATATATTTTTTAAACTTTTTTTATATGTGAATGTCTGTACGCATTAAGTTGTCCCTGTTTGTACTTTGTAAATACTTATGTTTGTTTCGTTTTTATTTTTAGTTATGTGTACTATGTACCTCCCTCTTAGGACGAGTCTTATGTCATTTTTTATGATCTACAAGACAATAAATGTATCTATCTATCTATCTATCTATCTAAGCTGACGCAAACTGTGGGCTGAGCCTCAGAATTTAAGAGTAAACAAAAGTTATGTTCCCAAAATTATGATGCTTCCGTGCGCAAATGAAATCTCACAAACATGTTTGAGTGCAGGCCTTTCCCCCATCCCTATCCTACGATATAAAAAGAACCTTGACGATTATGATAAAGAACATTTCAACGGAACTATAGTTCGGACTTTTCTTTTTCAGGACTGTCATGGGGTGCCGAAAAGCCAAGGTAATGCACCCGTCAAGGACGAGATAGACAATTACACATTGATGAGAGGAATGCAGAATGGTACTCACACTATCATTGAATTCCGAAGAGTACTCGACACTTGCGATCCTCACGATTATGTACTATCGGTAAGTTTCAACTGTGGCAGTTTTTGAATGGTTAATAGTATACCAACTGATTAAACAAAACAAGAAAGAGCATAGTTACTGAGATACATTTCTGGTAATTATATGACTCGACGATAGACATCAGAGCCTGAATTGTATTTATATTGTCTAACAAGTATACCAGGGGAGACTATCAAATTTTAACGGGAAATTTCGGGGTTTAACTGAATACGTTACTGTGTTCTTTGTCAGGACGGTTAAGGGACGTATCTGCACTCACCTGCACAATTTTTAAACCTTCTGATGTGGAGAAAGGCTGACAATATTTTTATTATTGCTAGTTATGAAATTTTAACACTTATAACAAAGCAAAATTACCACCATTAGTATCAAACATGATAAAAACAAATCTCTTATCACAATACAATGACTAAACTATACAAACAACAAACAAGTATGTAGATAGAGGACTAAGTTTTAATACGAAATAGCAACTTCTTTGATTCAGCTTCTGCTTGTGTCAGATCTATGTTAACAAATTTGTAGGTAGCTTTATACAATTTTGACATCACAAACACACTGATATATACATATATATATATCACTTTTTTATAGCTACAAACTCTGAAATTGCTCATGTCGATTTTCCGAGATTGATCTAAATAACTCAAGTAGGTAGTTGAAGAGAAATTAGCCTATATCTCAGTAAGGAAGCCGTAACCATAAACTTTTTTGTAAAAAGCTAAAAAATCAAAAACAATTGAAAATCAAACAACGTATAATAATAATGGGTCATTTTGTTAATACACAGTAGTTTGAGCTTATTTCACTAGGACTCTCAAAAGTCCATTCAATGGATCCGGGTTCCGTGGATTGAGCCTAGCCCTATATATCTACCTATGCGTACGAACTATACATTCTTTCTCTTTCAGGGTGATACGGTTAGGGTCATATGGGCTCTCCACGATTCCGATCCACCCAGAGGAGCCGAATTTGTGTATCATGAGAACAAAAGAGGATCTCAAAGCATACATCTCATGGGTCCCCCTCCTGTTCCAAAAATGCCAGCTGGACATTACAGGCATTGGGACATTGCTTTCGAAAATGTAAGTGTCCACGTTAATAAATTTTATTCTTATTTCCACAGCATCAGATGAAATCCAGGTTGAAAAGATGTTACTCTATTTGTTATACTAAGTGACATATAAATCCGAACACCCAGTTTAAATGGTTTTATTTTAACAAAATTTGATGAATGTATTTATCTTACTGTAAATAACAAGTGAAAAAATTTTCAGCCTTATCAGTTGGACATTCCGGTTTTTATACTGTTTTTTTTTTAATTCACTAACGCTCTAAAAATGAATACTTCAGCCGCAGTAAAGAATCAACGTTGGCGGATTTTGGTTGTTGACATCCTTTACGATCGGTTACGATGCCTAGAGTACGGAGACCTGTACGATTTCGTCAACTTAGTGAGTTTGATAGGGGCCGTATAGTGGGACTTCGGGAAGCTGGACTTTCTTTTCGGGCAATTGCAGTTAGAGTGCAAAGAAGTGTAGACACTGTGGTTAGGTGTTGTCAGGCATGGCTTCGAGAAGGCCGTACGCAAAGAGCAAGGGGCACTGGACGCCGCCGTAGAACAACAAACCCTGAAGATCGCCGCCTAAGATTATTGGCCTTAAGGGACCGTTTCTCCACTACCAGGTCCATTGCAAATGAATGGTTTGCAGAACACGGAAGACCTATTGGCATGCGAAGTGTTTACCGACGAATGAGAAGTTTTGGCTTGTTTTCATACCGGCCACACTGGGTCCTCCCTTTAACTCGAGAACACCGACGTAATCGCCTTGAGTGGTGCAGACAACGGTCACTCTGGGATCAGGAATGGAACAGTATTGTCTTTAGTGACGAGTCTCGATTTTGAACCCCATCTTTTACCCTATCTTGACACCCTGGCAGATCCAACTTTCCAACAAGATAATGCCCGACCACATGTTGCAAGAGTCACAATAGACTTCTTTCAACATAATGATGTCACATTGTTACCATGGCCACCAAGATCTCCCGACTTATCCCCAATTGAACACGTGTGGGATATGATGGGTAGGAGATTGCTCAATTTGCAACGTCCTCCTCAGACTCTAGAAGCACTTCGAGAGTAGTTGGTGGTTGCCTGGAATGAGATACCACAGGAGGACATTGACCACCTGATCAGAAGCATGCCTAGGTGCGTTGGAGAATGCGTAGCACATCAGGGTGCATCCACACATTATTAAAGGTCAAAGGGCTTTAAAGCAGTGCAATCATTTTGAAATTTTTATCATTTACCTATTATGCTTCATTAAGTACTTATACAAAATTTTATTAAAATAAAACCATTTAAACTGGGTGTTCGGATTTATATGTCACTTAGTATAATATTGGCTCATGCGTCACTCAGAATAAAGTTGAGTAAATATCTTGAATACTCATTTGTGCAGTTGGGTGAACTATTCTGCAAAACATCGCAATTTGAGGTACCCACAGTTACTCGGTAGCGATGAGGTTCTCTAGTAAAATAATCAGTACAGTTTTCCAATTTAACTATAAATGCACTTTAAAAGATTACACATATGGGCGTTGGTTACAAGGCGCGTTGAAACGCGGGTTGTGAAAGTGCATTGTAGCATCACATTAATGGAAATGGAACAAGACACAGTATTCGAGCATCATAGAGGGATACCTAGGTTAGCTTAAATAATTTGTAATATCCGAAAATGCCATTTCTGCAGTTACTGCTAGCTGGTAGCTGGCAAACTTTTAACGAACAATTTGTAGATTACCTGGGATTGGAATCAGATCGACTGCATTAACAGAACTGTGTATTGTTATAATAACCACAAATCAACGCTGAGTACTAAACTTGCGCGTTATATTGGATAAAATTGGTTCCTAGTTATTTCGATTATTCAGACTTGATGTTTGAAGTAGGTCAAACGAGAATTTTAGAACCTTTGGAGGAGTCGTAATTAACCCATTGCTGTCTCTACCTCATAGTTATCGGAAAGATGAAAAATGTCGAAAAGTCTGTGCTGCCTACTGAGAACCAGGCCATGTTTACAGCGTGGCTAGCTTAGAGTAGCTTAAGCACTAGTAATTAATAATCCCGATCTAAACATGGACATTGTTATTGCGTCAAACGTTAACACCATGCTGCCTAGATAACTGGCAATCATGTCAAAGATACCAACGATTGGTCAAATAAGGAATTTAAGCTTAGTAAAATTTTATTTTGAAGGAGACATTCTCTTTCGTTGCCAAACTAAATCGTGTCATATTTCGCGTAAAACCGTTAAGCAGCCGCGAGAGGTGTGATTTGTAACCTTATGAAAACTTGAAACCTGTAATCTATCTCATATCTATGTAACTTTTAGTGTCCTGCATGTAATATTACACAAGTTTAGTAGTCGGCATGACATTTAAAGTTTTTCTAAGCTCAAATTACTTATTATATGACGAACCGTCCATGTATTTGACATTGTTGGAAGTTATCTCGACAGCTTGAGCTTAAAGGGTTAACTTAGCGCACTGTTTGAATAGACCAGTGCTCCGTCATCTCTTGAAACTGATGTCAGCTTAGTCAAATCAAAATTTCCAAAGGCAACCTTTCAATTTAATACTGGAAATAGACAAAGCAGAACATTTTACGTCCTAGTCTAACCTTGACCATGAAATCAAGGTCGTGTCATTTTTTAATATCATTTGAGGTCAAGGTCACATTCAGAAGTAAAATTTCCATTTATAAAATTGAGGTGTTTTCTTTAGAAATTGTGACTTGACCGTGAAGGACAATGTCATGGTCATTGTCAAGGTCACCTTTGGGTGATCCCCACAAACCTCAAATCTGTGCTATCGAACATTTTTGCTAAAGCAAACTGTTTTCGATGTATTGATTTGACCTTGAAATGGTCTTGAAGGCAATGGTCAAAGTCATGGCCAGTGTGATGTTTAAAAGTAAAATTTGGTCCTCTTTTCAATACCGATGTTAAGAAGGGGGTTCCATTTGAAATTATTATTGGCCCTGAAAATAGCTCAAAGATCGTAGTCAAGGCCATTATCAAGATCACCATCATTTTGCCCCCTCGAAACCCTATGACTTTTGTTTGAAACTTTTTTCTAGAATGCGCAGTTTTCGAAATATTTTGATGGGAAGATTAAATTGGGACACCGTGTATATTGATTCTCGATAGGCAGCGCTACTTGTCGGAACTTTTGGATGTTGCTACCAATCAACCAATCACATTATCGTCATTATTTTTTTGTAGCTGAAAATTCCTTCAACATCTCCTACATCCTACTGGTGCAAAGTTTTCAAAGCTCCAACATTAGCCCGAAAACATCACATAGTGGGCTTTGAGCCCATCCTGCCAGACAAAAGATCGTCTGGAGCATACGCGGCACACCACATGATCGTTCACGAATGCCTACTGGATGATGATGAGGACATAATGGTCTGGGAGGAATACGCGAAAGAGAAAGGAAGACAGTGCTTCGTTGACATGCCTGTTAAGTGGGAGAGGTGTCTTACACCTTTGGTCGCGTGGGCTATCGGATCCAAGGGTAAGTGACAAAAAGAAAGTTGTACTAAATATCACAACGAGTATGAGTTGGAAAACGTGTATTTTACTTTATTAAGCAATACTCGTAAAGAGCATTAGCAGTCACAAGTACCGCATATATGTTAACTCCATTTGATCTTGACAAATGACAAGACGTTTACGTATGCACTATTTATGATTGCCAAAACTCTGTAGTTATTTGTTTTTCAGTTGTAATACTCAAGAGATCATTGTACACAATGATTACCTGAATAGTCCAAAGTTTCAATTTCGAAGGAACAAATTGAAGATTAGTTTGTCGACGGTAAAAGACTTTGTGATTTTTATGAATAGATTTTAAGTAGCAATTAATAAAAACAAGTAATTCCAAACGACATTATTGAAAACATATATGTAATAAAAACAAGTAATTCCAAACGATATTATTGAAACAACATTTGTTCAATTGTTAGTTTTCATACAATGTTATTACCATAGCAAGAACAAGAAAAGCTTCATAATTTTTAAAAGTGACGGCAAAGTTGCAACAGAAAAACAAATAAAAAGATACAATTATACAGTATGTTGCCAGGAAAATTGGAGGGGCAGATTTAGCACGTTATAGTATAAGAATATATACGTTCAAATACATAAACATAATTCCGAAAATTCTTCATTTGTAGATTATACTTCTCCGTTTCTGACAACTCGCGTTTGTCCAATTTTTCCAAAAAAAAGTTTCTCAGAGACCTATAGATTCTACTTAAAAAGTACCTTCAGACGTTTTCGAAATAAACTATGCATCGTCACCAAACGTAGTTATCGCGATAGCACTTTTTGAACGATCATAACGAAAAACTCCAAAAGACACCTTTCAATCATAATCAATATTCCAATAAATAAGCAAGTTCTGAACATGAGCAGGAATCTCTTGTAACGCTATGTTCCAGCGATTTTATTTCCGCCGACATTAAAGCAATTTACAAAATCTACGACTACCTAAACGATGGACGTAATAAACTCGCAATAATTTTCGAACTTCGGTTCACAAGTTTTCTGTTGCTTAAATATATCCGTCCGTGCTTTTCATTTATGTCGCTTTGCCAGTCCATGTCTATTGTGTATCAATGCGTCATAAGTACTAAGTCAATCTACTTGACGAAATATGCAGAGAACCATCATAGACACAAATTTAAGGTAAGGCGAAAAGGGCGGTACATTTAAGGATCGTAAGATTAAGAAAAATATATGTGTAGATATAAAAACGGTTAACACATCATTATTTACAAAAGCATCGCAGAACGATAAAGTGGTACGTACTCCTAATATCCAAATGTTGCTAAAATATATAAATATTCTCCTGTAGCCAGGCCCGACGAGAGAGGGGGGGCATCGGGTACTATTCCCACCGGGCCCGCACTTTTCAAGGGGGCCCGGCCTGACGCTCAGACTGAAAAATCAATTCGAAAGAAAAAAGTTGTGTTCATAATAATATGCACGTGTAGCATCATATCATAAGTGAATTTCATGGGACGCAAAAAAAACGTAACGAAGTCGTGCCTGGAGCCTCTGAAGAAAATTCTTCTGCTGAAGAAATCGACTTCAAAAGAAATACTTTCTTAGTCATCATGGATTCGATCATCACAGGAATAAGACACAGGTTTTTGGCAATCAGAGACATTAATAACAAATTTTCGTTCCTGTGGCTATTACCGAACATGGAGATTGAGGACGTTCAGACTGCAGCGCTTCAATTTGTTGAGAAATATTCGGTTGATGTGTCTAACGAAATATCATCAGAATTAATCCACTTGCAAAACGTCTACAAAGCTAATTTCATGGAAAAGTCTTCAAGTTGTATGACTCCATTCGATTTGTTGAATGCAATAACTGCTAAAAATTTGGACACACTTTTCCCTAACATCTGCGTTGCTCTGCGAATATTCTGCACGCTGCCAGTCTCAGTTGCTAGCGCTGAGCGATCATTCAGTGTTTAGTCAAGAATTAAAAATTATCATCGTTCTTGTTCAACGCAGATTCGAGTTTCAGGACTAGCGACTTTATGTTTGGAATCTGAACTAGCACGACAACTAGACTTTGAAGTTCTTATTAAAGCATTTGCTTCAGCTAAAGCAATAAAAGCTAACTTCTGAATAGTTTTGTAAATTTATAGGCAGAGTTATGATTCTGTAATTGTCACAACATTCGCTTCGGTTTCCCCGGGTCCGGATTTTCTCTATGCGGCCCTGCCTGTAGCGAAGTGTCAGTGACGTCTCCACCGCAGATTCACCAGCCGGCAGTGGCCTTCCATGATCATTTAATTTTCCCCTTGTTACGGGGATCAGAAGCTCCTTAATGATAGAACGTCCTTGACTAATACTAAAGACGTAAAATTTACAACCCCTATAACTCCCGCGGTAGAACCCCCATCAAAATGTTTCCGATAATGATCAAAAACGTCAAAAAACGAAGATTGAGCAATTTTCTAGAAAACTAGAGTGCTTTTTGATCCTGGGTGAAAATCAAAATCAGAGGAGTACTTCTCAAGTTATAAGCGGTTAGAGAGAAATGAGCAATGACATGGTTTTTCGTTAAGATTTCATGTAACATCCAAAAAACATAACACAACTTCGAAATCTTTCGCGATTACAATACTTTCTCGCCAGTAAAAATATGTTACTTTGGCAATAAAAGCCTCTAGTATGTGTCGAATCGCTGATAGTTTTTCGGTTGCGTGGGGAATACGAAGTCGAACTTCTCGACACTATCTTTTATACAAAAAATCTTTTTTTGTATAAATTGATGGTAACACTATGATTTTTAATGTAACTTTTGAAGAGTATCCTGTAGTTTTCATGTTCATAGGACTCTGTCCAAAACACATAAATGTTTTAATTTCTCTTTATTGTACGACGTTTTCGCTACCACGGTGGCCTTTTTGTTTACAGTGACAATTAATGACTGAAAGAAAGATTAAAACATATATGTGGTTTGATTCGGCCAGACAATGGAGTCCTACTATTGTTTTGACAAATAAGCATTGTCCACTACTTGCCTTCTCTGATCCAAATAATATATTTACACATTTTTTACAGGCGAAAACTTCCCCCAACACGTGGGTCTCCCACTCGCGGGCTCCAAACGATCATACTACATGGTGGAGGCTCATTTCGACAACCCCACAGGGAATACTCTAACAGGCACCTGGGGACTCAGACTGCACTACACGGGAGAGCTGAGAAAAAACGAGGGAGGCATGATGATGGCCGGTGTGGTGCCTTCAACCCTACACTTTGTTCCGCCGTTTCAAAAGGAATATCGTACGGCCGGGTACTGCAGCATAGGTTGTACCAGAGAGGTGGGTAAAATAACTTTGAGATTAAATTAGATTTTTTTATGAAAGTCAAAGATCATTTTAAAAACTAAAAACAAAATGTAGATGAATAGTTAATAGTAAATACAAAAGTTTTTTTGTCGGAATAGTTGTCTACTATTTAGCACATCTTTTAATTTTCAGATAATTCCTAAATCTGGGATAAATATCGTGTCGGTGATGCTGCATTCACATCTAGCAGCAAGAAAGCTCAAGCTGCGTCACATAAGAGGGGATAAGGAATTGTCACCACTTGCAGAGGTATGTTTGTTTTACTTTGGAACAAATATGATGATTAATCTCAGTAACGGCACACCAATTATAACGAAATTTGGAGAGCAAGATACTGCATTTTCGAAGACAGATAGAATTTGAGATTATTATATACCCTGACGTAGTCGAAAAATTGGTTGAGGGGTAAATTTAGATATTTTTCCTAATTTGTTGTTCATTACTTTCAATTTTATGTTCGATTCAGGGCTTAATTAAAAACATTTTTCGAGGGGATACGGAATTTTAAAAGTCTCAAGACTCATTTTCATATGGGAAATTTTTAAATCGAGGTATTGTTTGTCTGGTATATGTCATGTATATCACGCCAAGGATGGAAAACCTGTGCAAGTTTTGAAAGTTAGTCTACTTTTATAGATTTGTGAACGAAACACAAAATATTCAAGAGTGTAGCAAATTTCGTTTTCCGATGTTTCTCGATATTTTATTTTTGGGCGTAATCATAAAATTATCTTGGCTGGTTCGAATTTTAAAAATATATTAAATTTTGGTTTCAGCTGTTCACAATATCTGACAACTTTGGGGTGCTGTGGTTTGATCAAATTGATATGGAATCATGCGTTCCTTATACTTGTCATAATAACTTTTTTGTACCCAAAACTTTAGACAGATTTATATAACTGCGTGGAAAGTGCTGTCATCCGCTTGACTCCACTTTCTTGCAAATCAGTACTGGTAATTTTATAGATAGAAAGTAATTTTATTCTTCTCGAAAAGAACGGTTGGTGAAGGCAATAAGACCTACGTATGAAATAAGGCACACATGCCTCAGCTATTCTATGACCAGACATAGTAAAAATAGGAGCATAAGCAACGATTTTTATAATAATAAAATATATCTCCCATAGGACGGCCGGTACGATTTCAACTACCAACAATCCCGCCGCCTATCCCAGGACATCCCAGTACTTCCTGGCGACGGTCTGATCACCGAATGCACGTACAACACCGAAGACCGTTCTGCCCCCACCGTGGGAGGGTACTCCACCAAGGAAGAGATGTGTCTGGCCTTCATCCTGCACTACCCCCGTACTGAGCTGGCAGGGTGCTACTCCATGCCGCCTGTCAAGTACTTCTTTGAGGCGCTTGGTATCAGGGAATTCTACGGGAAGGACATGAGTGATATCGAGAAGGCTTTCTTGGAAGGAAGGTAAACCTTTAATTTTAGTCGTTAATTTAGTATTGGTTATTATGTGTGTCTAATGGCAATCAGTCAAGCAGAAAGGATGAAATGCAATGAGTAGCCTTCCATCATTCAAAAACCAAGGTGGAATCATTATGAGCGATTACAAAACACTCGTAAAGCTCTTTATTGCCAGCTGCATCATATGGACGTCTCCTCCGATATTCAAATGCTTTTGTCATGATCTTTTTATACTGTCTCACAAAACCAACACTTTTCCAGGAACGTAAGACTTGGATTCAACTTGTCCCAAATAGTCTCAAAAACAAATCTAAGCAACTACAAAATCAGCAAAGTAATGAAATAAAAAGTGAATACAGAGCTTTTGACATATGCTTTTATAAACTTGTCTCTGAAATAGGATAAAAAATAAATAAAGCTTTTAGATCTGGCGATCTCGGTGTCCAAACACCTTTTGACATGTCGCGTTAAAGGACTCATTTTCTGAGTTGACACTGGACTGCTGTTTGGACATTTCTAAAATCTGATCTAAGGTGAAACATACAAATTTGGATAACGTTACCCCATCTATTGTTTACAGTGTGGAGACAGAATCATTGCCAACAACAACGCCAAAACTTTTCGAGACGAAGCCAGGCGATGAGTTGTCCCCAGAGGCCAATCAAAAGGCGATACTAGCTTTACAACAGGCAAAGGATTACAGTATCGTTGGACAAATTTCGTCACCCAAAAAGATTTTTGACAGACTGGTTATCAAAGAACCTCAAGAGTTCAGGAACATGTCTTTGACTCAACACCTCCATCGCATGCCTTACAATGACAGTAGTTTCACGACGAAGATGGAAGAATATTTCTACAAAGGGCTGCATTTGACGTTTTGCAGGAAACGAGATGATAGCTTGGCTATAGTAAGTAGTAATTTTTGCTGTAAAAGCTACATAGGGTAATATATTTCATTTGTTGCTAATAACTCAAATGCTTATACGTAGGTTTACAATTACATTACCTACCACTGAAATTTGTAGAACAATTTGGATGTTACAAAAGTTTAATTTCTGACTTCCATTGTCTGTACAATTCTGGAGATCTTTAAATGGTGTCTTCAATCCTCATCAGAGGAACTGATGTGTACTATGCGTTACCGTGGCGTAGATGACGTGAGCAATTGGTGGTGATGACTTGTCCTTTGTGAAGGTCCCGGTCGACCCAACTGGACCTTCCTGAATTTGTCGATGTATCTTCACTGTTACTGCTAATGGTCTTTTTGCGTTGCCAATACTTGTTTTCCACACTGACATGAGGCCTAGTGTATGCAACCCTTCTTTTCTTGACTTCGTTTCTCTCAAAGAATACAACCCTACGCATCGTACTCACAACGGTCAAGCCAAGAAATGAATTTTAAGAGACGAAGGATTGTAAAAAAAACATTAGCAGAAAGAGTGAAGGAACATCGAATCAACTCTCAACGCGAGGTTCGAGTATAAGTAGCCACGGAAGGAAGAGGTTCAGCAGCTCACCTAAAGACGATTGAAGATACCACATCAATCGTAACGTCGTGATCTTAAAAATTGTATATAGTCTAATCATATTAGACGAAAATATCCCTTGTTTGCGAAATAATTGTAAAGTCTGGTTTCATTGTTGCAAGTTGTTCAAGGGGGTATTCAAAACATGGACGCATAAAATGGGTGCACCAATTTCTGTGGGAAAACTTTTTATTCGACAACAAAGAAATAGAAAACGTGTTTTTTGGGATTCAATGGAAAGTATTGACAGGAACGAAAAAACTCTTGAAACAAGATGTTTAGGTATTTGTGAGACCTACAAAATGAGACCACACGTAAACAGATCCGACTAATAGCAAAAAAGTTATCTCCGAAAACCGAGGCAAACTGCAGGTTTGGGCACTTGTTGGTAATGCGACGATGGTTTCTCGCTGATACTTGTAATTCCTCAAATTCGTAGGATTCGTACTTCTAAATAGCCACATCAGAATTGGAGTAGATTGGCCAAGTAGTATTCGAGAATTTCTAATTGCTTATCCCAAAACACCTGTCTTCCGGCCATCACTACTAGTTTATTGAGTAATATAGGGTTAGTTCAAAGGGCATTTTATAGAAAAATACACTAGTTTACCTTTCCGATATAAATCGCAAAAAATTCCGTAAGATAAATGTTATTTTTAAGCAAAAAAGTATGGGTTACATTTTTTCTTCTAAACAAATTCAAACATTTCGTATTTGTGAGTCATTCGCAACAAAAGGTGATAGACATATCCGCTTTGCTTTAAAATGTGTATAGTAACGTATGTTTTCCGAATATCGTAGCGCATTTGTTCGATGACTCACAAATAGGAAATGTTTAAATTTGTTTAGAAGCAAAAAAACGCAACTTTTGTTTTTCGCATAAAAATAACATTAATCTATCGGAATGGTTTGTGATTCATATCGGCAAGGTAAACACATGTATTTTGCTATTAAATGTTATTTGAACGAACCCTGTATATTGCTCAATAAACTAGTAGTGATGGCCGGAAGACAGCAGTTTTGGGATAAGCAATCAGAAATTCTCAAAAACTACTTGACCCATCTACTCCAATTTTGATGTGGCTATTAAGAAGTACGAATCCTACGAATTTGAAGAATTTTCGTCGCATTACCAACAAGTGCCAAAACCTGCATTTTGCCTCGTTTTTCAGCCATATCTTATTACGTATGGTCTCATTTTGTAAGTATCATAAATACCTAAAAATCTTATATGGAAAGTTTTTTCGTTCCTGTCAACACGTTTAAATGAATCCCGAAAAACACGTTTTCTCATTCTTTGTTATCAAATAAAATGTTTTCCCACAAAACTTGGTGTACCCATTTTATGCATCCGTGTTTTAAATACCCCCTTGAGCAACTTAAACCAATAAAACCAGACTTTAGAATTATTTCGGGAAATTTGCTAATATGATTAGACTAATAGACAATGAAAGTCCGGAATCTTTTTAAACATCATTACCTATCTACAGGGAACCCTCTTTCTAACGTTGCTGAGATTATGCAACGGTATACTCCAAAACCGATCGATAGGCTGGAAGCTTTTCGTATAATATTATTTCTTTCTTTGCAGAAGGAAAATATAGAAAGTCTACCCAACTTCCAACAATACGAGAATAAGCCAGGTGTGGTATGTAGCCATAAAGCAAGGTCACAATTTGGACTCACATCTTCCTCGGTTCAGCCAATGGTTACAAGGACGATATATCATACTCTGATAGTTTTGACAATTTTTAGGATCTTTTCTTAACTTTAACACACAGAATTGAATTCAACAAGACATTCTAAAATTTCACTCATTTACTGTCGTAAGATTTCGTATGTAGGTACATGCTCATACATACTTGGACTGAGAGGTAGTAAGTATCTTGCTCGCGTAAGAAGGATTTGGTTATGTACACGACTTGTGTATGGCGACAATATCGCTTTTCATAATGATATATGAATGTCTCCGTTTGACCTCAGTTAAAAAAGAAAAACCCTTATATCCAACGTAGTCGAGTTTACTCTTGCGCGTGACAAACCTCATTTATAAATCGGTCCTGTAAAATTCTCGTTCTTCAAAGAATCCATTTGCGGCTGCAAAACTAGCCAGATTTGACAAAGCAGCAAGAATAAACGATTTCCAGAGAACTAAAATTATTTGAAACTTAATGAGGTAAATATCGAGAACAAATATTTTTTGTTCGCCATATTTACGACTATTCAGTTTTGACACTTATTCTAGCCTCTAGATCTAAAGGAGACTCTAAACTAACAGTATTTTCATTGCAACATGTCTATAATAATGGCAATTATGGCCATCAAGACCATATTGCAGCATATGCCCCGGCTAGTGTTCGTAAAATGTAGACAATTGCCAGAATTTTTGATCAGACGGGCTTCAAATTCACTCAAGAAGATTATCATTATAATACATTAATGCCATTAATATATGCTCGTAAAGATATAACGGAAAAGTCAAACTTGTGTAGCTATGTAGCTGGGCCGTATTAATAATTTTACCGAATCAGTGTTGCATGATCCTGCTGCTGTTACCGGCAAAGGTGACACTCTACTGGGACTAAATAACGCAGTACAAATAGTGCCCGTTTAGAAGCGCTTTAAAAGAAAGAGATTTCTCTAGATTTGCAACACAGAAGTCGTAGAAGTCTATTAGTAATCAGTTACTCGTGAAGATATGTAGGTATATCATTAAGGAGTATATATCATCAATCAATGTACATAAGACTGTTCATTTTTGTCCATATTTATTTCTAATTAGGATATTTTAGATTTAGTTTTATCGTATAGATTGCGTTAATGACATGAAAAGTTTATTTTGTTGGCGCTCAAATCGATATTATCCATTTTAGTAAGAATTTTTGAAAGTCCTCTGAACATAACTTTGACAACCCCATCCCCATCTTTGTATAATTTATTTATTTATTTTGTTTTGTTTCATGATTGTTTCTATTTATATTTGATTTATGTAAATAAGTAGAATTAGTTGTATATAACAGTGACATTACCAAATAATTAGTGACATATGTTTTGTTAGTTGTAATATATACATGCTGTGAATCATATAATTAGATCGCTTTTACACTAAGTGAAGAAAGTCAATTTTGTACTTAATAATATATTTATTCTCGCAGTAGTTGTTATTTTATTTCTGATCAAATCGTTCCAATTTAAGTTTTTTCGTTCTTGAAGAAGGAGAGAAAATCTGCTGGTTATACTATTTGAAACAGAAAAAAAAACCAAGATGGTCTTAGAGATTGAAGAAAACTCTACCATAGGCGTCACACTTTAGATTGATATTTCTGTATTGTTTTATTTTAGATATGGGCGCCGGCAGGGGAAGCCAAGGGTTGCGAGTCCACTTTGGGATTCCGACTGCTCACTCAAACTCTCATATTGTAAGACGATGATAGAAAGATAAACATGAAAACAACAAACCCACCTTATAATAAGATTTCAAAGTACCACCCTGTACCATTTTATTTTAATTATAAGGGTCGTACAAAAACAATTAGATATGAGCAACAATTTCAGGATAATACTTACTTGGTGATGGAATGACGAGTTGTCCTCCTTTGGCAAGCCATAAGTGCGATAGCACTTTATTGTCGGGCCACCACATATATTTGGGAAAACTCTTATGATTACGTCCCATGTTTGACTGACCCATAACTTGCACAGATCTACTAGTTACCATTACATTAGCCATACCCAAACTACCAGTAAGAATTCACCACACAAACTGAATCATGAGATCTTCATCGTGACAGATCATTGGATCGTTACACAGACATATCATTGAATCGTCAAACAGACAGGCCATTTGGTCGCTAGGTGTCGAGATAGATATGCTGAGTTGAACAATTTACGACGTTACCCCTAATCCATAGATAGCCGAGCAACATAACTATAATATATCCAACGAACGTACGGAGTAATAAATCGTCTGAAAGGCACGCGCCTCGTTCCTATTGGTCCATTTTCGGTATACAAGCCGCCAAGTTCATAATAGCGAAGAAGAATTTCCGAAGGTCTGTGGCGTGCGGTTGAGTTTTATTTTGCGTGCTTCATTCATTTTCGTGAGACAATTTTTTAAAAGGATATTTCGACATGAGTGGCTTATTAGACGAGGGCCAATTACCAAGAAAACGGGCAAAAATAGCCTTAGTCGGTTTCTGGAAAAGAAACTATTATAAATATTTATTTAGCTTCTCGGGAGCGCTATCCAACTGAAACTCAGACAGAACGTGTAGCCTTTGTTTCAATAGCATCAGGTCAGGATTTAGCTTGGAACTATAGCTTAAAAGGTTTTGTAGTTTGATGTATTACGCTAAATAATAGTTATTTTCTGTTAAATATCTTACCCACTAATGCATGTATGTATAATATATGCAAAATATATTAGTTTGTTTTCAGGAGCATCAATTAGCAGTGTATATAAAATTTTGGCAGAGCACAAAAGAAGCAGCAGTCTTTTTCCTCCCAATGTTTACCAAAGAGCCAGAGTAGTTTTTGACAACGTTTCACAAGAAACTAAGGCATTAATCCGAAGAAAAATCCACGAATTTTTCCTCCGAAACGAACTACCCACATTGGACAGAATTTTGTTATCAATAAACGACCACGACGACTTGCCAGACTTCAAAAGATCGACGTTGGCTACATTAATGAAGGAACTAAATTTTGTTGTACAAAAAACTTATTTTGGTTTTTATTTCTCCTTGAAAGTAAAATGCAAAACTAAAAAATTTTCACACACAAAAATAGTTTAGAGTTTTTTATGTTTAACATTCTTTATCTATACTTTATGGCTACACTAAATTTGCAATTTTGTTAAGATGAATCACCTGAAATTCGTTATTCGTATAATATGGTGCATTGAATTAACGAGTTTAAAGATTTAATGTAATTTTTAGTTTTGTAGGAAGGAAGCGAAATAACATCTTGAAAGAAAAGGACGAAACAATATGTTGGAGACGTAGATTCTTACGCGAAATCTGGAAGTATAGAGAAGAAGGCAGGAAGATATACTAGCTAGACGAGACTTGGCTCAATGCAGGGCACACTGTTAGCAAAGTATGGGTGGATTCATCAGTTGAGCATCCTCGGCAAGCCTTCCTGGAAGGTCTCTCCACGGGAATAGAAAATCCTTCAGGGAAAGGAAAACGGCTAATTATCTTACACATCGGATCTGATAATGGCTTCGTGGAAGACGAACTATTAGTATTTGAATCAAAACAAGCAGGAGACTACCACGCCGATATGAATGCCAGTTTATTTGAATGATGGTTTGAAAATATTGTAAGCCGTCTAGAAGAGAACGCTGTCATTCTTATGGACAATGCTTCATACCACAGTAGGCGTATTGATAAAGCACCAAACAGTGGAAACATGAAAGGAGAAATACAGGAATGGCTACGAAGGCATAATGTCCCTTTTGACAACGATATGGTCAAAGCAGAACTTTTAAATCTGGTCAAGCGCAATAAAAGTGCTGACAAGTACATATGTCATCGACGAAATAGCTAAATCTACCAATCGGACTATTTTACGCCTGCCTCCTTACCATTGCGAGTTTAACCCAATCGAGTTAATTTGGGTGCAAATTAAAAACGAAGTTTCCAGAAAAAACACAACTTTCAAGATCGCAGCTTCAAAGCAGCTTTTTTACACCGCGGTACAAAATGTTACTCCGGAAAATTGGAAAAAAGCAATCGAACATGTTAAGAAGGAGGAAGAAAAAATGTGGACAACTGACCAATGTATGGAAAGAGTGCTTGAACCAGTGATTATTAACTGAGGAAACGATTCAGAATCTTCAAATTATACTGATAGTGATAGCGATTAGTTAATAAATGTAATTACTAGATAATGACGAAGGACCTATATCCCTAAACATACTTGTATAATTACCATGTTTATTTCGACGGCTCTGACAGGATAGACTTCAAAGTAGGTTATGCCAATCCTGTGTTAATCCTGACCGCTAATTTCGAAGGAGCCCTCTGTCCACGATTTTGACGTTATCAATTTTGATTTTTCTTGTGGATTGCCGAAATAAACAGTCAGGATTACACATGATTGGGATAATCCACTTTAAAGTCCATCCGAATAGAGCCGTCCAAATAAACGTAGTAATGAATGCAGGTAGATTCATTATTAGATATTATATTAAAAAGATCTAGAATCCAATCTAAAAAAGAATTTAATTTTTGAGCCCTTTTCTTTATTTTTCCCATGTATTAAAATTATTTTTGTAATATAAAAAATATGTAAAGTTAACGAATCATAAAGTAGGCAGCATATTTAATATATCAATGTAATAAAACCTTATAGCCCCTTGAAAGTAATGAAAAGATAGAAGAAACAGTGAAAATAAATTAAATGATACCTCAATTAATTTTAAAACCTACACGCTACTGGCATCGGTTTTGCAGGTAGTTGTGCGGTGTAAATCGGGCTGCCCTGTCACTTGTTTTATTACTCCGTACGTTCGTTGGATAAATTATAGGTACTTTAAACTAATAATCCCTACACACATCCTGCCGTGTTAGTCTTTCAAATGTCAGAGATTGCCAAGAGAGGAAGTTGAGCGGTCATACGGACCTATAGAATGTCACGTCGGCCAAAAACCGTCGTGTCAACATCCAAAACGCTCCGACCTTTTTGTCATGACAGAAGAAACCGATCAGTAATCATCATACCCGGCAAACCGGCTCTGAATAATAATAATAATAATAATATTTATTCGCCAAAATACAAAAAATGGGCAAATAAATATGAAAAAACCACAGAAGGCATCGCCTGTGTGTGGTTTATATCTTAATAACTAACAATCAATCATATATGTGTATAACAATTATTGTTAAATCTAAAAGGTATTAATGTAATTGGAATTTTGTACTTTTAGTTTTCTATATAATTATGTATAGTCATTCGCTGCACATTACTAACCCAGTCTTTCAATTTTCTTCTAATTTTTTTTCCAAAATTAAGTATCTTTATTTCGTTTGGTACTACATTATATAATTTAGCTGCTAAGAATTTAAATGATTTTTTGAATAATGTTTTGTGTGGTCTTTGGATATTAGTTGAGCCTATTCGAAATCGTGTGTTATGCTCGTGTTTATAGGATTTTTTCTTTTTATTACAATACTTATGGTATAAGGTGGTGGCATGTAAGAAATAAAGTTGTCTTGTATCAAGTATCCCTGTTTCTTGATATAAGTTGTTCGTTGGATATAATCTTGGCTTATGGAAAATGGCTTTCAAAACAGTTTTTTGTGCTATATTCAGGTCAGAAATATATGTCTTGCAGGCGGCACCCCAGGCTGTGATGCCGTATATTATATGGGTTTCAACTAAGGCATGGTATAGGATTCGCAGATAACTTTCTGTAAGAATGTTAGCAAGCATTTTGAGTTTATAGGCAACATTTCTAATTTTTTTGATAACATATTTAATATGGTTATCCCACCTTAGATGTGAGTCTATAAATATTCCAAGATATTTCAAAGTGTTAACTCTATCGATTTTGGTCTTTTGGCCATGATAATTAACGGAAATTTGTTCGAAGGTAGGTAAAAATTTTGAATAGGATGTAAATGTAATAAATTTTGTTTTTTTGAAGTTAACTGTTAAAATTTTAGTATCAAACCAGTCAATGATCCTTATAAAATCCTTTTCAGCTATTTGCTTCAGTGTGCTCCAGTCATCAGCTTTATATAATACGAGGGTGTCATCTGCAAAACATATAATCTTTCCAGAACTGTTAATTTTGAATAAGTCATTTAAGTAGAGACTAAATAATAGTGGGCCTAGTACTGTTCCTTGAGGCACACCACACTTGATGTACATTTTTTTACTGTAAGTGTTAGTGATTTTGACAGTCTGTGCCCGACTTGAAAGGTAATTTTTTAAAAGGATTTGTGACGCTCCCCTAAATCCCAATCTTTCCATAACTTTCAGAAGCTCGACATGGTTAACCGTATCAAAGGCATTTTTTAGATCAACAAAGATACCAATAGTAGGTATCTTTTTGTTGACATTAGAGTTAATTTCATCCATTGCAGCCAAAATTGCATCTGTAGTAGATTTTCCTTTTCTAAATCCATATTGGTCAGAACATATAATTTTGTTTTTGTCCAAAAATTGTAATATCCTTTTTTGTAGTAATTTTTCGAAAATTTTGGCTATATTCGATAGTACTGATATGGGTCTATAATTTGATGTTTCCATTCTGTCACCGCCTTTATAAACAGGAGTAATAACAGTTGTTTTAAATGCATTAGGACAAATTCCAGATTGGAAACACCAATTAATGACGTAAGAAAGTGGTTCGGCTAAGTCGTAGGCTATTATTTTTAAATGCTCAGCTTTGATACCATCTACACCAGGACTTTTTTTGGTTTTAAGTGATAGGACAGCTTCTTGTACTTCAATCGGACTAACGCTTTCTAAAAAGAATGAATTGGGAAGTTGGGTTTTTGTGAACTTTTCGTTCGAAACCATTTTTTTAATACTGGATGCTAAATTTTCTCCAACATTAGTGAAAAAATTTAAGAATGCATCGGATATTTGTCGTTTATCTGTTAATATTGTTCCATCATGATTCTTAATTTCATCAATATTTGGTTTTTCTTGAACGTCTTTGTTAGTTAAGTGATCGACAACTGACCACAGTTTTCTTGGATCAGATTTGGCATCTTGTAATTTTTTTAGATAGAATTGGCGTTTTGCTTCTCTAACTAGATTGATAAATAATCGGTAATATGGTTTTCAACAATTAACGGTATGTACCGAAAGAAATTTGAAAAATTTTTGATGAAACAATGATCAATGCAAGAACTGGAACTATTATTGACTACTCTTGTTGGTAAATTTATATTTGATATGAATCCATTGCTCTGCATTACAGTGAGGTATTTGTTTACTAATTTGGTATGTTGGAGTATATTAATATTCATATCTCCTATTATGATGTGGTGTGACTGTATGGCATTTTTGTTATCTAACAAAAATTTTTCAAGATTTTCTACAAATGTATAAGGGTTTGATGATGGTGGTCGATAGACAGATGTGACTTTTACACTTTTGTTATTAATTCTCAATATCAAATCCAAAACTGTGATACCGTCATCAAATTTAACAAAATCACATCTGTAGTTGATATCATTTCTTACATATGCTACCACCCCATCATTCTGGTTGTACGTACCATTATTGTAAAGCGTATCATAACCTTCCAAACAGAACAAAGATACATCATTAATTTTCCAAGTTTCTGTTAATATTATTATATCAAATTTGTGATTAATTGTAGTTAGGAAGATATTAAAACAGTCAAAATTTTGGTTTAGGCTTCGTATATTCATGTGATATAAGCTAACATTGAAATTAGAATATTCTAACCATTTATTAAGAGCATTTGCGTCTTGAGCAATATTTGTATTGATATCATTAACCTGAAAATTATTTACGTAACTATCCATGTAAAATTTTGCAAATATGTAGCTCGAAAAACGTAAAAAGAACTAAACGCTCAAAACATTATTCTGGATGAATACTGTTTTTGAAAATATAAATACGACGGGCATTTTTTGTCTGTGGGCGAGTGACCAACATCATTATTCTTATTATGCTTAACGTTATAGTTCATACAGTTAGAACATTTTAAAATGTTTACAGTACAAATTTCACTTTTATGTGCTACATTTTTTGTCTGTGTGACCAAACTTCAAGCATTTTCTACACTGCGATATCTGGTTATTATCATAGACAAATAAGTTTTGCCAACCTAGTAGTATTCTTGATTTCTTGTTGATAAATATGTCTCTATATAGCTGTCCAGAAACTTCAGCGAATATAGTATAAGAATTTCGGAATGGTATGTGTCGTACAAAAGTGATTTCGATTTCGTTTTCATTAATGAATGTATTTTGGGATATGATTTCTTCTTTAATTTCTGCTTCTGAAGGTTTTTTTTCAGTTTTGTAGCCTATGATCTTAATTTTCGGTCTCATTTCTCTTGCTCCTGATATATTGTATTTTCCCTTCAACTTAGTTTCTAGTTCATTTTTGAGTTTCTGGTAATAACATTGCTCAACTTGAATTTCGACGCCGCCGTTTTTATAATTATTTACTTTCTCTATCTTGACTTCAATACTTGCTAGATTAATGTTACTAGTTAGGTCTTTTCTGGTGTCATTATAATGTTGGGTCCTTTCGGGAGTAACTAATATGGATTTCATGTCATTGTTGTTCTTGTTGTTGCTATTGATTTTAGGAGTATTTTGCTTTAAAATTTGTGAGTATGATGTATTCTCTGACGTTCTTTTCTCAAGTTGTTCTAGTTGATTAGTTACAATAGCCAAAGTAGATACAACGGATTCCTTCTCTACTATGTTGGCAGAAATCAAGTCATATGCTTCCTGTAGTCTACGGTTTTCATTTACCAACTGATATATAAATCTTTCCTTTTCTTCCAAAAGCTGTTTAAGATAATAATTCTCTTTGACAATAGCTTCTTTGGTACTCTTTTCACTTACGCTCATTTGAATATTTGGTTCTAGAGATTCGTTTTCGCATTCATTTTTCTTCTTTTTTGGCATATTGCATATGAACACTCCTTATATCAATTTCTCATAAAGTTCACTTTGACAGAATTAATTTGTCAACAATTGTCAATTTGGTATTACGGCCTCAAAATAGTGTTAGATGATGGAAGGATCTCACCAATTAGCTCCACAAATCTGGTCGACCTCAGGAAATATTAGATTACACAGCAGCAATTTTTCTCGACTGGGAAACTAATGAAATTGACGAAAAGTTCTAGAGCTAGTTAAAGGTAGATAGCTAGTAGTCTACAGTTTATTAAGTTATTATTATTTTTTATTAAGAATGTCTCATAACAACCCCCAGAAATGTATAACATAAATAAGCCTAAGGGCAGTGGATGTTAGTGATATTGACTTACCTCCTAGAAGGAATTCGCACCGCATTCGGTTAATTTTATCGAGTACCCAGGCATATTTTTGGTGGAATCAGTTGCCTAATTTGGAATATGCATTAGTAAATGTCGATCGTCTTCTCCAGTAAGTTAGTGTATTTGCGGTATTTGCGCAGCTTACTTTTTGTATGCAGTGTTACTGCTACGCTTTTTTAATAAAGCAATCATAGTCCATGAAGCAGCTGTTATAGCAGTTTAAACTGAAACTACATTGTAGTATTGCCTTTTTGTAATTTTGTTTGTTGTTTTACCGTCCATTTGAACGCTAAAAAAACAAAAGATGTAAAATGAAAAGAACAATGCAGCCAAATTCGAAAAGCAACAGGGATAATGGTATGTTGCGTTTCCGCTAAGAAACTCTTTACTCGTATGTAAGAATAACTTAGGTTTAGTCGTTCCCGAGTGCAAATTGGTCCCGTCACGATATGCAGCAGTTTCGTTTCATTTGTTATCTCCTCCCATCCAGTTCATAAATTGATTCTTTTGGCCATGATACGGCATCGATTCTATTGAGCAATGTTCCGAAAATTTAGCAGATAGGGACTTTGCTTTCCCTATCTTCAACATAAATGTACGTTTAAGATGTCGATTATATACCTTCTAAATATAACGTATCTCTTTTGTAATAGGAGAGATTAAAAAGTCAAAAACATTTGACTATCACTAAACATTATGCTTTCGTCCGAAGCATGAAACAGCTGTCCATAGTTGGCTGTCTTTTGGTCCGAAGGACGAAAGTATCATGTTTAGTTTATTCAATGGCAAGTAGACCACATCTACCTTACAACCAGAATCGTCAGCCATCTAGCGATCACATGGTGATATGACTATTAGTTGCAAATTATGTTATAAAAATCAAAGTTTTGAAAAATACAGTAAATACACCAACCTACGATGATTTGATGGCAAAATTGTCTAAGTCTAGATTTCCCAGTACATCTGCTCCTAAAGCCTGGAAATATATCTGCAGGTGACGGATCGCGTACCTATCGGTCGCACTTGCCATACACCACGGGGTTGTAGATATTGCATCTTTGGTAGTGGACCGAGGGACTTAAAAAAGCTGGTGGCAGACAGCGATCCCTGCCACGGTCGCAATTACTTTCGCGGTGGCTATCGCGATCCATCACATTTCATCGCATCCTATAGCAACGCACCGTCCGGCGTCGTGTCGCTTCGCTTCGCATTAATTCGCGTCGCGCCGGAAGTGGTCAATCCACTTGTCGCCATTTTTTTAGAGATGTCCACAACTGTCAGGCTTTTAACGTGGTTAACGGTAACGTCAACAAAATTTTCTGTTTATGGTAGATTATTGCAGAAATGGATGTGGGAAATTATTCGCAACAAGTTTTTTTCAATTTAACAGCTTGGGTACATTTCACAGGTCATGAGCTGGAGAACCTTTTTGAACGCAAACCTAACAAGAGACAAGGAACCAAAAACATACCCCGGTGCTTGAAAGTTAAAATACATTCATCTTCCTGACGTATGTAATAAGTTGCAGGTACGGCAATTCTTTACCGTGCATTATGAAGGTAGTTAGTTTAGACTGAGTGCAATCTAAGCTATGTAAAAATATGCGGTTTGCTTCCGAACAGTCGCAATCTCAATTTCGACCATCTGGCGAGTGTTGAAATTTATTGCTATCAGCCGCTAAAGTATGACATCGCACATATGCTTCGCTCTCAGAATTTCGACTCCGCCATGATAAATTCAAGAGTGCCTTCAGCTAGAATCAAGTCCCTGTGTGTGCCCCTACGTTTAATATGAACACACTCTTGTCTTGTAAATCAATTGAACGCACCCTATCACTTGATGTCTGTCATGTGATTGTCAAAGGTGATGTCAAGTGATCAAAAGAAATGTCAAAGTCAAATAATATCAACAAACGATTTTCAAATTGTGAAAGTTATTCAAACTTAAGGCATCTCTCTTTACATTAATTTCATGTGATTATTATGTGATCATTTTACTTTATACTGAAAGCATACAAATTAAAAACTAGTATGGCCACACCGCTTCAATTTTATGGGAAAACCCCTCAAACAATAAAAGCAAAATGCGTACTTATATCGTCTGACCGTTTTGTAGTGGAGCTCAGTAGCTTTTCTGAGCATGTTACCAGTGTATTTAGGACTGTGCCCTCTAGAATTTATGGTAAGTCATTTTTATTTTATGCTTGAGCTATAAAGCAATCATTCCATCAATATTTTTCAGATCCTAAAACAAGGTCCTGGAATTTCAGTATATCAGATTATAATCTTTTGATGACCAAATTGCAGGCAGTGGAACCAAAAATCAGCTTAGAAAAGTTACCCCCCTTTGTTCTGAAAATTATCCTTTCACCTAGAAAAGAAGTTGAAATAGACTATGAACGTTTGGACCCTGTCTTAAGCAGTTGTTTAATGCCCTTTCAAGTAGAGGGCTTAAGGTTGGTGTTTCAGTTGTTAAGGCCAATGTAAATGATTTTATTCATCAAACTATCTTGATTCTGAGATATAAATGTTTACTAATTGGCTGAGGTTCCCAAAAACTAGTGAATTTTAACTTATACAATTTTTTTACCCTGGTTGTTGCATTTCAAAGTAAGGCAAAAATATTTGTGATTCTCATATTGCAGGTTTGGAATAGAGAAAGGTGGAAGGTGTTTCATAGGTGATGACATGGGTCTCGGAAAGACATTTACATCACTTGCAATAGCAAGTTATTATAAAAATGATTGGCCTTTACTGATAGTAACCACAGCAAGTATGAAGTAATAATTATTTTTATTGCAATATATTTTATGTAGATGTGTTCATATAGTCAATTTTGCTATCAGCAAACTGATAATCATGACTTAGTTTGTTCAGCATCAGCTACACTGCTTTTTTTCACTGTGTTAAAAAGAATCACCTTTCTGGACAGAATACTGTCAATCACCAATCACTTTAGGGCAAAATAAAAAATGTTTAGTCAGCTCACCCATATTTATTTTATTGTGCATAAAAGTGTCAATCCATATTTGGCATAATCTTTATACTTTTTTCTAATATCAGCTACTGATGTGCAGATAATCCAGTGCCAATCTAAAATGACTATATTTTAGAACTACCTGGGAAGAAACTATCACAGAATATATGCCTACAATATCTATAATGCAAGTTCAGTATATGGTTTCTAGTAAAGATTACATAGGTGATACAGAAATTTTGATAGTATCCCACGATTTGATGACTAGATGTCAAGATAAGCTAAAAGAAAGAAAATTTGGTGTTATCATCATTGATGAATCACATGTTCTAAAAAATTTCAAGTCAAAAAGCTATCATGCAGCTTCTCAAATATGCAAGCAAGCAAAAAGGGTGGTATTGTTGAGTGGTACTCCAGCATTATCAAGACCAAGCGAACTATTCACACAGCTGTGTTTGATAGACCATAAAGTATTTACAGGATTTACTCAGTTTGCAATGAGATATTGTGATGGGAAGCAGACACAGTTTGGTTTTGATGCAAGTGGCAAGTCTAATTTACAGGTAAAGTGAATTATTTAACTTTAGAATTCTTCACTATGTGATACTTCCCAAAAATTCCCATAGCACTGATTAATATAGATACCCAAACCTATACTGTTGGACATTCTTATTCAGTTTCCAATGTACAGCCATGTTGCTAAGGTGGATCACAGTAATTCCCTTAGAAGTAATTAGAACACTTTATTTATTCTTTTAAAGAAAGTTCTTCAATGTAATCATTTCAAGGAAAGGCTATCCCTTAATTCCCCTTGTAATTATTATTTTTTAACAATGGAAAAGCGTATACCATAACCTGCAGCAAGAGTCTGAGACCTGAGGCTGAGAGTGCTATCACTGTTAGTCTAACACCTTAAGATGGTGGTTGCTAGGTATTTGGTGAGGTTTCAAATTTAGCTGACATCGTATTGTATATGAAAGAGAAGTGCAAGAAGCGTGCAATATACAGGGTGGCGCACCGAAAACGAAACAGGCGCATTTACTGGCAGCTCAGTTTTTTTGAGAAACGATCAGACCCATCGATTTTATTTTCGAGGGGGACACAAGTTTGGCAAAAAATCACGTTAGCACGTGCAGCCCCCTAAGCGAGGGTGACACCACCCCCATAATCTTAAATGGAAAGGGGGGTTGAGTGATACCTTATTTTAAAGTTCTTTCAATTCCCTTTATAATGATATAAAATTAATGTACTTCAGTACAGTAGTTTTGAAGATTTATTGATTTAAAGCTTAAATAAAACTAATACATCATCATTAGTGGAGATCAATACATTTGGCGGCAAAGTAATTTGAAAATGAAGAATGAACTGACCCGTTAGGCAAGTAAATGTTGAAAATGGCCACCATGACTCTCCATGCAATAATAAAGATTTTGGTCAAAACGCACATTTTGCAATATTTGAGGAGTAATTTGAAGGCACTCATTCACAATTCTTTGTCGCAGGTCTTCTAATGGTGTTGGCTGAGTAGCATAGATCTTGCTTTTTAAATTGCCCCACATAAAGAAATCCAAAGATGATAAATCTGGCGATCTCTGGGGCCATTCAATGGCACCTCTTCTACCAATCCATCGATCTGGAAACGTCTGATCTAAATATTGTCAAACACGTAATGCGAAATGTGGTGGGGCACCATCCTGTTGGAACATCAACCTATTCGCAATGTACGATCTTTCTGATTTTCAATTATGGCTGTTAATGCAGGATCTATGGCGTCTTCCAGTAATTCCAAATACATTTCACTGGTCAAATTTCTAGGTAAAAAAAAAGGGGACCAACTAAATGATCGCCAAAAATACCAGCCCAAACATTTAATTTTTGTGGCTGCTGTGTATGAAATAAATTCTGGGATTAGAATCGGACCAATATCTGGAGTTATGTCGATTTACTACGCCATTTAAGAAAAAGGAACATTCGTCGGAAAAGCAAGTGTTGAATAGAAAATGTTCATCGTTTATAATTCGTTCACTCATATCTTCACAAAATTGTAATTGCCAAACAAAATCGTCTTCATTAAGTTCTTGTACCAGGTGAATTTTATATGGATGAAAACTATGGGCCTTTAGAATCCGTTGGACAGTACGTCGACTAACACCACACACAGTCTCCAATTTGCGGGTACTTAACGTAGGATCTAAATAAACTTGCCCTATAACCCCCACTTCTATTGCTTCATTCCTTATGGGATTTTCAATGTTGCGTTTTTTATTGGCGGCTGACCCAGTTTCCCGAAACTTAGCTACTAGTTCTAGAACATATTTTCGATGCACGTTCTCATGTCGCTCATTAAATATTTCCGCTGTTCTATTAGCGCACTGATTATTTCCGAAAAATATGTCGATAATTTCAACTCTTTCTGCTGTGGAATATACCATGGTTAATTTATGTAATAAAGCGTTAAAAGTTATTTTAGCAACAAAGCTTGGTCAAATCAATCGCAAACTATGTACTAAATTCCTATTTAAAATAAGTACGAGATATTTCCTTATCTTTCTTCAAGAAATAACTTTTTTGCCACAAAAAACGCTCCAATAGCTATTTTCAACAACAAAATATATAAACAAACCATGAGCGTAGTGAAGAAAAGCATTTACTTATTAAGTAAATTCTTTTAGTCAAATTTCTTCTGAAAGTACTACAAACTAATCTGATGTACCTATTAAAGTCTACTTTAAGCTTTAAATCAATAAATCTTCAGAACTACTGAACTGAAGTACATACAATTTTATATCATTATAAAGGGAATTGAAAGACCTTTAAAATAAGGTATCACTCGACCCCCTTTCCATTTAAGATTTTAGGGTTAGTGTCACCCCCGCCCAGGGGGCTACACGTGTTAACGTGATTTTTTGCCAAACTTGTGTCCCCCTCGAAAACAAAATCGACGGGTCTGAGCTGCCAGTAAATGCGTCTGTTCCGTTTTCGATGCGCCACCCTGTACAAGAATATAAGAAAGAGTGCGCCGATAGCATCCGTGTCCTAGTACTCAGTTTGCTAGGCAACAAGGTGCTTCTATCCTCTTCAACTTCAAAACAGTTGCTACTGCACACCTAAAGAGGGTGATAAGGACCGTTTTTTTTTTCATTTACTTTTTTGTACTATTCCAAATTTAGCGCAAATTGTCGATATTGTATCCTGATTTCATGTCCGGGCATTTCTACATTTTATAATGAAGATCAACAAGAGGTATTCTTGAATCACACGACAACGATAAGTTGTCAAACGGGCAATGTCAAAACAGTTGCAGAACAGTCATACATTACGACCGTCAGGCAAAACTAAATAACATATGTCTCTAAGCTGGCACAAACAGACGTCCACACTCAAGGTAGATGTTTTGTCTGTGAGAGAGAGACAGAGACACGACAGTGATACCGACAATTTTGTTTGACCCGCCAAAATTGTGAAAAGAAGTACACGATTTGAAGATGATAAGAAGACCTCATAATCATCGACTGAACCTCTATATATGTGATCCTATATTTTATAGTTCAGTAGATATTTGCAATTTTTTGAAATTACGGAAAAACGGGAGTATGAACAACTAAACTATTGCGTCTAGGGCTGTAATTTTTTTACTGGTTTGGGTTAAATTGTTCGTCTTAGTAGTGGGTATTTTCTAACGGAGCTCCCATCCCTCAACTTTGGAGGGTGGTCATAAAATTTGGGTTCTATTTTATTATGCATTTTAATGTAAAAACTATTTCAATCCCTGCAGAATTAGCCTCACATTAAAAAATATTTGTTTTATCGGTTTAGCTACTACACTCCAAACGAGTTGATGGGTTTTGACATACGAGGTGTTGATAGATTCGTCTTAGCAGTGCGAGTAATACTGGGTATATTAAACTTTTATGAAATCTAAATGTCGGATTACTAACACGGATTTGGACATTTGAGGTGCGGGAGCGTTGAATCTTCGGCACAACCGAAATTAGTAGGTCTGACAATGGTCCAGCACCGAGTTTGTATCGTACATTTGGCATTTGAGTGGAAACATGTCATACTATCCGCGAGATTAAGCAGAAATGCATTACTATTATCACGATGATTAGAAAATACTCGAGCAACTGCTCGTATATGTCGGAAGCTTGTAGTTAGAAGAGTGGACCACAACCTGCGGTATACCCCCATTACCGCGTTTTCCGATGCGTCCATAATGCGTATATGGAGCGCCGCGTTCCAGTCACCCATCGTCATAAAGGACAGCCGAGGATAGACCCAGAAGAAATAGAAGAATGGTACAACTTGGGCGTTGATAGATAGAGCTGGATCCACCAAACTTGTTTAGTTGGTTGTTTTATAAGGGGATAATCTTTGCATCTGAATACACAAGTGTCAAGCAATTGCCCAGAAAATTAATATACAAAAAATAAAAATTATAGAAAACGAAGATTCATTTCACAGATTGAAAGACAACTTTATTAGGTGTTGCTTTTGTATAGAAAATAATGGAGACCATTTCGAATAATATATGTGCTTTAAAAACAAGGTGAACGACATAATCGGGTCACATTTATAGGGGTCCAATCAATAAGTATTAGGATTATCTATCATCTGACTTCTGTTGATCCACCCATAACTTTACGGCGTGTATATGCTTAGTTTCGCGCAGGCACAGCTTGCAATTCGATTGAGCATCTTTTGTTGGAATTTGTTAATTCAATGATGTACAGTGCTCATGCACTAAAGCACATTAGAGCAAATTTAATAAAGGTATGCTGTGATCCCAACCGCTATACACACACAAAGCAATTTTTTTAATGCAATTCGTGTTCCGCTACTGAATATCCCTGACAATTTATTTCATGATACAACCTTGGTTATGTGTAGGAAGTTGAATGTAACCGTTATGGTTTCAGGAACTAGAAGTAGTGTTGTCAAGGAAATTCATGATAAGAAGAACAAAACAGGATGTTGTTAAATCTTTGCCAAAGAAAAGCCAAGAGCTGGTAAGGTTATCTGATTACACTACAAATAAAACTGAGATCTCTGGCGAAGATAGAGAAATGATGAAAATATTGGGTGAAAAATATGCTTCAAAGAAAGGCCATGACAAACATTCTATTCTACTAACATTTTTTGCTGAAACTGCAAAAATAAAGATACCTCAAGTGTGGTGAGTAATTCATGCTGAACGACAAAAGCATGATGGAAAAATCACTGATACAGCACCACTCACATTTCGCAGCTTCTCCCAACCTTTTATGTCCCACTTTTCGATTAATCCAATGTCTTTCCTGCTTTTTCTCATGTGTATTTTTTTTAAATGTTCCAACCCCTCCTCCACGCATTTGTGACCCATTTTCAAAACAGGCATTTTCTGATTTTAGTGCATATGTATTACGAATACTAGACATTAAAGAGAAATTCCTGATATTTGCTCATCATCAAGTGATGCTAAATGCGATTGAAGATACATTAAAAGCCAAGAACTTTGGATATATTCGAATAGATGGCTCCACAACGTCAGACCAGAGGAAGTTTTTCATCTCCAAGTTTCAACTAAACGATAGTGTCCGCGTTGCCGTACTATCCATAACTGCCACTAATGCAGGTATCACATTGACAGCTGCACAGACAGTGATATTTGCTGAGCTGCATTGGAACCCCACTGTAAGTTTGTATCTGTATAGTACATAAGTGTGTACTACTGGACGTGCACAGTTTAGACCAGCGAAATTAGTCAATCATTTGAAAATCAGTCCAAGAACTTTTTTTGTGAACAATGAGACTGAAAAGTTACAGGAGACAGAAGGGTAATTTTATAGCGATATGTCTTTTACCTTGAAAAATGCTGCCGTATATGAGATCCGAGATGTCACTAATTACTTCGTCATTTTGATACAACTAGAAGTTACATATTGTTTTCAACGCTTTTCTTGCTATACAAGGGATGTCTTTTAAGTTTTGCATATGGAAATACAACAACACGGTGGGTAGTTTTAAATGACTTTATTGTTTTTCGAAGTATTCTCCACGAAGATTAATACACATCTGCATGCGCTCGAACCAATTTTCGAAGCACTTATTCCACTCGTTTGCTGGCAGATCCAAAACAGCATTTTTGAATGCGTCAACTGCTTCTTCTGGTGACTGGAACCTTTGACCACGCAGTCTGTTTTTAATTTTCGGGAAAGTAAAGAAATCGTTAGGACTTAGATCGGGACTATATGGAGGATGGTCCAATAATTACACGTTTTCTTCCATTGTTTTTTGGGCTGTGTGCGAGCTTGCATTGTCTTGGCGGAGGATGATTCTTCTTTCGGGGTTGTTTTTTCGAAGCTCGGTGATGACTTTTGGCAAACAAATGGTGGTATACCAATCCGCAGTAACAGTTCTTTGCTCATTAAGAGGAATTGTTGCAATATGACCCGCTTTTGAAACAAATGTCGCGACCATCTTTTTCGAAACGGATGACTTTTGTTGTTTTGTTGACTTTTCTTCACCTTGGAACACCCAAACAGCCGACTCTCGTTTATTTTCTGGTTCATAACAGTAAATCTACGATTCATCACCACTAACAATGCTGTAGACATTTTTTGAGTTTTCGGAATTGAAACGGTCAAGCGTTTTTTGACACCAATTAACCCTGGCTGCTTTTTGCTCTTCAACAACAGGTGGGGTATCTAACAAGAAACTAATTTTCTTACTCCTAATTCTTCATGTAAAATTTTTTGAATTGAGGTCTTTGAGATCTTCAAGGACGCGATATGTCACATGTTTATCTTCAATGATGAATTTGCGCACAGCATCGACGTTTTCCTGGGTGAATGCCGTTTTGGTGCACCCACCCTGGAATCGTCGCTAAGACTCACCCGTCCACGTTTGAATTCTCCATACCAACGGGAAATTCGACTGATGTGGCGCTTCGTTGCCGAAAACATACAGTAACTCAGCAAGGCATTATTGTTGCGATAATTGTATCTGAAAGTTGTAATAAATTATGGCGCGAAAATGTTCTCGGTTGAGTTCCATTTTTCTAATGACTTGGTGACACTTAAAAATTCACTGTAGTGAGAACATTGCACGTATTGTTGTGAAACTTTGAATTTAAGTTTACTAAAGAGTGAGGTTAAAATTCGCGCGGCCTACTATGTTTCTATATGCAAAACTTAAAAAACATCCCTCGTAAGGTGAATTGTTTAGTGAAAATAATGCAGTTAGAATATTCTTTTCTAGATTCTTAGTCAGGCGGAAGCTAGAGCACATCGTATCGGACAAGAAAATGAAGTCAAGGTACAATACCTTATTTCACCAGGTACAGCAGATGATTACATGTGGTCACTACTACAAGAAAAACAAAAGACGCTGAAAGAGGTAGGATTCAAAACAACAAAGCACTGTGAAGTACTGAGCTTGTCACTATATTTCAGGTGGGATTGTCGCGAGATAGCTTTGATAGTGTAACCGAGCATAAAAGGAGCGACAAGGAAAATTTTCGAAATGCACCAGGTACACGTACTATAGAGGACTTTTTGACAGAAAAAAGGAAAAAATCTCGCACGCCAGAAAAATCTAGTGAAACAACCGTTGATGATTTAGAAGATGCGTTCAATGACGGGTTTGACGAGACGCTTAGTGAAGTCTGTGTACCAGAAAAAAAGATAAAGCTGGATGAATCAACTGCTCATTCTAAAATCAAAGACGATGCTGAAGATCCATTTAATGATGGTTTTGATGATATGCTGATGAAACACACTGATGAGTTGTTGAACGATGACATGGATGAAGTGTTGTGTAATATTGACTTTTAACGTGTAAATAGAAAAATGGACAGTGAAAAATCGTGTTGGGCCGGTTTCCATCACAAAGAAAATAGATAGATCGTTTACCGCTTTCGCACACACAATCTTATAGATTATATTGGAGAAGGAATGTATAGTTCTTTTCACGTTTCTTGGCGGCTACGTCACAATGTCATACAAAATAAGTAAAAAGATTGACTAATGGTGCCATATGTTTGTGTAGTTTAACTTCCCTGAAATTTCACATTGCACAAGTTTATCTATAACACAGTTGCTAGTCGCTCTTGCATACACTTATGAATTAGGCGATAGAGACTGTTGTTTTTGCTCACTTTCTGCATACTTCTAATACAGACTCTCAACATTGGATAGTTATATCTGCTGTCACTAATATGTGAGATATCGAAGATCAATAATAAACACAAGTCTCATGTCCATGACAAGCAAGTTATTTGACAGTGACACGCATAAATGTGGACGAGACGTTGACAAGAAAATGAGGTGAGACAAAGCTTAAAAACGTATGTCTTTGAGCTTACACAAATAAACTTCCGCGCAAAGAGGCCGATTGCATTTGTATGTGCGAGGGAAATGTATCTATAAAAGTATTTCCTATAATTGTGATCCGCCGAAAACCGTGAAAAGGCCTATACTAGTGCTCACTTGCATCATTTTTACTCTTGGCATTATATTTTAAACTCCCATGGTTTTTAAAAAATACCCTGTCATAACAGACTCGTAAGTCTCCTATGTCAAAACATTTCTTCGTGGTACCCTTATAGATTACAGATGTGTCCAGCCTTGATCCTTTGATCAGACGCCATAGCCTTGACGCAGGACCTTGCCGCTGTTGGACCTGTGGTTCCTACTATCTGAAACCATAGCCTTGCCAGGCCTTTGCAGTGACACAGGAGATGCACTGGAGTTTCCTCATGCTCTCTGTCGAAACGGCATGTGGCCTCTTGTGCCAGACCCAAGAGTTTCATAAGTCGATTAGACGACAGTGTTCTGTCAGGAGACCCACTATGGTCCTTATGGCATTCCTATTGAGTCAGAGTAGGTCCTCTGTGAATACGGGTCTTCTTTCTTTGATGAACTCTTTTGCCTGGCTTTTCCCCAATTGGCCGTTCCAGCATTCTAGGGACTTTTTCTTGGTCCAATTCCTTATGGACTATTTCGTGCGTGTTCTCGTCACACCACAGAAAGGCCGCACCCTTTCGGGCTAGCTCATCCCCTTTTTCATTTCCTTTGTGCCCTTCATGTCCTGGTGCCCTTTGCGCAGACTTACTGTAATGTTACGTAATGGTATCCTTGCACAACCTATAATTTTATGTGTAATAAACCAAAGTGACCTGGATAAAGCAAATGATGCTAAACTCAAAAAAGATATTATTTTTTAAACCCTTTTTAATTAGTTACTGTTATATAACTCTTTTATATGGAAAATGTAATTTTAATTATATCTTATCCCTTAAGTGGCATCATGCTGCTTGGTGGCATAATTAAATAAATAAACATTGCTGTGATAATATACTCAACCACCACTTTTGGTTACTTGATCCATTTTCGAACCAGAGGATTATAACTTAATGATAACATATTGCTCTGATTTAGCTGAGTAATAAGTGGTCTTGGTATTTGCCACCAACACATTCTCAGTATGTTAAAAAGCATCCAGATTATAAAATTCAAAGACTGCATTCACGACTGTATATTTAGTTTTCATTGGTACATCCTAAGCTAGATTCTGCTATTCTTGAACTCACCACATGTAATGTCTGTTATGTAATGTCTGCTCCACTAATATATAACCACAATTGTGAGAATACAATTATTTAACGTCAAATTCCGATTTCGTGTGCTAGAATGGAATGTTTGCAAAATCATACTGCCTACTAGTTATCAAGGGATTGCATTGTCTGAATGTATTGCCTACTTTTAGACTACAAAACTGTTCCAGAGATGATACATTACTAACCCTACCGAACCCTTTTTCTGCCCACGTCACTGGAGATATATTTTTTGGGTGTTATATGACATGTACATCAAGAAAAATAATTTCACTCATTTCCGTCGGTTTGTCTGTCTGTTCGCTAATCCTTGACCCCTCTATAACTTTGAAAGTACCAGTCGGATTTTGATGAAATTTTCACACGAGGTTACTGCTATGTCAAGTTTTTGAAAATCGATCCAGTGGCGGCGGAGCTACGAGCAAAAAAGCAAAAAAATAAAAATCGCTCAAACTCCCTTTTTTGACGTTACAGAGGGTTCCCTTCTTGAAAAAAAAGGGGTGAAAAATTGGGGTGGGGGGTTGTAGGTGGGTGGGGGAGGGTATTTTTCAATTTTTTGGCAGAGGTATATTGAAACGCCGCCAGTCGTGGTATTTCTACGCATCTGTCACATATTTCACTCATCATAGATTTCACCGTATATCTAACCTTAAAACGAATGTTGGAGAAATATTTCCGACCCTCGCGAGTAGGTCATATGCTTCGCGGTCCTGTAGATGGGGAAGGACGAGGGCCGTCCATTGAAACGCCCGCTATTTATCTATGAATTATAAGTACTTTTCTAAATTCCGGCTACAATCAGTAATTAATAAACATGCTTTTACATCGGAAAACCTTTATTACTCCAATGAAATATGAAACATGTTACTCATTTTTTCTAAAACAAATAAATAGAATTATGAAATAAAAACATATGAAGAAATAAAAAATATCTATGTATCATTTATATTTTTGCTACCACCTATCTACCATATCGCACACAGGATACCACCTTCAAAGATAGTCTAAAAGTATACAGCACTAAAGAAATACAGATCACCATTCCCGTTTTTCCACAGGACGGCAACGTTAATTTGGCCAAAAAACAGATTCAGTTTTAAAATTACTGATGACTTTCATGAATACTTTAAACAAAGAGTAGTTATATCAAGAGAAGGCAGTTCGTGTCTTTATAATCCGCTTATATACTATATAAGCTAGTTATTTGACTGGTTTTTAACATTGTATATCAGTACGAGATGTGTTACTGGTTTACAAATAAAAACAGCAATCTATGTGACCGTCCTTAGTTTGGCGATTCGCGTATCGCTCTGCATGTACCGAGATGTTGTCAAATGGCCACACTGTGAAGATAACACTACATTTATTCTAACTGTATTGAATGAAAAATGTATTTCGTAGGCAGCAAACGGATGATAAATATCTCCACCATGAATTAATGTCCAAACAAAACTAAATTTGAACAAAAATGCGTTCACTGCTGTATTCATCCAAAAAGGAATAACCAACACCAACTAATTGTGTTCAGGCGACATCAGCTGTTTTGTGGACGCCATGTTTTTGGAGTCATATTTCATCTCTCTATAATTTTATTCGCCTTGCATGTCTTCATGCAAATACTCTGCTTTAGATTTACGGGTTACAGCTATACCTGTACATATTGCATAATCCTATTTTAAAGCTACAATTTTTCCATTCCATTTTAAATATTTCCCTAGGCAGCTCTAGCTAGTACTTAGTCTAATATTACTGGCACAGAATCCTTCAAGTTACTATTTCATCCTCTCTTCCCTCGTTTTCATCGGAAATATCATCTATATACTCTGGATCGTCTGCAACCATGACTTCATCTCCATTTTTAGGCGGGTTATGCCATTGTTGGTGTACCTTTAATGATTCTTTCGACTTATATCTTTTTCCACAAACCTCACAGCCGTGCGGCTTTTCACCTGAATGACTCAAATAATGCTTACTCAAAATACTGTACTTCTTAAAGCTTTTTGCACAAATCTTACACTGGTATGGTCTACTATCGGAATGTATCTGAAATAAAGTGTTCTTAGAATAATGAACTAATAATAGGTGTAGAAAGATTAACTTCCATTTTTCATATATATCTACCTACTATAGCATATTTATCAGAAGGGGATATTTTCCAAAACTTTTATTTGACGAAATATGAATATCTTGACCCCTCCCCCCATACTTCAGTTACTGAGATGAGGATGTTGCCTTTATGACATGAAATGTATGTTTACGTTCAATTGGTATCCAAAATAAATATAAATAAATCCTCGCTTACTGACGGCAGAAAAAATAGGCGATTTGAATAAGTTCTCTTTCAATAAACGAATTTCAGTTTCGTTTTTTCCAACACGTACAAAAAAGTGTAAATACCGTCATCCCCGGGTGTAAACAATGTACTCGTATTTCAGCTATTAAAAATGCAATGGAGAATACCCCGTTAAAATAATTTGGAAGTAGAGATAAATTGTATCGTCCTTGAAAAAAGGGATGTAAATAATCTACACAGTGTTCCAGAGTTACATGTCAATCTATCGTATGCATTATAGAAAACAAAAATAATATAAGTTGCGGAAATCGGTTTTTCTTAAATTTTTTAACGACACTGTGTAATTCAACGAAATTTTAAGACCTCAGAAACCAGTTGGGGCCTCACATGATGATGCCTCTGGGAAACAATTGCGATTTTTATTTATAACCTTAAGCATGATCTCCAACCTAACTAACCCCCAACTTTTTACTAATCTGTCAACATTTTGTTGAATTATCTTCGTCTTTAAAAGGTTGTTTAAGAAAAACCGACTAGCACCATCATTTTTGTGTTTTAGTGGCATACGAGAGATTAACATATTGTTGCAGGACCCGCCCTATATATCAGCTATTAAAATTTGCAGTTTTGTCTGATTCAAGTTAGGATATTAATATTTTTCTAAACAAGATACATACTGGCATGTGCTTCTTCACACACTGTTTGGTCCTGAAAGCCTTTCCGCAGATTTCACAGTTATAGTCTTTTACGTCAGTGTGAACTTTTATATGGTCCTTTAAATCCCTATTAGATGAAAAGCCCTTGCCACATATATCACATTTGTATTTTTTATAATCCTCTTCATGTCGCTTCAAATGCGCCTTTAAATACCTGTCAAAAATATGTTTGATCACACCTCATGAATAAACACTATTCCAAAAAGTCGAAATAAAATACCTGGCAAATTCAAACTGCTTCCCACAAGCTCCACATGTTAAGTCTTCTTTAGTTGGCATCTCCAGATGACTTTTAGTATGGTTTTGCATAGACTTCTCATCATAAAAAACATTGTTACAAATCTTGCAAGTTCTAGGTTGGTGAACCTGTAGTACCGATAGCCAGGTAAAAACAACATACAACGTTTGAATAATGATGATTAAAAACGAAATACATTAATACACGTAATTTAGGAACAATAGGTTTTATTCAAAGATTTTTTCAATTAAAACCATCCTTGACCATAGTTGTCCTAGACGGGAATTATGTAAAAAAACCTATATAATTTAAAAAAAAATCGATAAAATGACAGCTTGGTAGCTGTTAGTTCGCACCGCGCTTACTACAAGTGAACATGAGGTGAATGTCATCTAACTCAAATGTGACAATCAATAGGGACGCCTACATAATATCAAAAAACCTATAGAATGTAACAGGTGCCCGTTGGGCCATTCATATACAGAGTGTCCGCAAAGTTGGGGTTTTTCTTTTCAGAAACAACTACCCTTGAAATAACAAAGGTAATGTGTAGTGAATTGAGGGCGACCAAGTAAAAAAAATAAAGGAAAAAGTACTCACTCTCCAGTTGACGAGAAGGGCTAAGTACGTCTCTGCCCGAAATCATACCGCTCCAACAGAAAATGAAATCAGCTGATGCACTACCGAGCAGACGCAGGCAAACAAGGAAGGCAAACTGTTGCGTAAAAAGTCTAGGTATTGCATCCCGTCCAATCGATTTGGGAGAATAAATGGTCCAATGAGCATACCGTTCACCATGCCAGCCCAAACATTCACCGAAAATGTTTGTTGATTTTCTACTGACCAAACATGAGTGTTGCGAAAGTTATTCACCCCATTACGCGTGAACGTAGATTCGTCTGTCACCAATATGCACTTCAAAAAGTCCGAATTATTGTCATGTTGATGCAACAACCACTCACAAAACCGCACTCTTGCTGGAAAATCGTCAGGTTGAAGGGCTTGTACACGTTGGACGTGAAACGGATACAGCCCCTCTTCACGCAGCGTTTGCCACACTTTAGTTTTTGATACTTGCACTTCTCTAGCCACGTCTCTAGTGCTTGTTGAGGGATTCTCGTCTACGCGATTACCTCTACACGCGTGACCGTAACCGCCGGTGGAAGGTTGCATACTGACCTGACACACTGACCCCGACCCAGTTCTGTCGTCAGGTTGAGCCAGTGACCTTGTACCACTTGGTGTGTGGTGTGGTGGTGATGTCGCGGGTCGCGGCTACAGGACGGTATTCAGATATTTTTGATGTTGCAGAGCCCTTTATCTCGGTTTGCGGACACCCTGTATAGTTTAACATTAATGTCATTTGTGAACTTTTTTGTTATGCTGTATTGATCAATCGTGGTTTTGGTTTCATTTAAAATAGCTTTAAAATGCTCTTCTAACAGATCTTAAAGTTTTTTTTTTTTATTAATGGCTCACCTGGTACCAACTTTATTGGGCATCTAAAAAACTATTTTTATTGGAGCCATGAATGTTGTCGATTGAATAAGTGTAATTTCAATGCTTTAATATTAACATACCTCATCAATATGGTCCTTTAAATTGAAGTAGTACGTTTTGGTGGCACAGTATTCACAGTATCCTGCTTGCTTTGAATCACTTGCCTCTTGTTCAGCTGGACCTTCACCATCATCAGTATCTACTTCAGTATGCATCAATAAATGCTGTTTCATCGCCTGTTTACTTGAAAATGCCTCATCACAGAATCTGCAAGGAAAAGATCTAACTGTCTCATGCATCACACGAGTGTGGCGACGCAAACTGGTACATGTTGCAAAACAGCCTTCGCAGATCTGAAATACAAAGGTAATGATATAAAAAAAATCTAAAGGTACCGTTCGGCTCCGCGACAGCGATACGACACGGCGACGCGCAATCAAGACAAAAGTGTATGTCTCCAGTATGTTCTATTAAGTGATTACTGTCAAATACAAGTGGTTGAGAGTATTGAGATGCATATCCATTGAAGCAAAACTAATCATTACTTCAAGAAAAACAGTCCCATAAATCATATTGCATTTAGAATGACGTCGCTTTACTTATTGTGTTTCTCGTTCATTTGATGAATGAAAGGCAAGACTATGCACGTTATAAATCTCAAATTTTTCTATAATCAAACCCTCTCATTTGATGCCCTTGTTGCAGCTGGTCCTATGAAAATAAAAGTTCGCCGTTTTGTATCATCCATTTTGGTTGGGAAAAACTGGTTTACAAGATTTATCACACACTAAGCTTACTAACAGGTCAAGTTGAATAAAACCTTGTAAAAAATGGGTGGCAAGCGTTACTGGGGAGAACTCACAGTATCCTCAATTATATTAAGGGTCCTAGCCTAATGGCCAAAAAATTCACAGAAATCAAATGGAATAATCAAATAGATATCTCAATTTTGCCCAATGAAAAAGCAAAGCCCCCCTCCTGCAGGTTTTGATGTGCCCTAGCACCACTTCAGGCACAGACTCACCGCTCCTGTGTACCCAAGGGGTCAAGGCATCCCTAAGTATAGACGGTTTTTGATAAATCATGGCACTAATATAAAGGTAGAAAGAAGGTCCAGACATAACATGGAAGTTTTAATTTTGGAATAAATATATATATATATATACATTTATATATATATATCTGCTAACTAAGAAGTTTGGTAGTCTCTATGATTTGATGGAAAATATCGAAGTCAATACCCGTAAGCACGCCACTGTTAAAGCAAAAAATTATTTTTGCATTAAAAAATATGCAACTTTATTAACTTTCACCACGTACTAAATATTAGTGAAATATCTGAAGAGGTTCTGAAAATATTAATTAATTTCCATTTTTTCCTAAAACTTCAACACCCGAGTTTTTGTAAGGAAACATTTTTGGACCGTAGTTTATAAAGCAAACTAACATTAATTTTTCATGTAGATTCACACCCGTAAATATTCGCATAGCATTAACGAACACCATGTATTTACCAGCTTATGATTCGACTTGCCTTTCAAGTTTATGTCACTCACTACACAAGTGGCAAATATTGTTGTCAATATGACAACTGTGAATGTAAAATTTTTGTAAACTGTCACAAATTAGTTGATAAATCTGGCACATATTTGTCCAACTACTGGTAGTGTATGGGTTACTGGCACATTCACACTATTCAATTTTACATTAATCACCTCATTTGATAAGTTTTTGTCAGACTTCTTTTGGAGAAAAACGGTTTGAATATTTGAGGTGAAATCCATTTACACAACTTCAACCTATTTTACTTTGAAAATATGGCGATGTTAGTCAAGTTTAATATATAACATTATTTAAGCAGTATTCATGTTATATCTTTAATCAGTCATGTAGATATTCACAACACCCTGTATCTTGGTAATGGGACATTTTAAGACATGTTTATAGGATTTTTTTTGTTTTGGATGTGGACTTTCTACTCTAGAAATGTTGCCACATTTTTTTCAATCATCCTGCATGTCTATCCTATATTGCATGCTCATATGAATGTTGCCTTACTAATATAGTACGTCCATTTCTCTTGTACGGCTCCCTGGTCTGGTGGCCTTGCATTAGAACTGAGGCAACTAAGGCCAAACTCAAAATTCAGCGTTTGGCCTGTATTAGTATTACATGTGTAGTGCGAACGTCATTGAGTGCAATGGAAGCTGTGTTGGATCTCCCACTATTGGATCTAGTGACCCGCGGTGAAGCGAGAGTAGTCGCTCATCGACTGTGGAGTCAGGGCAGCTGGGCTTTCTTGAATCCTGTCAAGGGGCATACTGCCATCTTAGTCGAATTGCAAAGGGAGGACCCCGTCCTTCTAAGCAGGGGTGATCGTATTACCCCTAAATATCGCTTCGACCGCAAGTTTATTGTGGAGTATCCAATGAGGGAGGAGTGGGACGCCGGTAGCCGGGGACTCTCCGAAGTGAGCGGGCAGCTCTGGTACACGGACGGCTCGGTTACCGAAGAGGGCTCAGATGCTAGGGTCTCTGGGCCTAGAACCAGGCTATCTGTGCCTCACGGTGGATACACCACTATTTTCCAGGCGGAAATCTTTGCGATTCTGGCTTGTGTATCTCACTTTTTGTAGGAGGGTGGGCCTAGGAGAAGAATAACAATGTTATCCGACAGCCAGGCTGCAATGAAAGCACTAAGTGCCTGATTACTTCGAGTCTTGTATTGCAATGCAGGGAGGCTCTTGATTGCCTCTCAGCGAGGCATCCGGTATCGTTAATATGGGTACCGGGGCACGCTGGGATAACGGGCAATGAGACGGCGGACACTCTGGCGAAGACAGGATCAGGCAGCAAGCTCGTTGCTCCTGAGCCAGCTCTAGGAGTCACCGCGCATAGAGCTAGGTACAAAATGGAGACGTGGGTTGCAAGACAACACTCTCAGAAATGAAGAAGTATCTCCAGACATCTCTGCCAGGCACAGAAACTTATTGAAGGGCCCAGTGCTAAGGACCGACGTTTCTGCATATCTCTGGATAGAGCCAACCTAAGTTTGCTGATGGGACTGTTGTCTGGCCATAACACGTTAAGGCGCCACCTGCACGCAGACTATACTGGGGTCTATTACTTTGTACCCTCAGGATGTCAAGGAACTTGGACTCAAGGCGATTCTCAACTTCACTAAAAGGGCGAGGCTTGTGATCTAAGGAATGTAGAGGTGCATAAGAGCCTGCTTAAGCAGCCTATGCACTGGCTCCTTATGGTGGCTGGAATGCCTCTAATTTCAAGATTCATTCATTCAGTCATGATTATCTTTATCAATGCAACATAGCAAAGTATAATTACTTCAGCTTACATGGATGATTTAATATTAATAAGCATGAAAGTATCACCTTGCACTTGAACTTCTTTTCACCAGTATGCACTACCTTGTGATCACTCAAAGTAGTGCTAGTCTTAAACGATTTTCCACATTCAGTACACATAAACGGTCTCTCATCATTGTGAACTCTCTGATGAAGTCTCTGTTCTCTATGAGAGGTGAAAGATCTTTCACAATGAGGACACTGGAATGGTTTTGAACTCATGTGTTTACGAACATGGCCTAAAAATAAGATAATTAAAGATATTTGAATCGAGAACTGATGTGCAGCTCCTCACCAACAAACTGATAGCGATTCTTTATAAATTCATTGCAAACAAAGCAGTGATGCCTTTCAGAATGTACCATTTTATGTATATTCAACTCGGTTTCATTAATAAATAGTACTGTACACTCTGGACATGAGAACGTTTGATTTCCGTTGATAGTATCTTCCTGGGAAGCATTAGTATCCTTTTGGGAAGTATTATTTGAGTTAGCTTCAGAACCATGGGATACTGATTGAGATTGGTCTGTTCCTGAAATTTCAGGAATAGACTCCATTGTTTTCTCACCAGAGACTAATTTTCTCTGAGGCTCAATTCATCATCCTGTAAGAAAACCATAAAAAAAGTCTTGATGTATTATATGTAATTAAAGGATCTTTTGTATTTATATGGATTTTCTACGCCTACAGCTGTAAACACAAAAACTGTAAACGTCAAAATTCGCAGATTGCAGTGCCATCTGCTTTGTTGGTGGGAAACCGGCTAGCAGGGGCGTAGCGAACGTTATAACATTTAGGGTACAAAAACAAAAATGCTCTTCACTTGTCAGCCATGGTGATTTTCTTATTGCAGCTTGCACCGGTTTTATTGCATTTATAAGAGCTGGTCGTTTTTTCATCATTTTAATTGTTATATCCGTTCCAGAGTTACAGACGCTTCGTATACTAAAATACACGGGTTGACATTTTACTGATTTTCTGACAAAATATAAGTTTTCCTTTAATTTCTAGCATATTAAAAGAAAATGTGAATTAGATATTTTAGATAAGAAGTTATCCCATTGCAGCTATGTGGAGTCCCTGCAAACACGTTAGCTAAATAAATTTGTTTTAAAAATTATTTTCAAGACAAGAAACACTTAGTATTTTGTCGTTACAATTAAAAATCTTAGGAGAACATGGTAAGAGCGATTTTTCAAGTAAAAATTACCTAGCTAACTAGAAAAGGTATTCATATTCAAGTATATCAGTGGCGTACCTTTTGCAAAAAACATCACAAGTTTTGTTAGCATTGGTGGCAAATCACAAAAATGCAGCGATCCATCCACAAATGCCCATTGATTTTTCGTATACGGTGAGGTTCAAAATTGGCTGACGTCGTGATTTGTACTAGAGAGAAACGTGCCACCTGTATATAATGCCTTGATTACATATGTAACGAGTACAGTGGCGAGACAGTGCTATCGGCCTAGTGCTCGGTTAGTAGAGGCGGACTCTCACTACTCGTCTATTTGGCAAGTACGCCAATACAAGTACAGCCGGTTTCGTCGCCTATCGGGCCTCAGTATTAATTTTGTTTCTATCATGGACGGTCGCGTTGTCGCTGCAGCAGCGTTTGTGGTATTGAGTGGCTGCATAAGAAGAATTAAATCTCATCAAGCTCAGAAGGCAAAAAGAAAAAGATGGTGGATGACTTCTTTGAACAGAAGTCGAGAGAGGTAAGTTGATACCTCTCTATCTGTCTTGGTAGACCAAAAGCAGATACCATATCTTTATATTCTCAAATTTAATACACTAGTCAAAATTGGTTTTTCTTTTTGCAGGTACAATGCCTCCATAATGATAGAGGACCTGATTCGAGAACCGTCAGGAATGCTAGATAATTTCCTGTGAATGTCCTACACCGACTTCGAATTGCTACTGAATAAAGTGGGACATATGATAGGGAAAACAGATACTCAGATGAGAACGGCAATTCCAGTTAAGGAAAGGTTCTGCGTTGCGCTCAGGTTCTTTGCTAGCGGGGACAGTTTTGTGAGTTTGTCGTACCTTTTCAAATTTTCTCCACAAATTGTATTCCAATGCGTTTTCGACGTTTGCGATGCATTGATTAGCGTTCTCAACGATCAAATAAAAGTAGGTATACAAAAAAGATTTATTTATTTAGTATGCAATACAACTTATTGTTACGAAATAAGGTCAAAGCATAATCAAATTAAAGTATGGTCAAAGATTAGTATACTTTTCTGTTAGAACGGACATATCATTGCATGTAGTTGTGGATTCACAGGAGCAATAGACCGTTGGTGGACGGAAGAAGTTGAGGAATTTAGTTGCAAAGAGGTTATCCTCGGAGTTGTATGAAAAGCTTCATCAGGCGATGATGAATAAAAAGATGCTGGGGAGGCTGGTTCTTGCCAAATTCACAAATATTTGAAATCCCTTTGAATCGCGGCATTTTCACCGACAATCGGCAGGACTTCCCCTGTAGCAAATAATTGTACAAGTAATGGCCGAGTGACCCACTCTCCCTACATGGCAAATGACACATATTTGCCAAATAATCGAGTCGTGAGAGTCCGCCTTAGTATAGACACGTAACCAAGCGCTCGGCCGAGCACTAGACCCAGTAGGAGAGCGAGTTTTTTTTTGTGACGGGGGAATGCGTTTATGCACCATACCATAGCCCGAGATACGACATGTGTGGGACTCCAGGTTGTCTTGAGGAGACCACCTAATACCCACTAAACCCTAACCTCCGCGTGGCCCTACTCATCAGCGTCTCGGTAAGGCCATGTATTGTGCGTGACCTGCGGTCTGCTACAACGTCTCCTCATGTGTTTCAATCTCTGGGAACGCCGGGATGGTTCCCTTTACCTCGCACAATTCTATCGATGTCTTTAAGCGAGCATCGATAGAGGGTTTGCTGCGTTCTCTTGAAACTCTTGTTTTCGAAAAATCAAGAGTTTCAAGTCCTCTACTTGTTTGTTACCTGGTCCTGATGGTTCCTGGTCCTGATGGTTCCTGGTCCTGGTGGGTCCTGGTCCTGATGGGTCCTGGTCGTGGCAACTGTGAGTTCTCCTAGTCAAGGTTCCAGTTAGCGCCTGCCAACTGTGACTTGGATCTAGGGTACTTGGCTCTGCGGCTGCGAGGCCTCTCGTCCTGATCGTAGTCCATGAGGAGTCGTAGCTGCTCGTTCGGGTGGTCCTGAGCTTTCTGGAAGGTCTTCTCCGCTTTTTTCCCATGTACTCGTGAATGTGGTGTCCCAATGCAGGTCTCTACGCAAGGTTGAGTTTCTTACGTAGGATGGTGCACTGGTGGCGATCCGGAGTAGCTTCATCTCTAGAGCAGCAAGGCGCTTGCGGTGGCTGGGAGCAGCGTACCCCCAGACCGCGGAGGCGTAAGCGAGCTGAGGTTTGGCGATGGCCTTGATCAGCTATAGCTTGGTTTTTAGCGGCATCCGGCTGTGTCTACCCAGTAATGAGTAGAGTTGGGCCATGGCTGCTCTGGTCTTTGCGATGACAGATATTTGTCTTTGTCGCTCCACTGGATATCTTCATCGAAGATGGATGCTTCGGGAGGTCTTGCAATCCTTCTTCGTTGGATGAAGATTGCCTGCGTCTTCTGGACGTTGATGCGGATTTTCCATTTCACGCACCAGTCCTGGATGTGGCCCAGTTCATCCTGTAGTCTCCTACGGATGATCTCGTCGATGCTTGGCGGCTATAGCAGTGTCGTCTGCATATAGGGCCAGCATTGTGTCAGCTGTCGTAGGTACGTCGTGTGTGTAGATGTTGTAGAGCAGGGGGGCTAAGGCTGACCCCTGGGGCACGCCTGCTTCCAGCTGTCGTCTTGTTGAGTGGCATGTACCAATCTTAACCGTGAACCATCTTTGTGTTAGATAGCTCTGGATCAGTTGGCACATGTTTGCATCGATTCCGGCGGCTTCCATTTTGGCGATGAGTCCATCGTGCCAAACTCGGTCGAAGGCTCGTTCCACGTCCAGCAGGACGAGGCCGGTTGCCTACTGGAGATTGAAGCCACTGGTGATGTTTTCTGTCAGTCGTAGCGCTTGGAGTTCCGTGTTGTGGGAGGATCTGAAGCCGAATTGCTCTGGAGGGAAAAGTTCCAGTTCTTCTGCCTGCTTCTCTAGTCGAACGGCGATAGCCTTTTCGACTACTTTACCCATCGAGGAAACCAGTCGGATGGGCCGGTAGTTCTGAGGCAACTTCCGGTCCTTGCCTGACTTGGTGAGCATTATAACCTGGGCTTCCCGCCACCATCGCGGGAAGTGGTTAAGTCTCAGAGAGGCATTGGCGATGTTGGTGAGCGCAGCAATGCCTTTGGAGGGAAGGGTCTTCAGCATCCTGTTGTTGATGCCTTCCCTTCCAGGCGCCTTTCTGACCTTCAACCTGCGGATGATCAGGCGGATTTCCTCTGGACTGGAGTTGTGATCCATTTCCGGGCCAGGTGGTCGTCTCCTCATGATTTCGGCTGCGACTTCCACTGCCTCCTCGTGGATGTCGTCCTCGTCTTCATGGTAATTGAGTCTGCATTCGGATTCTAACGAATCGGCGAATCATTCGGCTTTTTCTTCACTGGAATAGGCCAAGCCGCGTTGGCCGTGAAGTGTGGGGATCGTGGTGCGCTGACCACGAAATTTTCGTTGCATAGTCCAGGCCGTACCATTCTGGGTCTCTAGTTCCGCGCAGGCTGCATTCCGTCTGCGGTTTTTGAGTTCCGCGAGTGCGTTCTTCAGAGCTAGCGATGCTCTGTTTCGCGCAATCCTCGAGTCCTCTATCAACAGCTGGAGATGTACTCGATTCAGTCTTCTGTTCTCCCTGATCAGGTGCCTAATATGGTGCGGTGCTGGACCATTTAGGTGTCTTGGAACTGCCGTAGTCTCGGAGTGGGTGCTGTCCTCGTGCGCTCACAGGACAGCATTCTCCAGCTGCTCTACTGCGTTGTCCAGTTCCTCTGCTGATCGGATGGTTGGAATTTGGATATTTCTTTGGACGTTGGATTTGTAGTCATTCCAGTTCGTCAGTTTGGTGGTCAAGCTATCTTGAGCTGTAGCCCCTGTGCCAAGCGTCAGGGCATCGACGTGTTCTTGGAGCTGCCTTGCATTCCTGTCTTCGACGTTATTGTTCCATATCGGAGACTTCAGTTTAGATCTCCGATGACTATGCGTGCTCCTGGGCCTCTCAGAAGGGCAGCGATGTCATCTTCGTCTAGGGCCTCCCCTGGTGGCACATACAGGGAGGTGATTCAGTATGGACGGTGGTTGTGATGGACCTGGACCGTGAGTCCGTCCCTATTGATGTCTGCGGCGTCGTCAAGGACATGACTCGTCAGGGTACGTTTGACGAGTAGTGCGACTCCTCCACCTCTGCCTCTTCTGTCGTAGCGGTACGTCTCGTACCGCGGGAAAGCCAGTCTATGTTCCAGGAGATTATGCGTAGTGATTCCACGTTTTGTCCTGTAGTCATTGCTGGTCTAATGCTTGACTTGCATCTTGGCCTCGAGTGCATCCAGGCGGGTTGTGATGGCTTGCATCATAGCTAGCAGTCTGTCATCGCCGTGTTGCTTCTGCGCAGTAGTTCCAGTAGCAGTGACGGCTGCTGGGGAGAAGTGGACTTTGTTTTCTTCGCTTTTTCAGCGTAAGACGTCCTATTTGAGGTGAAGGCTGCTTTGGGGGCAGCAGCAGCTTTCCACGGGGCCTTACTACATCCTTTGTAGTTTGTGTCCTTCTCCGCAAAGGCAGCACTTGGCATTTCATTGCCCTGTTGGCGGCGTCGGCAGACTGCAGTTGGTGCTGTTGTGGTCCTCTCCACACTTGACACACCGTTCAGCGAGACGGCAGTTTCGCTGAGTGTGCCCGTACCGCTGACAGCGGTAGCATTGGCTGGGCTCGGTGGTCTTCTTCTTCTTTTCGAAGCTGACTGAGAGCATGGCCAGCCTCTGGACCTCCTGCAGCTTTTCCGCCATCGTCTTCACGAGGAAGAGCGGTAGCGGCTTCTTGGTGGTCCTGGTCTTCATTTGCTGAACTTCAGCGTCTGTGATCCCTTGGCTGACTAGATCTTCTTAGAGCGAGACTGTCACTCGGACCCTTTTCTACTTACTAGACCGAGTGCCATCCCCCCTACCTACTCGGTATATCGTTCGACATTTTCGAACAGGCACTCCGGTGTTCTATTACTCCCAAGTAAAGCAACTCTGTCTAGTTTTATATTCTGGCTGTTTGAAACTAAATATGGCTAAGGATAAATGGGACTGTGATGCCACAATCAAATTCATCCAGCAATACAGATTGCATTCTTGTTTGTGGAATTTCCAGTCGACAGATTACAAAAATAAAAAATAGACATAAAAGGGATACCGCCATTGTGTCAATAGTTCAAGAAATGGGCATTGATGGCTTTGAGATCCACGTGCAGTCAAAAATTGAACAAAATTAATGATCCAAAGAGATCGGGGCTGGGCTCAGTAATGTGTATACTTCGAACAGGTGGCTCAAGGAAATGCAAGAGGTGTAGGTATATGCATATCCATACACGCCTCTCTTTTTCGCGCAATAATTCATATAATTATTAGATCATAAGTGGTATGATTAACTTTGTATATTTCTTGATACAGCCATTACTATCCATTTTTATTAGCACCACTAGCCCGTCGTCCGATCGACAATGCATTGATTCGCAGAAAAGCTCCAGATACGTGTGGACATCTCCTCGCCCGTAAAACTCTCGACCTAGTAATATTTTGCTGTCTCGCCACTGTACTCGTTACATGTAATCAAGGCATTAGAAAGAGTGCGTCGGTGGTGACCGTGGCCTCATCACTCGCATTGCTAAGCAACGAGGTGCTTCTCTGTCTTTCTAATACACGTATTGCTCGCTTCTCGCGCTTCTTTCTCATACACATTACGTCAGTGGTATATGGCTTTCATTGAATTGTATGAGGTTATCTACTTTGTAAATTGGTTAGGAAATATTCATTTTCTATCAATCCATCGAACTTTTTTTATGGTCAGTTGAAGGCATGATTGACTTGGCGCGGCGAATTATTGCAAATGAGCTATTATGTATAGCTTTTTTATATGTGGTGCATGTATGATGCAATATATATATACGGTAAAATTCAAATTTGGCTGACGCCGTAATGTGTACGAGAGAGAACCTCAATAAGCGCGCAGTATGTAAAGAGCGTACCAATGGCTTTCGTGACCTCCTACTCGGGTTGCTTCTATCTCTTTCTAACACACGTATTGCACGCTCCTCTCTCGTACACATCGCGACGTCAGTGGCTATCTGTATATCTAGGGTGATCATATGTACTTTTTTAGGAGGATAGCACTTTCTTTTCAACTCTGTACTACAGTCTCTTAAAAGTTTATCAAGTACACCTAAATGTACTTTTTTAGTAAAAAAATTGGAGAGAAACATGGGCGCCAATTGGGGGGAGGGCAAGGGGGCATATGCCCCTGGATTCTGATTCAAAGTGAAATATTCTTAATAAGATACCCGATCCTTGGGTAAGAAGTGGCGTGTGTGAAAATGATCAGGATCCCCTTAAATAAGAAAAATTCATTTTTTCTTTTTAGGCCTTTTTCTCTGCCGCCACTGGACCGCTGTTCAAAAACCAAAGCATTTGCGTCTTTGGCCCGGTAGTAAGATTGTGCAACAATTTTATCGAATTCCGAGCGGTACTTGTCAAGTTAGAAGCGGTTATAAGATTAGGGGACACATCGATGGAAATACGTGACATGGTTTTTCCCCGTGTACATGTCACATAACATACAAAAAGTATATCTCATTTTCGAAGTGTTTCGAGATTACAATACGGGCCCGCCAGCACAAGTGGAAAGTAAAAATGTTGAACTGGGTGACAATGCCATCAAAATGAAACCTTACACAGCAAATTTGAAGTAAGGATTAATCACAAATAACATTGAAAATCATCGGTTTCTAACATTTAAATATGAAAGAATAGCCAAAGGTTAGTGCCTTAGCAGAACTAAACATCAAAACATTAATTCCAAAATCCATAATTGTTTCTAAAATTCATTTCTGGCGAGCTGTCCAATGACCTTGGATCAATCAGTGTGCGTAATATATTAGGCATTAGGCTATCAGTCTCTTGCTAGACTTAGTTCAACATCATAGACGATATCAGACTTTATTATATCAACCATGTAAAAAAGTGTCGCCAACGATACACTTTTGACTTATAAATAAGTATTAAAATTACTTCATTGCTGTTTGACTATCGGAATTAGGAGGCTCACTAAAAGCAGATGAAAAATACACACCCTTTTAGACATTGACGTTAATCATGAACATTAAGGATCTCACTTTGAACGTATTTTCGGCCACTTGCACCAACAATTTATAACTATTTGAATATTTGCAAATGTTTTTGTTTACAACTTTGACGTTTAGTAAAAAAGTGATTCCAGTATTTTTTTATACAGGAGCGGACAAAAGTTTGGAAACAAATATTAACTTTATTATTAACTATTTCATATACCTAAATTAAAATTGTGAAAGAACAGATAATATGCATATTAAAGTCTACCTTTGGGTCTCGTACTAATACAAGGTTTATCTTATCAATATTCAAATACTCTGAAAATAAAAACAGGCCTTTATTTCAAATACCATAGTTTTTGTAACGACAAAAGTATGGAAACATTTCAGTTTTGCCGAATTTATTCGTTCTGCGATACTCTGATATTGCGTGCGGTAAGTATTAACATCAGTGAGAATGGCAAAAGTAAAAGAATTTTCATAACATTTAAGGGACAAAGCAATTAAATTATTTAGAAGTGGTGTCAAAAATGTTGACATTTCTTAAAGTTTAAAAATGAACATAGGGACGATTTCGAAAATTATTAGTAAATATCAAGAATACGGATCAACACTAACGCGGCCCAGGTGCGGAAGACCGAAAAAAAAACATTATGTTTTGGATCGCTACATTAAACGTTTGCCCCATGAAGATCCTCGAATGCCAGCCACACATTTTTAAAATAATCGTAGAAGAGTGTGCCGAGAATCTTTCTGTCAAATATTAGCTAAACAGTATTTTAATGCTAGTCGGTAGTACCACGGCAAACACAAATTGCCATTTGTATCCTCAAGTCTAAAAGCAAACTATCTGAGAAAAAAATAGTCCTTAATAATAAAGAATAAAAAATTAGCGTACTTTTTAAAAATTACTAATAATTTTTCCAAACTTCCCTCTGTATATCTCAAGAATATAATTCCGTTGTAAAAATGATTTCTACTATTATTTAAATCTTTGAAAGTTTTTTTTTTTTAATGAAATAAAGACATGATAGTTTGAAAACACATTTACTTGAATATACTTTATTTACAAGAATGACAGATGTATATGTTTATCTTAAATGGTTAGATACTTTTTTGTTCGATAATTAACAAATGGAGCGCGAAGAAAAAAGATTGATCCTTGCTATACTACAAATGAATGTCATTTTTGCAGGTCATACAATTTCCTCTTTAGACAAGAAAAAATGGCGCCAATGTTGTAATCAAGTGTAATCTGAGATTTGCTCGGACCTAGGACTCCTCAACAATAGCTCCTGCCCAGAGCCGACAGACATTTGGCAAAATATAGTACATAAAATAAATAACATTTTGCTCAAATTTCATGTCTGTATTCTATTTGGTCTACTATAGTAGTTTCAAAAATTGACAAATTTATTTTCATTTGTGTAACTATCTGGTAGAATAAAAAAAGGTGTCGATAATTTAAAATTGCTAATCAGTATAACAATAAAATATTATAAAATGAACATTGCTATTTTTCTTTTATTACCAAAATTGTATTTATCACAGAGATAAATTGCTTTATAATTGCACCTCTTCTTGCTTCTGCAAAAACGACTTCCTTTTATAAATCATTCAGTTCAACTCTCCCAAAAATGATGATATTCAGTATCAAAGTCTTTGCTCATTACTATCATTCTGCACCCCACTTAAAACCCATTTATTCCACATCCAAACAAACAAGTGCATTTGATCGCAGCTTCTATTACCTTATAGTTGCCCATCCAGATACTTATTCTATGTATGAGGCAATTCAAGTTATAAATTCTTGGGATCCGATCAACATGAAACATTTATTAATTAATATACAGAAATACTTACTAGTTGGTAAAAATAATTACAGATGCCAGAAACATGAGTATAGGTCAATGACATTCTATTAATATTTTCAAATAAAAACGGAAACAAAACAAAGGTAAAAAATATATACATTATATTTTCACATTGATGGGGTGGGAGAACGCAACGGCTACACTCTTTTTATTATTAAATTTGTGTGTATACTGGATAGATTATTTGTATCAGTTGTATAATTTATAGTAGTGTCTTTCTTTGTATATACATCATTTCAGGGATGTTTCTTTTGAAAAGTTATGTTCTTTGTCTAGGATTTTTACATTTGTGAAATCAAATTCATGCTGATTGTCAGTTGCACCATTGGCTAACGCAATGGACATATTTTCATTTATTATGTATAGGTATATAGATTCTGTCCCAGAATACCTACCACCGAACTTGCCAACATAAAAATAGTACACCAAATTTATAACAAAAAACAACGCTCTGAAGATGACGTTTAAAGTCGCCGAAGCGTCGTATTTTTAATATATTTCTTGGGTAGATCGAACCCCAAGAATTTATAACTTGAATTGATATCAACTGCGAGGAATTCAAAACTGCATATCCACTATACGCTTTGACGTTTACTGAGGTGAACAGCAAGTGACATTTTTGTGTTAATCTGCAACGTTGGCAGAAATGAATCGGATATAAATCTAGTAAAACTTGCTTGTGGCGTTTTGTTTTTTGTATGCAAATGAACTTTTCTAAATAAAAGAGCTGACAGCAAGTACAAAATGCATCTGTAACGTACAAAAAAACAAAATAAAATACGGCTCTTTCTACCTGGCGTTGACGGATCCGTCAGAATTATGTGTCCTGAACCGATATGGGAAATTTTGAGATATCACTGAATAATCAGCTGTGATTCTTCGGTGATGGATACTTGTGAAATAGGGTATACACATATGTCATGGACGTATCATACTTTGTTGGTCGTCACCAGCGATATGGTCTGTGCTAAACGCGCAACGTCGGCACTCACGCAATTTTCGCGTTTGAACGTCGGCAGGCCGCTGAGACTGAGATTATTTATGACTGACTTATGATGGTTGGAAAATTGGGTCCGTTCAAAAGAATATATTCTATGGAAACTGTCAGCGTCAACAATTGTACTGAAACTGAATGCTTGTCATACAAGACACACTAGAGAAGATCCCAGTATCATATGGTATGACAAACAAAGGCCTTCATTCATTCAAGCTCTCATCATATGTCATCATTTTGTGCACTTTGCATAGTCCAAGGCAAGAACAGCTTATTTTACTATGGTACATAGTTGCAAAAATTATTCATTCAGTTAGATTTTCCTTTGAATGTTTGCGTAGAGAGTTGCCAACAAATGAATAGGATCATATTTATAAACTACTTATTAATATGTATTCCAATAAGTTCTTGCTTGATCAGTCTCTACGCAGCTTAGATTTTCTATATGTACATATTACAATATATACTATAACTACTTGTTGATGATTTTATAATACAATGTCAAATCAGATGACGACTTCCAGATGAAGTGCTTTATGGTCCTTAGATCCATAGATGGATCCAACACCTGATCATTGCATGTCAATTCTATTTGATCTACAGTGTAGCCATTGTTGGATGGAGTATTTGATTCTGCATCTCCACATCCTGGTGAATTTGCTGTTCCATCTCCTAGGAGTTTTTCCAGGATATGCTCGGCTACCTTTCGGCATTGGATAAAATCATTGGCAACCAACCTGAAAAACAAAAGAAATATTCATTTTTACATTTACTTGCAGTGTATACCTGCATGGGTATTATATAACTTGAAATGTGACATTGTCTTTTTTTACATTATGTAGGTATATATATTTGGATGGATCTGCAGTGTCATTTGTGATAGGTTGATATGACCTGTTATCATGACACACATTCATATAAAAGCAATAAAAATTATATAATAATAATACTATATGATTATTCTTCCTAAGCATGAAATAACAGGCTCACATGAAAGGATGGGATCAAATGACAAACAAGCAAGAACAATTTTATTGTCCTTTCAGTACTGTGATAGGAAAACATGACAGGAATAAATGTATGAGCAACAAATATATTTTTTTACTACTAAAAAATGTATTACGAAATAATGTAGCCATATCGATACAAGGGGGCATTATGCCTCCTTGCAAGAAAACTGATGAACAAAAGTCTGTGAAGACTGTAGATTGTCTTACTTACCTATCTGGTTTCTTCATCCTATCTTGTTTCAGTAGATGTGAGGGTACACTAGAGTGTGGTTGTAAGTAAAACTGCACCTTGATAAACTTATTGGTACAGTTGTCCTCAATATTGGAAATTACCCAATTGGGTACTGTATCATTCAACAGTGCATTTTCTGTATCTCCTGCTGTGTCACCCACCAATACCCTATATAAGGTTCTTCCACCTACTTCACTTAAAATCAAAGGGATATGCTTGGGAACACTAAAATATAATCTATTTTCAGGATCTGTCTCTACCCCTCTCCAATGTTCAAAGAGTGCCTGCAGTAACAATTTACCATAATTTACTTTGTGATCAGGTTCTGGGGTATCACGGATGCCAGCATCTCGTGCAGATACCCAAGCAGAAAAGCAGTCAACTTCATCTTGGCCTAAATGTATGGTTAACATCCCTGTTTTGAGGTCTACATTAAACCAATTTGACACATAAACCATTTTGAATCTGTTCTTTAGCTCCTCTTGAAAATTAACCTGACCAAGGTCCTCTATTTTTCTTGCACGTAGGACATCATATAATGCCACATGTCCATGAGTATCTGTTGTAAGAATATGTCTCTTGTCATTCAGTACTGCAGCTTGCCTAATCGCAGCACCTCCAGGTATGAGCGATATGGGTTGAGTTGGCATCTTAAGTTCTTCTTTAAAATGCTTGTCTGTTGGTAGCTTCCAACATCGTATACTTGAATCAAAAGTTGATACCCAAACTGCCTGTTGGTCAGCTGTAAAGCACATTTTCAACACAGGGGCCTCTTCTACACATACTATCACATAATTCGAAGTGTTCTTCAAGTCTGTCATTATAACCTTTTTATCACGTCCTCCAGAGATCACATAAGTGAAACTTTCTGTCGCTAACAGTGCCCAAACTGAATCAGTATGTAATCTAATGGTTTGGATAATCCTTTGAGTTCCTAGGTTCCAATGTTTAATAGAACCATCAGAGCTGCCTGAGAGGCATTGTGTACCATCTCTAGAGACTACCAAAGCCTTTACATTGTCAGAATGACCTTTCAACTTGAATAATTTGGCACATGTTCGAGGATCCCATAATCTTAAAGCTTTTTCTGTGGATCCACTCACAATAACACTTCCTGAAGGGTTCATAGCTAAGCTATAAATAGACTCTTTACATCCAATCAGGCTAGAAGTTGTAACAGTATTATTACTGGCTGTTAAAGCAGTTAAAGTGTTTATATCCCAAAGATAGATTGACTTGTCTAAACCTGCAGATGCAACTTGTTCTCTATCTTTTGCATATGCTAGTGCTTTCACATAGTCCTTATGTGTACGAAGTGTGGACATGCAGAATCCCTTATGAGCATTCCACACTTTAACAGTTGTGTCAGAACTGGCTGAAATCAAGTGTCTGCCTCCGCAACACAGAACTATATCATTGACCCAGTCAGTGTGGTGTTCCATACTCTGCAGGAACCTTTCATGTTCGTGGACCCGGATGATTGAGTCTCGTCCAGCTGAATACAATCTGTCCAATACAGGGTCCAGCTGCAGGGCATTAACTCCAGACCTGTGTTTCCGTTCCTCTGCCTCGCATAACACCATTGATACCTGCACCTTTTTACGTGCATTTTGACTTCCGGGCTTCAGGTTCGCCATTTCGTCAACGGGTGAGGGACATTTTGTGATACTCTACAAGTACTTCAGATACTGTCCGAGTAAGCGGTAAAAGATCTAAAATCACAATTAATATCACAACACCAAAATGTTATTGTTGCTGTTGCTCGTTCGTTGATCTTGAGATGTTTTAACGTGTTCACTGTCGTTTTGTTGACATTCTTATGACAACTGTCAGGCGACGCCGTGAAAGTTGCACTATTGCCACGATGAGGAATATTAATCAACCTCCCATCTAAATTTGATTATTAAATATACGATAGGTTGGGAAATCTCAGAACTGGAGATACTACAGACCAAAATATGTGAATTGACCTAAACATACCTGAGTCCAGAAGTTGATAGTTTGCGAGATACAGGGTGTCAAAGTTACAATTTTATTTTCTATTTTTCCTTATCACTTGAGAAGTATTTCAGATTTTGGGATAAAACTCGGTATAGGAACGTTTTCTAGTATGAGAAACAAGATTCCGTTATTTTTCATGGCCAAACTTCTGGAGGGTGCTACTTACAGTACTATTTAGGTAAATAACTTATCATAACTTTTTTGTGCTACCCTGTATACAACAACTGATCGAAAAATCTCATTTTCTCGTATTTCCGTAACAAAAAAGATTTATTTGTTAGAAGTGACTAAAGCTAACAGTTTTCGAGATATTTGTTTTTAAAAGTTCCAATTCATTATTTGTACCATGGTGATAAAACATTTTTATAACATAATAATAAAGTTGCTTTGGATAATATCTGAGAAGCGATGCTATGGTTTCTAATGTTTGTCATAATATTGCTTTAAGCTTCATGAATATGTAATTTTAAGTTGACAATAAGTTGTTAAACATCATGGAGATTTACGTTTGATGAATATTCTGATATGCATTTAATGTACGGTTTGGCAAGATGTAATGCTTTAAAAGCCCGAAGATTGTATATAGATTCCCTAATAGACACCTGCCTAATTCAAAGACCTTCCAACGAATCGATCAGCGGTTACGAGAAACTGGTGAGAAATGATTATAGCCTTATTTTGAGTAGTAAAAAACATTTGGATTTTAAGTAGTTTTGCTCAAAATATGGGACAGCATAGTGGAGCTCCCAAAAGATACACGATAACGAATGCCTTAGTCTTAGAATATGACGACATTATGAAGAGGATCTCAGGGGAAGCAATTACGTTTTCGTATCGGTAGAAAATACCAAATCACTGTCCGCCCATCAATAAGAAGCGCTATACAAATAACTCAGATCAAACGACCTTTTGGTGAAGATCGGTCTAGCCACTAAAATCTGATGACTTGTATTTGTACAGAGTGGCCGATATGTAACATAAAATGATACATTTTCCATTATTACGAATAGTTTATTAAAATATTCGAGGGAAAGGTATCTAGGAATCAAGTACCTTGATTTTAGACTTTCATGGTATATTGATATTTTGTTAATTTGAATGTTTTCAATTTTTTATATCATATGAAATATATTTGTTTGATAGTATAAGCACAACACAAGTGTTAAATTACTTAGGTGCTTCTGTATATTATAACTTAACTTGCCTTTGTTTGAATTTTCTGCTGGATATACATTACTGAGATACATATTTAGAGTAAAATGTCAGTGCTGTTTGATTCTTTTGTAGATAAGTAAATAGAGTATTCAAATGTCTTTTTTGTAGACATGTGTCAGAAAAGTGATACCAAATAAAGTTGTAATTTATTAAATTGTGCAAAATATATACTTTTAGTGAAAATTATAGTAGCTGTTCTTGGATAATGAATATAGATGGTTTATCGTACTTATTTTGATTAGTGGGGTCACAAACTTATTCACCTGTTTTTTCCTCAAAGTAATAAAAATAAGTATAGCAAGCTATATAATTTAGAGTCAGATTAATTCGGCTACAATTTTCATTGAAAATATACAGGGAGTTCCGTTAAACAGAATAAAATAAAAATACAACTAGATTAGATTAATTCGAAATCATACAAAAAGTGCATTGCTTGAGAATTTTTTTTATTAGATCCTATAACTTTTCTATAGAACATTTTTTTCTAAACGGTCATATGTATATAAAACCGGTTAAATGTCAACTTGTGCATTAGGTAGCCGCTAGAGTGTGATGCTGGTTCATGCCACGCCTAGCGCAAGTGAGCATGAAATGAATGTCAGCTAGTTCAAAGGTGGCATTTTATATGAAAACCCAGAGAACGTCAACAAACCTACATAAAACATCGATATAATGTTCGTTATTTGGTCACGAGAGGAATGTACAGGAATCATTCTGCGAGCATTGTCGCCTTGTCAACTTAACTCAAATTCATCCTGAAGTAACAAAGTTTTCCACTGACTGTGAAGTACCCTAGAAAAACACTGAAGCGATTATATTCCTTCCACAACAAGGTTCAAGTTTTATTTTCAACTCAATCTTGTAACAGGAAAGAATGTCTCACCTCTATTGTTATTTGAAATTTCACCAGTTTCTGCTTGTTTCACCCCTTATATACCAATATGTTGTAAATAACATTTTTCTCTTTTCAGAGAATCGCAGACAGAAACATTTGAAGGGTTCTCCGCACCGCACAGTCAGTGAGCCGCAATTCAAATATCATTGAACTTGAACAGAAAACTTATTATTTGACAACAAAGATTGAGAAAACGTGTTTTTGGGATTCAATCGAAAGTGTTGACAGGAACGAAAACACTTTCCATGTAAGATTTTTAGGTATTTATGAAACCTACAAAATGAGACCACATGTAAAAAGGATCCGACTAACAGCAAAAATGTTATGGCCGAAAAACGAGGCAAAATGCAGGTTTTGGCACTTGTTGGTAATGCGACGATAATTTCACGCAACTAGTTGAAATTCTTCAAACCCGTAGGATTCATAATTCTAAATAAAACAGTAAAATTCGAGAATATTGGTCAAGTGGTTTTTTGAGAATGTATAATTGTTTATCCCAAAACACTTGTTTTCCGGCCATCACTACTAGTTTATTGAGCAATATACAGGGTCCATTCAAAAAGCATTTAGTAGCAAAATGCACTTGTTTATCTTGCCGATATGAATCACAAACCATTCCGAAAGATAAATGTTATTTTCATGCGAAAAACGAAGGTTGGGTTTTTTCTTCAAACCAAATTCAAACATTTCGTATTTGTGAGTAATTGAGCAAATGCGTACGTTACTATACACATTTTAAAACAAAACGGATGTATCTATCATCTATTGTTGCGAATTACTCACAAATACGAAATGTTTGAATTTGTTTAGAAGAAAAAACGTAACCCATCCTTTATTGAATAAAAATAACATTTATCTTCCGGAATGGTTTGCGATTCATATCGGCAAGGTAACCTAGTGAATTTTGCTATAAAATGCCCTTTGAACTGACCCCGTATATTGCTCAATAAACTAGTAGTAATGGCCGGAAGACAGGTGTTTTGAGTTAAACAATTAGAAATTCTCAAAAACTACTTCACCAATCTACTCCAATTTTGTTGTGGTTATTTAGGAGTACCAATCCTATGAATATGACGACTTCCAAATATCTGCGAGAAACCATCGGCGCATTACCAACAAGTGCCAAAACCTGCAGCTTGTCTCGGTTTTCGGCCATACCTTTTTTGCTATTAGTCGGATCTTTTTACGTGTGGTCTCATTTTGTAGGTCTTATAAATAGGTACCTAAAAATCTTATATGAACAGTTTTTTCGTTCCTTCCGATACTTTCGATTGAATCCTAAAAAAACACGTTTTCTCATTCTTTGTTGCCGGTTAAAAAGTTTTCCCACAAAAACGGGTGTATCCATTTTATGCGTCCATGTTTTGAATACCCCCTTGAACAACTTGCAGCAATTAAACCAGACTTTCCACTTATTTCGTATTTTTGTCTAATATGATTAGACTATAATTATTATGCTTCGCTGCAACACCAACCCCGAACAACATCAGTCAAGCTTTACACACTTTTCAAATTACTAGTGAGCAACAAACAGAACATAAATCACATACAAGTGCAATCTGTATAGCTAATACATTGCTCAGACTTAGATTTGTCACAAGTCACAATACTCGTATTTACGTATAGTATTTGGAATACCAAAGGATACCAAAAAAATCGTAATGTTCAGTTTCTATAGAACTTATAGTTAGTATGCCTCTGTCGCCATGATGTGTCAGAAAGCAGCACAATGGTGTTGGATGGCAAAAGCAAGTGTCAGACGTCTATGGGGGGAGGCGCCGCCACTGTTACGGCATGTCGTCTTTGAAAAACCGAATGATATAATAATTATTTCCTACATCTACATATTAAGGCGATCATCAACTCATCGCGATGATCAGCATGTGGTCATCTTGTTGCGGAGACATAAATATGATACATTGACACTCTAAGTGCAATTCGTACGTGTACGATTTATTTGTTAAACTGGTGGAAGTTCGAAACATTAATCGTACCTACGAAATCTAACAACGCAAGACGGCAAACGATATCGTCTACCATTAGTTTTAGAAGAATAGCAAACTCTAAAATCGGTTAATTATTGTCTGCCCATTCCAGTTTTTGCAGAGACACCTTATAGTATTTCCGTTTGTCCCTTAAATAAATATTGCACTGTTTTCTGAGTCGTTTAATTCGCCGTCGCCTCGTCGTAGCTAAAAAAAAATAACATTGGCAACAGTGTATAAGTGCAGATACAAATGTCATATGTGAAATGTGACAAGTGTCGAATGTCGAATGCTCAGGGGAAAATTTGATAGGATATACGATGCTTGTGCTTGTGTGTGTTGTACAGACCATGTACAAACGGTTTTTTTGATTTCCAGAAATAGATTTGAAAAGAAAAAAGACATTTTCCTTGCATGATTATAGCAGTAAAATTATCTGTAGTTTGGAATAAGCATGGACGAAACCGATGACAATAATGCAGAGAATGGAACAAATAAGGTAAGAATGTGAGAAAATAATCATTGGATAAACTTTGCTGTCTTATTTAAATAGTTGACTCTTGTTATTCCAATTGTAAAATGTTTGTAGATATTACCTGTTGAAGAAAAGGACAAGGAGTCCGAAGATTCACTTTCACTCTCCTTAACTCCGCCGCTCTTAGAAGAACATAAACAAAAAAATGTAATGGAAGCTCAAGACTCAATTTCCGAGCATCTAAACTCTCATAGTAACAGTGTAGAAAATGACCGTTCGTGTCATGAGATTGAAATATCTGACCAATCCAATGTAATGCTTAATTTACCAACAGAAAAAAACACTTGTGCACCACAAGACATACCTCTAGATATCAGTATTTTAAGTGATAGTAGCATAATCAGCTTAAATTTCTTAGAACGCATAAGAAATTTAGATATTGGTGATGAAGGTAAAGCTGTCTTGGAGGAAGTACTGAGTAGTGAATCTTTAAAGTATAGAAAAGATGTAACAGATTCTAGAGAAGGAAGTCTGGATATTTTTGCTAATGTTGATTTAGATGACCCAAGCTTGTCTAACACTAAAATAAGTGATACTGGAGGTAAAAAAGAGATACAGGGTTCTCATGTTCCAAATCAAGCTTTGAATAACCCTGAAGAACCAAAGTTACTTACTGCATTATCAACTGAATTAGATTCATATAAGGAGTGTAGCAATACAAACACAGGAAGTTTGTCAACCACAGAGTACAAACAACTCCATGAAGAATGCCATAATAAGGTTATTTTTTATGATATGTTTATACAATAATTATATATAATCCCTTATTAATTTTATTTATTGACATTTTTATTAAGACAAATGCTATGAATACATCTCTTTGTAAGAAAAATAATACCTTTTCACATTTAAATTCACAGATATTTACTAATTTCTATTCAATATTACCTTAAAGTTTGCTAAACAGTTATATCAACAAAAAAAAGTAACAGTACTGATTCTGATACTTTTGAACATTCATAATTGTTTCCCATCTTACTTGGCTTATTAGAAATATTTTTCCTGAAAATAATTTCTATAATAAATAAATCCCACCCAGTTGTGCTTCAGAATACCATAACAGTGGTAAAGCATTTGTTGTATGATGGGATTAACATGTTTATGGGCTTATAACAACTTTTCATTGTATACTAAGTAGGGATTGACCAATACCAATATTTATACAAGGTGATTCACAAGTCATGACCAAAAATGTAACATCATTTTAAGGGGTGTCTTTCTCAAGGGCTTCATTAAAAAAATATGGGGTGTTGGAAGTTTAAAAATAAAAAACATTTTTTTTATATATCCTCAAAACCCTCAACTGGAATGAACTACAATTTGGTATATGGATTTACCTAAGTATTGTCCACATTCAAAAGTCTTTACTTAAACATGCACCAGTGGCAGAGATACAGGGCTTTAGTGGCATTATTTTTCCAAATAAAAACAGAATGCCACTGAATTTTTAGTTCATTTTGCTACAAATAATTACTCTTGTGTTTTTTCCTAGAGTTCACTGTTTTCATAAAAAAAAAATAAGGAACAAATTAGATCAATCATAAAGAGCCAAAATACGATTATGTAGTTTCAATATACAATAGGAGGGCTTGATAACAACATGATGTTTCTTGGGAGATAGTTTGTCAAAGTTATGTGTTATATGGTTGTTATCATTACTACTACCATTTTTTTTTAAGTTGAGGAATTTAGTAATGATAAGTACGCCAATATTATGTTTATGTACGGGTTCTGTAATGGAAACGCTTCAGCAGCTTCTCGGGAGTATCATCGTAAATGTCCAGTCGCCAACCGACCCCAAAGGTTTTTACGCGTTCATTTCTAAGACTTCGGCAATTGCCAAACTTCCCAGAGCTAGAGGCCATGGTGTCCAGCATACTGTTCAAGAGGAACTGGAAGAGATTAATTTGGCATTGCATGATTCTAGTACAAGTACTAGGCGGATTGCAACCCAGTTACCATGTTCCCAAAGTCTTGTGTAGAGAATTTAAAATCGGGAAGTTTTACATCCTTACCATCGGCAAAATGTGCAATGTCTGCAACCCGGCGACGAAGTGCAATGACGAAATTTTTGTGAGTGGTTACTGCAAATGAATAATCAAAATACAGGTTTTATTGATTTGGTTTTGTGGTCAGATGAATCGCTTTTTACGAGGAGTGGAAACTTTAATTCTCATAATGAACATATTTGGTCATTAGAAAACCACCTATTCTGTAAGAATCCACTCGTTTCAACACAGATTTTCTAGAAAAGTCTGGTGTGGTATTTTCAATGGCCAACTGCTTATGCGCGTATTGCTACAATGTTTAAATGCAAACTCATACTTAGCTTTTCTGGAGAATTACATAGAAAATTTGTTAGATGATGTTCCATTAGCAACGAGAGTTCGAATGTCTTATCAGCACGACGATGCCCCACCACATGTTCCTCGTGACATAACCTCATGGTCAAATAATCATTTTAAACAACGATGGATTGGCAGAAACGGACCCGTACATTGGTCTGATTTGAACCATCTGGATTTCTCTTTGTGGGTCGCTTTTAAACAACTAGTGTATGCTGAATAAATTAATACTATTGATCAGTTACAAGAAAGAATAGATAATGCGTTTCATCAAATTCAAACCACAACACATTTTGCAGAAATACGTTTTTCTTTATTAAAAAGATGCTGCACTTGTACCTGTCAGAATGGTGGTCTTTTTAAACATTTATTGAAATAAAACTTTAATTATCTAATTTGTTTTATTTTGCACTCTAGGAAAAAACAAGATTGATTATTTGTAGCAAATTGAGTAAAATGTGAAAAATCGCGCGTTTAAAAAAAACAGTGGCGTACTATGTTTATTTGGAAAAATAGTGCCACTAATCCCCTGTATCGCCGCCACTGGTGCACGTTAATTTTAAGGAAAGACTTTTTAATGTGGACAATACTTGGGTAAATCCAATTTTTGAAGATATTATGTTTTTTATTTTTAAACTTTATCTGTTTAATGAAGCCCTTGAGAAAAAAATGTTACATAGAAGACCTTCCTTAAAATGCGGTCCTATGAATGATGTTTCATTTTTATTCACGACTTGTGAATCAGCCTGTATAATAGGTATCTGCATATTTTGCTTATATATGAATCACCTGACATGACTGCCTATAGCTGATATGGGCTGACTGATATAAATTATAAAGGAAATGTTTAATATATGTGAAACAAAAACTCTGCAGAATACATATACCTGTTTTAGTTACATGTATAACAAAATGAAATAACAGCCATATTCTATCTTCATTTTCACCTGAGTTGCTTAATTTTGGTACATTCAGAAAGGTGATATATTTGATGTGTTCACTATTTTACCCAAAGAAATCTGTTTTTTGTACAGGCCACACATTGCACTATTAAGTCTGTCAAAATATTTCCAAATAGCACTCTAGTGTATCTGATTTTTTCTATCACTTGCGTACATGAAGACGTGTAAATATTAGAACTTCCATCCTGTTACTTCTGCCAGTTGGACATACACAAATGTATATGTAGTACGATTTCTTCATATCTATTTTGGTATTTCAAACCCAGCTTGTCATTGTTTACACCATATCTTATAATTTTTTTTTTTTTGAGGTAATGATAGCTGTCAAAGTGTGTGTTCATTCATTGTACTTTACAATCTTACTGTTCAAGCCTGTTTGCACCGAATACATGCACCATAAATTTGTACAAGTATACTTGTAGTCACCATATCCTTGTAGATGTTACAATTACTAATTGAGCAAAAAAGTGATACAACTATACATTGTGTAGCCATCAATAGACATGTTTATGGTTTATGGTCCAAGAACTCATTCAAATCAAAATATACCCAATTGTGTATTTAAAGAACCATATGGCCGATAAAGCCGATATACTTCGAAGTTGAGTCATTTATTTTAACAGTGAGTAGATCTGATCAAAAGAAATGTTTTTTTCCTTTACCATTTTTCTGGTAAAATTAAAGTAACAAAGTTATAGCCCTTTGGAAGTTTGAGTACCGCCCTGTCTCGATAATATCATGTACTCGTGTTTGGCAACAACGGATATAATCCACCTTATCGGTTCATCGCATCGGAAACAAAAAAGCCAAAGAATTTGGAACGATGTTTATTTTATTCAGTTCAGTTATACATACAGTCAATGTCAGTCGCGTGTGAATAGTGTCTGTTGCGTGGCTCAAACGAAATAAAAAATGGCACATGTTTATGCGGATCGGTTTCCCAATCGAGTGCAACCAACCCCTCGTGCCTTTGTTAATGTAGTACAACGGGCTCGTGAATCAGGTGACTTCAGACCTCACAGGGGACCTCACGATCAAATACAGGTCCGCACTGAAATACTTGTCGGGAGGATACTTTATAAAACAAGGTAAAAATTTTTTTTTATTTTTTTTTTATTTTTACACACATATTTTGGTTTATCTTCCTTCTACAATCATTATCTGAAAATTAATGACTCAACTTCAAAGTCACCCTGTATATCTATCTATATATATATATATATTGCCAAACATATTACATTGGTAGATATCTAATATTGAGTATTAACACTTTTTTCTTTATTAGCTTTTAGAATATGACAGTGCTCTTGTATACAAAAATGACCTGATTGCACAATTGACTGAATCATTGGACCAGTCAGTTGCAGAGAGGAAAGAGCTTCTAAACCAAATTTATATTTTTAAAGAGGAAATTGCATCTCTTAAAAATCAGGTACAAGAAGCTACACAGATGGTTGCCCAACATAAATGTACATCTGAAAATTCCAGACAAGAAAGTATTCAGCAATCTAGTGCTGATGATAATATTAAGGTTAGTTTACAGCTGCAGCTGTACCAATATTATTTATTTACATGTTTCTGTGTAAAAAGAATAAAATGTCGAGCGATCATTTTAGAAATCATCATCTGAGACAATCTGCTTAGTATCATTCGTAACATCATGTCAGATGGATGTATGTACGCGTACGTATATTTGAAGTATCGAGTTCACTCTCGCATTGTGATTTAAAATGGGAATGTTCAAAGAATCAGAATCGATAAAATGAAGTTTTTATGGAGAGCTTGAGCTCATATTGACTTCGAAACAAGGCGATAATCATTATATGAGTAATGAACAGTATTTGAAGTATATCGAAAGCGTCAAAGCTGCAAAAAAAAGCGTTCGACTTTACAATACCGCCGTTTCAAACGTTTCGGTATGTTGAATTGGTGACATAGGGAAGTAAATTGCTCCTTTATCCAATGGAGAAAATACCGAGGACCTCAAATAGTACGTCAAGAATGAAAACCTGTTTGATGTTCTTGATGAAAAACACGTGAGCATTGGGTATGGCGGTAGAAGAAGGATGATTGTAGAAGCTAAGAACATGTACACATAAATCACTCAGGAGGCTGTTCTTATTTATCTTCGTTTTTGTAAGTCATGTCAAATGAAACAAAATTCAATCAAAAAAGGTACTTTCGTGAAACCCATTTTATCTAATGAGCTGAATAGCCGTTGCCACGTAGATTTGATAGACATGCAAGCCCAGACGGCAATTTTAAATTCATATTAGTTCACCAGGAGCACCTGACGCAGTTTGTACAGCTGTGCTCCTTACAAAGTAAGACTGCTGAGGAGGTATCAAAGGTACTGCTGGAAATATTTTGCATATTCGGATCACCATCTATATTGCAATAATGGTCGGGAGTTCGTTAATCAAGTTGTGGGAAATTTGACAGAAATTTAGCCAGGATTGTACATGGGAAGCCGCGCCATAGCCAGTCACAAGTAAGCGTATTAGCCAAACGAAAAAATGCTCAAGGTGTGGATGACCGATGAAAATTTTCAAAAATCGTCTGAAAGACTAAGATTCGTTCAACTAATGAAAAATAGAGCATATCATCATGGAGTTAAATATCGCCGTACCAAGCAATGTTTGGTTGTGATGTTAAAGTTGGCTTAACATCATCAGTTCTACCTCTCGAAGCAATCGAAACGATCGAGAATGAGGTGGATGTGGAGAAAAGTTTTGAACAGTACAAAAATAACAGTAGCGAGGTAAATAAGACAGAAATCGGATCCCATGGAAACGAAATTACAGAAAAAGCAATTTGTCAGCTTTGTGACCAGAAGGGAGGTGAAAAGTGTGACTTGTGCGAAAAGAAACAAATGATAGATAATAGTAGGAAAGATGTTGCAGTTTCTTCATTATTACAGGCTAATAAAATGACAGCTTCTTCAAATGAAAAGTTTCCTTCTTGCAAGGTAGGCGACACCATCCGTGTCCAAATTCCTGATGTTGATAGAGGTAGATGAGACTTCTCAAACGTTTTAACGGTGGTATTGAATGTACTGAGGATGGTTTCTATAGGTTGGTCAACCAGTTTGGCACAGTGCCCGAATTTGTTTGTAGGAATCAATTCACCATGTGCGAATCAACATTTTTAGACCTTGAAAATGCTCGAAAACAAGTCACTGCGCCAAATAGCCAATGCCTAATCTTCATCTGGTGGACAAGGCTATAAAAGATTTTGTTTTTGTTCTGTTATTGGCACTGGTCGATGACCAACTGGCCAGATCGTTGCTATAAAAGATGCCACTGTAAAACCAAGTGTGGAAGTAGAAAGTGTCTTTGTAAAGCTGCTGGTATTTTGTGTAACTCTACATGTCATTTAAGTTTATGTTGTTCAAATAAGCAGATAACCCATCGTCCCAGTTTTTATCATAATGAATGTTTGAGTAATTTGTGTTAATTAAATTGTTATACCCGCACGAAATATTTAAACAATCTAAAATTCAGTTACAGTTACGGAAAAAAATGTTTAATTTGTTATATTGTTTTTATAGTTGTCGTCACCATTCTTAGTGGGTCAAAGTAAGACTACCGGTATCCCTTTATATACCTCCATCTCCCTCATACATACACATGTAAAATACCATTGTGTGTGAACTGTGAACGTTTGTTCGGTAAGCTGAAAGACATACGTTTTTTGGTTGTGTGTCTCTGTTCCGAAAACTTTGTCGTTACGTATGAGTGCCCTTGAATCATACATGTCAGAGTGACAACTGACTTTCATATGGCATTGATGACGTAACCGCCAAGAACGGTGGCTACAACTGTACCCGAATGAAGTATTTGAAATTGTAAAGTTCAGTTACAGATACGACAAAAAATTATGTTGAAACTGTTATATATAAGTTTTTTTTATTATTGCGGTTACTTACCTGTGATGTCAATCCCAAGGTATGGCTAAGTTATGTTTAAGAAATTTATTCCTGAAATAAATAATATAAAAATGATGACATATTTTATTTAAAAATACTTGTCCAAACCTTGTAACGTTTACATCTGGTTTTAACCACTAAGGATTGGCAAGACCTAGTGTATCTGGTATCAAGTTGGTTGTAACAACTTTTAACCGAATGCAAGCGGCTAATTCTATACCCTATTTCACACTTTGACGTCTACTGAGGTGAACAGCTGATTCGCAAGTGACATTTTTGTGTTAGTCTGCGACGTTGGCAATTGTGAATCGGGTGTAAATCTAGTAAAACTTGTTCGGAGCGTTTTGTTTTTTGTATGCAAATAAACTTTTCTAAATGAAAGAACTGTTGGCAAGTACAAAATGAATCTGAAACGTACCAAAAAAAAAAAAAAAAAATACGGCTCTGACTACCTGACGTTGACAGATCCGTCAGAATTATGTGTCCTGTGCCGATATGGGAAATTTTGAGATATTACTGGATAATCAGCTGTGATTCTACCGTGATGGATACTCGTGAAATAGGGTATAGGTTTGGCCATGACTGTATAGGTTACACCTAAAACTAACCATCTGCCAGTGGCTAAACCTAGTTGTCACCGCATTTCAGGTTTTAGTCGTAACATATATATATATATATATATATATATAACTACACGCATGTAAAAATGAAAAATTAGATAATACTACAAAACTTTCAGATTGTCAGCAATACTGATATAGAGAAAGAATTTGCAAGCTTAGAAGATTGTATCAAAGAGGATAAACTGGCAACATTCGAGAATCTTAAGCAAAACATGTTGAGCTACATGAGTGAGAACAGTGAAAAAAACAAACAAAAATTTGAGGCTCAATTGAAGGTCATAAAGGTAGCTTGTTGCTTTAATTTCTACTTGTAAAACATGTTTTTATATTCAATTAATGATTAATGTCATTTATGTATGAGAAATTTCAGTTATCTACCACTAGCTTGGGAAGTTTTTATTTTATTATTAATATACTTATTTACACCTTAGGAAGAAAAACAACTTGAAAAAGAAGAATATGAGTGTGAAATTTCGAAATTAAGAGACTTGATAGCAAATATAAAGTGTGGCTCCACAGAAATAATGGAAATAAAACATGAATTGGAAGCACTACATTCAAAAGAACTGGAAGAATTGAGAACATATTTTGAGAAAAAGTGTGCAGAACTTGAGAAAAAGTACGTAATATATATATATATATATATATATATATGTATTGTGAGAAATATATGTATATTATATATTAATGATATGCGAATATTTAATGGTGTGAATCTACATGAAAAATTAATGTTACTTTCCTTTATATATGGTCCAAAAATGTTTCTTTACAAAAACTCGGGGTGTTGAAGTTTTAGGAAAAAAAACTGAAACTAATTAATATTTTCAGAACCGCTTCAGATATTTAGTACATAGTGAAAGTTAATAAATTTGCATATTTTTCAATGCAAAAATAAGTTTTAGCTTTAACAGTATCGTGTGTATGGGTATTGACTTCGATATTATTTGAAAAAAATGGTACGCCAATGGTTTTTTGCCAAATAAAAAATATTTTTGAATTCCCCGTTCAATTTTAGACAAATGACCTCTCTTGAATTGTTTTCCTTCGATGCGCCATTTTTGAGTAAAAAAAATAAAAACCGCTCTATTGTCCGAGAAAATTAATGTAATAATTGAAGAATGTAATTTTAGCAATAAATATCTAGTTGCTCTGGAATATGTCACTGGATTTTGTCATCTGACAAGTCTCTGTTATTCAAATCTGTTTGCTGTAACATTTTTTTCATTATTTAGTTTTTACAATTTTGTTAATAATGGTGTATTATTCAAATGCGGAAATGGCGGAAATGCATTACGTATATGGCCTTGCCGATGGTAATGGTGAGCAAGCCAGACGGATTTATCACCAGAGATATCCCGATCGTGCTTTGTCAGATAGTCGAACCTTTTCTAATATTCATCGTCGTCTTGTTGAATCTGGTTCTGTCCGAAAAGGAACATCTGAAGGTAGACCTCTCAGTGTGAGAACACCTGAAATTGAGGAAGCAGTGCTGCACGAAGTCGAAGAACATCCTGAAACGAGTACGAGGAAGATCGCTATACACTTAAATATTTGCCATCAAATTGTTTGAAGAATTTTAGTGGATTTTTTGTTATATCCTTAACATATTTTAAGAGTACAGGCATTACTTCCCATTGATTTTACAAGGCGTGTTATTTTTTTTCCAGTGGTATCTTCAAAAAATTACAAAAATCCGCAATTTGATTCAATGATTCTGTTCACGGACGAAGCCATTCAGAATTTCCACAATAATCATTTGTGGGCAGAAGAAAATCCCTATGCCGTAACCGAAACCCATTTCCAACACCAATGTTCGGTTAACATATGACCCCTAACGTGTTTAATTTTTTTACTCAAAAATGGCGCATCGAAGGAAAATAATTCAATTTGTTTTAAATTGAACGGGGAATTCAAAAATAATTTTTATTTCGCAAAAAACCATTGGTGCTACATTTTTTTCTTGAAAAATATCGAAGTCAATACCCGTACGCACGCCACTGTTAAAGCTAAAAATTATTTTTCCATTGAAAAATATGCAACTTTATTAACTTTCACTACGTACTACATATCAGTGAAATATCTGAACCGGTTCTGAAAATATTGATTAATTTCCATTTTTTCCTAAGACTTCAACACCCCAAGTTGTTTCAAGGAAACATTTTTGGACCATAGTTTATACAGCAAAATAACATTAATTTTTCACACCCTTAAATATTCGCATATCATTAAGGAAACACCCTGTGTATATATATATACATTTTTTTTACGGAAATTGGAGTATTTTCACTTTGTATGTATTATGGAGGAAAATTTGCTATTCTATACGAATAAAAAAGCAGTCAGCTATATTTTCCTGAAATGTCTAACTTTGCATATAAAACTAAATAGCAACTTATAAAATATGGTATGAAATAAATTGTAACTTCCTGTGAGTTTCCCACTGTTTAACGTAAAATTAAAAGAATCTACATCTAATTATGTTCCTTATATGTCCAGTTATTCAGAAGAGGTATTTAGCCAACAAAGCAGAAAAATGTCAGGATCAACATGTTCAGAAGCTGAGTTGAACTCTGATGTACTGTTCTCTAATACGCCTGGTCCGTGTGGTGACACCAGCTATAACATTCAACTAAATCTCACCAAAAAGGATGTAGTGAATTTAAGAAATGAGCTCAGTAGCCTGTTAGAGAGGATTGCAAAATATCAGTTGGATAACATATCAGATGATGATATGGAAAAGTTGAAATCGGAGATTTTATCATCCAACATGGGCATTCTGCTGAAATATGATTTAGGAGTGATACGGAGTGACCTTCAAAACAAGTACCATGCTGAGCTAGAGGTATTAAGGGAGGACCATGAAAATAAGGTCGATATGTTGAGGTTGAAACATGAGGATAAATTACGAACTCTAGAGAATAAATATTTAGAGGAGATTAATGATTTGAGAATTCAGTTAGAGGAGATTACTAGGCAAAATATGAATAGCAGTTCTGCTGTTCAGGAGGTAGTAAGTTGATAAAGTTATTGATATTTCATGTGTTGGTTCTTCTTAATTGTGTGTTAATATTTTCTCATATGATAATATTCATCTTATCCCTTTAGATTCTGCCATCTGCTATATATGGAGTCAGTTTACAAAGTTTTGCAATACAGCTTTATTTATTGACCTCGCTCAAAGTAATTTCCACCACTTCTCCATCCGCCAAAACCAGTCCTGCTGGTTGCTCTGCCAAGTTTCACCCGGGAGTGCGCCACACTCGTTGTCCCAAGTCTTCAGAAGGTCCTCATCGCTGGAAAACCGTTTTCCTTTTAGCTTCATTTTCACATGCCGAAACTGTAAAGTCGCAGGGAGCAAGATCTGGACCAAATTTGGACTCTAAGGAGGGTGCTCAATAAGTTTCAGTCCAGTAGTGTTCAAATACTCGGTGCAGGCTTTGGCGCGGTGAGCTGGAGCGTTGTCATGGTGGACGTTCCAAGTATCCATTCTTGACTTTGGCCGCAAGTTTTTCATTAACTCTATGACTTTAGGCACTCACTGTTCTGTGTACCACTTAGCTGTGACTGTCGTCTGCGTGTCCAAAACGACCCGCTCCACAATCCCGCTCGATTTGAAAAATACAGCTATCATTTTTTTCTTAACATATCGGGATTTTCTGACAGCTACGGGTGTGTCCTCATCATCAAAGACCCAAACTTTGTTTTGAGCCTTGGTCGGCACATCGTAATAATAGAGCCAAGTCTCGTCACCTGTCACGATGCTGTTCGCATACCGAGATTCTCTCTTATTGAACATTTTCAGCATCTTTCGGCACCAAGTCGTACGACGAGTCTTCTGCTCTTCCGTCACACTATGCAGTACCCAGAGAGAACAAAGTTTCCTTACGTATAAATGGTAATTCAGAATCGAATGAATTGCTGGTGCATGAATGTGTAAGGTCTCCTCTATCTGTTGGTATGTCACTCTCCAGGCTTCGTCAAGCATTTTCCTCACAGCAGTAATGTTTTCCTGTTACTGACGTTCGCGGCCTTCCTTCCCTCTCAGCGTCCTCCAGAGCGAAGTTACCCCTTTTGAATCCTCCGGAGAACCTGAATATAGTCGTACGATGAGGACAATCATTCTTCTAAGCACTGGTTTATACTTAAACGACTCCTAAAGTTATACCGTAAAACTGTCTATATCTCACTACGTGACCACGATGCCATAGTCCGCACTCTACACTGTCAATACGAATGAACAACTAAATCAACATACATGCTGCTGGCGGCTACTATGCACTCCTGGACATGTCTCAACATGCATCCTCCTGCGTCCGTTTGTTAAATCATATTGCAAAACTTTGTATTAGTAGAGATTGTATCTTATCAGGATCTATATAGAAATTTATATTTATCCATGTTTGATCTATGGAAATGGTTTTACCAAAAGTGTATTGTTTCTTCATTTCTTGGCAAACGTATTTACAGTCTTTCAGTATGCACCTACTATATCCACAATAAGAAATAACTCTCAAATATATACAGGGAAAACCAAATTTGCCTGAAGGATTGCTTTCAATGTGCTCGAGACAGAAGCGCGAAAAGTGTGTATCAACACATGTTAGAAAGAGATCGATGCCGGCTGAAGAGCGAAGGTCATCGCCACATTGACTATCAATGGTAACGCAGGCAATCTGCCGCGTTGCCAATATGTTACACCAGAAAATGTTCGCACAGGCTTCTATGAAATAGTAGGCTACGTTACTGTCAAGCCCAAGAAAGAGATCTGTTCGAACATTTGATTTAATATTTTGATTAGAATTATATATTTCAATTTTGATGCCGCTTAGTGTTTGAATTTATTTTAGAATTCTCTTCCATTTCCACCAATGATGACAAAATCACCACATTCTGAGTTATTGTTACATTCTGCGACAGCGAGAAGTCGGAAAATGCAAAAAATACCATTACGCGAAACAAATTATCACTCCCTGCGTGTACGCAGATGAAAACCGTCTCGAAGCAGGATGACACTCCCTAATTAGCGCTAGATAGATGCTGGCCAAAATCGCTCATCTATGATCATGAATGTGAAAACCTTGCCTTCAAAAATACGAGATGAGGGGTTGCCAAGCGAACCAATGATGCAATGTCGCAGAATTTATGGCGATCCAGACCTTTCATTTCGACCTAAAATGGTGCGGCGTTAGGTCCGATCTGGAATCGATCCTAAGCAGATTCGACACAATTCACAATTCAAATATGTGTAAGCTCAAAATAAAACCATTATTTGGGCGTAGAGAATAAACTAACGCATGTTTTCAACATGCATCTGAATTCATAACATATTTGTCTATACGTAGTTCTCTCTCGTTTACTTTGAACTCAAGCCGTAATAAATTTGGTTCTCAGTGTATGCTTAACTATGCACAACATATATTTGCCTGCAAAAGAACTATGATCAATATTCAAGGGCTGATTTAGAGGGGAGCTTCCCCGCAAAACGCCCAACTCTGCCGAGACTTACATCTTCCTAACCATGAATGCTGCACCTCCCTAGACTGATTCCTAAATAGACCTTGGATTATCTTATAGTTATTTGACCATATTTTTGAGATCATATATGATGATTTTGAATCAGTTAGCATTGATCCTTCTAGAAGTTACACATATTTTTTAATTCAGCTATATCTGTTTGGACTTATTGGTCAAACACTTGATTTGCACATAATCGCAAAAGGATATTTTTTTGACCTAATCTTCATCTAAAACCTACCTAAAATCCAAAATGCTTGAAGAAGCTACAATTAGCAATCAGTATTGGAACGTATGTAATGTCAAATAACATGTTTTTGCTCAACTAAACTACAACTCTATGTTAACATCAAAAAGCTACTAAAGATCTCAATTCATATAAAGGGAAAGGGACGCGGATTTTTACGTTGGGTTCCATTTATGTGCGTTATATCATGAGTCTCCGTCTCCCCATATTCTGCACTGAATTTCATATAACCCCATTACTTATTACTTGATATGCATATTAAATACATCTGTTCTAACTGCATGCTCACTATACTTAGGGTAGCTCTGGTGAATTTGAAATCAATGAAGTGGTGCAGAGCTATGAAAGGCGCTTACAGGAACAAGTTACTCTCGCGAAAATTGATATCATTTCTGCCCTTGAGAGCCAAATACAGGTATATGTACCCCTTATACATTAGCATTTACAAATACATTCACACGACGATCGACGCACCACTAATTCTAGCTATTATATTGCTTATTTTATAAAGGGTGTTCAGATAGGGACGCTCGATGTTTGAACGGCGCGCGCGCCCAAACCGGTGGGGATACAGCTGTCAAATTTTGTGAGGTTATTAAGTTAGTCTTGACATTTAATCATGGAGCAGTACACGATTCAACAACGCGTGAAAATTGTGAAAATTTATCATCAAAACAGATGTTCGGTTCGTGAAACGTTCCGCGCATTGCGTCCAATTTATGGTGCGCATGGCCGTCCTGCTGAGTCCACTATTCGACGTCTGCTCAATAAATTTGAGAGAACTGGCTCAGTGGCAGACCAAACAACACCCGTACGGCAACGAACAGTAAGAACAATCGAGAATATTGCTGCTGTGCGAGAGAGCGTGCGTCAAGACCCGAATCAGTCATTGCGGCGACGTGCACAAGAACTTGCCCTTCCAAAGACCTCAACATGGACAATTATGCGTCGAGACTTGAAATTGCACGCGTACAAAATTCAATTGACGCAAGAATTGAAACCGCAAGACCATGGACAGCGCCGTACATTTGCCGCATGGGCTCTAGAGCAGTTGCAAGTCGACCCTGCATTTGCACGAAAAATCATCTTCAGCGACGAGGCGCATTTCTGGATGAATGGGTATGTCAATAAACAGAATTGCCGTATATGGGCTGACCAAAATCCTGAAGTGACTTGCTCAATTGCTATGCATCCTGCTAAAGTGACTGTATGGTGCGGTTTCTGAGCTGGCGGCGTAATCGGTCCATATTTTTTTGAGGACGCTATGGGCAACGCGCTTACGGTCAATGGAGATCGGTATCGCGCCATGATTAATGATTTCCTGTGGCCTCAACTGGACGATATGGATCTAACAGACATCTGGTTTCAGCAGGACGACGCTACGTGCCACACCGCACGCGCAACGCTGGATTTACTGCATGAAAAGTTCAACGGTTTCATTATTTCGCGCGGCGGCGATGTGCACTGGCCACCAAGATCGTGCGATATAACGCCTTTAGACTTTTTCCTGTAGGGCTACGTGAAGTCTCAAGTGTATGCGGATAAGCCACAAACAATTGCAGCATTAAGGGCCAACATCATTCGCGTCCTCGGACAGGTAGACGCTGAAATGTGCGGAAAAGTGCTCGAAAATTGTACCATGCGAATGCACGTTGTACAGCGCAGTCGCGGTGGCCATTTAAACTATATAATCTTCCATACATAATGTCGTCGAATGCTATTTACGATCAATATAGACTTTTAGTGCTGACTTAAATTTTTTTCCTTTTTTTCCATTTTAACTTTCGAGCGTCCTTATCTGAACACCCTTTACCATCCAATTGTTGTTGCCAATAAAACCTAAATAACATATTTTAATTGTTAAATAGCGGTTGGCATCTAGTGAATATTATGATGAAGAATGGCCTACAGAACTTCTCCAGCTACGGAACAAATTCACTGAAAAATACGAAGCCCAAATAGCAGCTATGCAACTCGAACACGAGGAGGATATCAAGAGACTAAGAGATGAGCATGTTAAAGTCTTGAATGGGGCACTAGAGAGGGCTAGAAGAAGAAGTTTGAGAGATATTGACTCTCTGACTAAGGGTGACTTGGAACTGCTTAGAGAAAGGTATGCTTAACAATTTTGGTGATTCAAAAAATTTTCATGGCTCATATATTTGCATTGACATGAGGTATTTTAAAAAGAACTATACTAAGCAGTTGTGCCTTTAACTGCTTAGTAGGCTTTTATCGATTTGAATTTGAATATTTCTCAGTGACCGATTTTCTGACAGAATGCCGCGCGACTAGTCTCGCGAGTATGTTGCCGGTCGCAGTGTCCCGCCGTTGTCTGCGTGCGGAACGTCACCTTGGACAAACTGAAAAAACAAAGCTATATGATTTTTGTAGGGACACTCTCAAAAAGCAGGTGTCATCGCTGAGAAACCTTCTAGGGGAACTCCTGAAGTACTTTACAGAATGTGAAGATGAGCTGAATAACACTTTAGTAGATGAATTGTTAAAACAAGGTTTTGAGAAAAATCTCACACAAATAGAGGACGAGTTGAATACTAGTACTAACAGTTCTAGTAGAACCGATACCTCTGGAAATGTTACCAGAGTACATTTGACTCCTAATTTCAATGAGCTACTCACTCTAATCGAAAGCAGTTCACAAGGGGATTCAAAGGATATATCAATGGACCTTAAGAATGAGCTTGGTAAGTTGAAAATTTAATGACCAGGTAGGTTGTTACAGTTTTTACTGGAACTGCGTTAAAACAATTTATTGAATAATTATAACATTAGAAAAATTCATCGTTCTTTTGTTATGTGTACTTCAATATTATTACAGAATGTTGCTTAGAGAAACTGAAGCAAGAAGCGAATGCTATTCTAACTTTAACTTCAAACATTACCAAACAGCAGGCTAATCATATTGTTAAAGATGCTGGAAAAACCAGTGTTCCAGAAGAACAGGTATCATCTTTGACCAGGCAGCTAATAAGTGAAACCCAAGCCAAAGAAAAGCTTAAAGAACAGCTGGAAGAAACCAGAAGGTTTGTAAATTTGGAAAAGTTATGTTATTTATGTCTTAAATGAGAATTTCTGCCACATTTTAGGTATGTCGAGTTGCTTGAAAAAGAAAAGGAGACCTTAGAACTGGAACTAGACAGAGTGATTGCAAGCAAAAACATGCTGGAAGGTGATCTGGTACAAACCAGAAACAAATTGGCAGAGCTGATCGAAAATGGACGAAAAGAAATTATCTCTGAAGGTTATGGCGAAGAAGGTGCCGCCTTGAGAAGCTTAGGTGAGAATTCGGTTCACACCATTCTGATACCTACGTTTTTCCTTTTTCTCTCGTGTTCAAATTCTTTTGCGCTTTTCTTTCAACTGATCCTAGAGTATGTTTAGTGGCATTTAATTTGATGATATCGTCAATTTGACGCGTGAAGATGCTCGCGTCTGTGCATGCCTCGCCTTCCTTTATCGTGAATTATCATGTTATAGATGAAAGGGAAAGCGCATGGATTTAGACATTCTTTTAGATATTCGAGTTTTTTCTGATATGTGAAATGCGGTATCAAAATAATGTAACATCGTCACTTTTCTTGTCTAGGGTCTGACATTAACAGATCTTTGGCATTTCGTCTTTCATCCACCCTTGTTGATTTTTATGGATATTGTATTACATTGGTACATAGTTACTCTTTCAACAATGTGATATAAATTGTATAAAATCTTAAGGCACGTGAATGTGCAACTAAATCTTAAATCAACCAACTTCGTATCTCTTACCGGTTTCGCAATACGATCTTTGTTTTTGTTAAACTATTTAGGTACAGGTTATCTTTTCTGAATAAAAAAAAGTAAAAACCAAATCCCTGAATTTTTTGGTTTATTACTAAACAATCAATAGGCGATGCAATGGCAACACTTGGCGAGTTGCAAGACAAAGCTAGAAGCTTGCTGGCTGGATCGAGAGCCACTGCAGATCCAGCTTTGCTGCAGTTGATGGAAGGATTGTGTGAAGTCGGGGAGCGGATCAAAGAGGAGTCCAAGAAAGACAGGGATGATTTGATCCTACAAGTAAGTATTTTAATGATATTTGTCTTGTAAATAATGCAATAGATGTAATCACGTATCCTATGTGTAAGTTATAATTGTGGTTAAAAATTCAAAATCTTAAAAACCATTGATTTCAATCAATACATAGCTAGTCAGCATTTTATTGATTTTTATGCTGTTTTGTCATATTATCAAAATCTATCATCAACCCTGTATAAAATTTATGTAGATTTGGAAAAAAAGTTGTGATACAAAAAATCATCTGCTTGGTAGTTTGACAGGAGTTTGTCAGATAACACTTTATGCTGTTAGTAGAATTATTGCTGACATTTATTTCATTTTTCCTCGTCAGGTTAAAGAAATGTTACTATCCAGTAGTACAGGTGAAAAGGTAAATAATAAACTACCTCCCAAAATGGCTCAATCTCTTGCTCGATCTTAAACGCTAACATACATTTAGCTTTTCTCTGTACTGTCTATACATCTTCATTTCATCACTGGGAAATCGTACTCAATCAGTCTCAAAAATAATGATAGTTTGGTGTTTTTAAGACCCCAACAGATGTGAACGTTTTTGGTATTATATCACTATGCTCACATAATATTTTAATATTAACTTGGCATAGGAACATACCATTTTAATGCACTGAAAGGAGGAACAAATAATTGAAAATCCATAAGTCTGATAGCTCCGATTAGTATGCACTATAAAGTTTCTCATTAGTTTTGGGGCTGATGTATGCGTTTTATGAATCCATTGGGTTGCTACTATTGGAATGTTTCGCTATGGTTTCACTTCTCTTTTTGTGGGTATAAGATGAAAAGGTAAGGAGGAAATACATAATTCCCAGGCTAATCAAACCACATGTGTGGGAAATTATTGTCATGAAAATCACGCGATAAGTTTCTGATATTACATCGAGTAACATACACTCATATATTAATCAAAGTATATTTCTGTGGTTTTACAAACATACAGCAGTGTAAAAGTAGTAATAGTGTAGAGGGGAAGCCAGGAAACTAGGCGACGTTTGGCCTTTGTTTTTGCCTACCTTGAGTCGCTTTACTGGCTCAGTGCTGCCTATCAAGACAGTGTGTGCTTTGGTAATGCGGGACGTATGGAGGTGTTTTCTGACATTTGAGTGGTGTAATATCAGTAGTAGTAACAGATCTGTATTCTACTATAGATGTCGCCCGACTTAAACTGAGCATCTCTATCAATTAAAAATATAGATAGCGCAAACCGTTTCATTTACTCGTATTCAAGATATTATGTATGTGACCACTATGTTGGCTATGTTTTTACAAAATACTGGTTTCTTTTATTTCAACGATTTATCCCATGAATTCTGTATTTCTAAATATTTGCTTTACATTCTACATAAGCATAATCTCAACAATTGTGTTTTTCTCAAAACGCCGGATTGCGGGGCCATCACACAGTGATTTTTTCTATTGAATTATCAGGCTCTAGGAAAATTTCACTTTCGTGAGAAGATTACAAGAAGTTACATTTTTCACGAATTTTCTCACATATTCTGAGACACGCTGTATACAGTATTCAGCTTCCATATTGGCAAAAATAAAAAAAAAGGAAACATTTTACCATTATTCTTTAACGCAACTGCTCCATTTTTGTGACTAGGTTGTGTTATCATCGACCATAACGCGCTAAAAAACACGTCCTGAATTTGTATTACTCTTTTTTGAAAAAATAAAACAGGTTTGTGGATACAAGTATTTAGAATTGCACACACATCTATCTTTGAATAAATCATCTATTTATTTCAGAAAATTATGAGTTTTTTAGAAATGCAAAGATTTGTTTATCATTTTGAATTAGTTTTGCTAGCGGTGTACATTGCTTTCTGTGTTTTGCTGTTGAAATTGGTACGTTATATGTTTATGGGCGTTTATTTCTAAAAAGAAAAAATCAAATTTTCATACATTTTTGTATTTGTTCCGAAATTAATGAAATTGCTAATTGGTTTTGTCTTTTTGGAATAATATTTGAGGTAATCTGATATGTTGTTTCTTTTGTCAACTCATTATATGAATCATTTACTTTTGGACAAAATCTATCCGGCTCAGCACAAATTGTACTAATTTAAAAATATGTAAACGCGAAAATAGAAAACTGTAAATCACAAAAAATATCTGATGAGTCTTACAATTTCTCAAGTTATAATTAATTTGTAGCTTAACGTACTGCGATTTCAAAAGTTTTCAAAATGTCAGAAATTTAATTAGCCTCTTTCTCATGATAAACATAAAACATGTACCTCAGCTAAAGAGTAGTACATGCAGCAGCCGGGGTTTTCTCAAGTTTTTAAAGAATATGATTAGGCATACTTTATACTTTTTTTTGTCTTTTCTAGAAATACCTTTTAGCAATTCATTGTGCCTATTATCTAATAAACGAATATTTATCCTCACAAATTAATGTTTAGTGCCAATCTCCATAACCTAGATATAAGGGACCACTTATTGTTGCTATGCCTTTTACTTACTATGTTTTTTTAGTTGTCATACGACACAATGTTACTACAATGCCAAGGGCGCAACACCATTATAGTTTTTGAAAATCAGTCCCGTGGCGGCGGACAAGAAGACAAAAATGAAAAAAAAAATAAAAAACGCTCAAGCTCCGTTTTTTCACGTTTCAAAAGCCTTTGATCATTTTCGGAAAGGAATTGTAAGGGTTAAAAATTAGAGGTTAGTGGTTGGTGAGGAAAAGTACATTTCAATTTTTTGACGTGGGTATATTTATACGCCTCCAATCTCGGTAATCCTACGCACGTATTAGACATACTCCTCATAGATTTCCCCGTACCCTTAAAACTTATCTCTCTCCATCAGTCGCGTCTCGATACGTGCGCCGGCAGTAGCTTCCGTGCTGTTGTGGGCTATATGGTGTAAAAGTCATTACAATGCACTTCCACGAAAATTTAGGGCAGCATTAAAAAATATTTACTCGATATCAGATGCAAACAGTTTGGTAAAAATTTGTTAAATTTAAGATTAGTAATGTACAACGGCTACTGAAGGTTCGGTGTAAGAGTAGCTTTGAGATATGTCTCATCTTTTGTAGTGTATGGTAATAAAGGCCATTATTATTATATCTACATTTGCCATACACTCATATTTGCATGGCGTGACATTTTCTCAACACAGATAGAAGCAGCTGACAAGAAATACAAGACTACTCAAAAGTTTCTTGAAGACCAGGCGATTGAGCGAGAGCAGGAACGAGACGAAGCTCAGAAGAAGATAGAGATGCTGATGGAGCAGTTGAAGGAAAAAGAAAGGGACAAAATGAATTACGAGAGGGTTATTTCGGAGGTCAGTGCCACGTTTGGGTCGTGCGTTTTTCTGAAGCTAAAGCAATATAACCCTTCTAATAGCTGTCGCATGTACTTTAGTTACTTCACGCTTGGTATGGTTCGATGCAAAAATATGATTAGAAGCAATAATGTCAAAATATTTCAGTTGGTAATTCTCATTTACAGTGAAAGACATAAAGACGGTTAAAAGTCATACAGTGAGTTGTTTCTAGCTGTTTTTACGAATCTAACAAAAGTGCTGATAGGGAACTTTGAAAATCCGACTGTTTCATAAGATAGACAGGAATAGCCGAAATTAGACAATGCCATTTTCTTTTTCCTTGACCCTAACTGCCTTCCAATTTCAAAAGAAATTGCACACTGGCATTGCATATTAGTTGACCTGCAAAAAAAAATAAGATAAGGTTTTAAATTCAATGTCTCAGCTTACACATTATGTCTTCTTTAGAGCGAGTTATAGCGCTTTGCATAGTTTTTAATTTTTTCATGTTGTGAATTATGTGGTCAGAATTAAAGTATTATGGTATATGTAAACAAAAGTTGTAGCGTTTCGAGTGCAAAATGATGGTGGTCTTGACAATGACTTTGACTATGATCTCAGTTTTTAGAAGGCCATGTGAATATTTTCAAATAAAACCCCCTCAGTTTCAAATCGGAATTGAAAAGAATAGCACCTTGGCCACGAACTTGCCTTCAATGCCATTTCAAGTTTAAATTAAGACATGAAAAACAATTTGCTCTAGCAAAAATGTTCGAAAGCAAGTTGTGAGATTTGTGGGGATCACCCAAAGGTGACTTTAGCTTAACCATAACCTTCAATGTCAAGTCGAAATTTCCAAAAGAAACGTCTCATTTTTATACTGGAATGGAGAAAGCAGGAAATTTTACTTCCGTATGTGACCTTGACTTCAAAGAGCATTTACTCTTTACCCGTTCTTGACTTTGAGATCAAAGCCACATTCGGACGTCAAATTTTCTGCTTTTTCCAGTTCCAGAATAAAAATGAGAGATTTCATTTGTAAATTTTGACTTGTCATGGTCCAGGTCACTTTTAGATGAGCATCACAAACCTCACAATGGTGCAGTTGAAGAGCAACTTTTTTTCGATGTCTTGATTTGACATCGAACTGTTCTTGAACATAATAGTCAAGGTTATGGCCAAGGTGATGTTCGGATGTATAATTTGCTTGTATTTTCAATTACATTGAAAATATTCAATTACATTGAAAATATCCACTTAATCTTACATGACCTTGGATATCGTAGTCATGGTCACTGTCATTCTGCGCCCTCGAAATCCTACAACTTTTGTTTGGAACTAATTTTGCAGTATCTGCAGTTTTCTCAATATTTAGGTGAGCAGTTTAAAATGGGACACAGTGTACAACAAAATGAAGTATACTTTGTTTTTTCAAATTCCAGCATTAGATTCCAATATTTTTGCATCCCCTTAATCACCTAATATTTTTTGCACCATACTGATATTCGCTTCATCACATATAACTCTTAAATCACATGCATGTTTTTGGGTATTGCAGATAAATGGTTGCAACTGTAAAGGCACTACACGCAAGGCAATACAAAAGGTAAACCTTCGTCTAACGATTTTTAACAAACGATTATTTATGAGTTTTTGCTTAAGTTCTGCAAAACAGGTTGAGAATCTAAGTTGCTAAAATGCTGATTAATTTGGTGAAGGTAGAATGGCAGTATGTTGATATACAAACATTATCCTATAACCATTTCATCCACACCCCTTACGTTTTCAGTCAACTTTACAGTTGTTCACCTGAATAAGAAAAAAAATTCACATATAATTGTTTAAATTTTCAAACTAAAAAAATATCGAACTTTGGCATCACATACTTCTCATACCATTAGTAACACTTAGAATGCTCGTGCTTTTTGTTATTTCTTGACAATTTCATTATAAACTTGCATACTCAAAATGACCACCTGTTTTGCAAAAATTGCAAATGCTAATCTCCGCTATATTTATCTCAGTCCCTATTTTCATTTATTGTAGTAAACTAATAGCATATACCTGATTCCTGAAAGTCTAGATGCATCTAACGCCGCATCCTTGCCTAATTTTAACATGTGACAAATATAGACCAGAAGGAAGTCATCCACAGCTTCATATAACGGCGGAGAGTACATGACCTGCCTCTCTTATGGGGTTGGTATTTTTAGCGTTGGATGTTTGTCACTATTTCGTCGAATTCTTCATTGTACATACGACAGCGTGTTTAATTCATACTATCGAGTGGACCACCTATCGCGTTTTTATATTGCTTTGTAGTGAAATATAGTGCTCTATAGTTCCACTGTATATATTTTTGTTGAATAAGTGGAAAAGGACGTATTGAGATAAAGTGTTGACATGGATGTCATGGATTAGCTGTATTTGGTAAATGATTGAAAACTGCACTTAACTGATGCTGGAAGTGCTAAAGATGCAATTCGGAGCACGTCAACAGCAACACTTAGCAACTGTATTATGGCCAAGCAACTGAACGGTTTATCTTTGGTTTTTCTCACTCATATGTTTGAAAAAGCTATGTAAAATTAGTAGTTCTAACGAGAATTTATTGACTTTGGATGTGGAACATTTCATATCAAACTGTCATTGTGTGTTATCTTCCTCATATGTGTTGTTTTGTATGATTAATTTAATCTTAGCTCAAATTACTATTTAAACCTCCCCACGTACAAAGTTATGCCTTTTGTGAGTTTTTATCTGGTAATTTGAATAATTTTGTATACTTTGTCGTATTTTTTAAGAATAATAAACCATATTTTGATTGATTGATGGCAGCATACGTTACGCTTAGTATTATTACGTCACTTCATTGGCGCGAAATTTAAGGTCTGAATTTTGGGTAACAACTTTTTCCACAAGTGATTTGTATATAAAAATGAATATATTTTTAGAGGCAAATCCTTCTGGGGTTAATGTGTGCTGCTGCAGTTGTCCTCCGAATAGCATCTTGATAGGTTTTTATAACTTACTTTTGTATAAGCATTATAACATGCTATAATATGTGAGAAAAAATGTTATTCAACTGAAGAACTGATGGGCCGTCCGAATGATCGATGACTATTCTATAAGAGACAGTCTCGGGACCCTTTCGCACTGACGGGCCATCGGTGATCTAGCTCTCTTCTACCGCTACACAACGGGCTTTGCTCCTCAGACTCTGCCATGATACCGTGTCGAACTTCGTATATCCCGACCTGGTCGATAAGACTGCTCCTTTGTCCCGAGGGTGGCGAGATTGTGGGACTACCTACAAGGGGAAGCTTTTCCCAGTTCTACTAACCTTAGACAGTTCAAAAATCGGATTAATAAAATTTCTTTGGGATCCTCATAGCATCCGCGGTATCCCGGCATTTATTTGGGATTTTGTTATTTTTTAAGGGAGTATCTTAAAAATATTTGCAAAAATTAACTTCTGAGCCTTAAATAAAATCATTTCGCGGCACAATTTTCATTGTTTGTAAAAGAGCAACCAACAAAATGACATTGCGGCTGCCACGGCTGCCTTTCTGAAAGTACTCGTACTTTGATATTATTTTTTCTATTTTCTTATGACCACTTAATTGAAAAGGAAAAATTAGAATTTTCTTTTTCCTTACACTTGTTACACCTGTTAGATAATTCACAATTAGCTTTTCGAGTTGCATGAGTATAATTTTTCAAGTAATACTAGTTGCAAACATGTAGCAGTGTTTTTGAAAATATAATATGAAATAAATTTTCAGGGGAGGACTGTAAAACATGTTTATATATTCTATATGTTTAATATTGATCTGAGAGGTTTTCCACCTATTCTGAAAAACCTTGTGTAAGACTTCGCATTCTTGTTTTCAAAAGCCATTAAAACTTAACAGCAAATCACTTAGCATACAAATTGTATTTCGTATTAGGTTGAAAGACTCGAAACGCAGTACCAAGAATTAACAGCAGCACTTACTGAACAAGTACAGAAATATAAAGAACTGGAAGTTGAAAGAAATGAAGCCGTTGAAAAAATAAAAATACTTAGAGAAATAATACGAGAACTTGAGAATCAGACTGAAAATAAGACCAAAGAGATACAAGACTTAGTGCAGACTGTAAAAAGATTAGAGGAGCTTTTGGATCAACACGATAATTCAAGTAAGGTTTTCGTTACCTAAAAATAAGTGTAAATAAATATTCTTAGTATTCTAACTGAGGTGTATCCACTATGTTTTCAACAATACTTGATTTCAAATTTTGTTCATTTCACTGTTCTAGATTCGCTTTTGTCAATATTTTTTCTTGCTTAATAAAGTTTCGAACTAACAGTTTTTTGGTAATATTGCCTGTACTAACAAAAAGATGTTGAAATAACTTCAGGTGAAGGGAAGAAAGACACGAGTTACGAAACTGAAGCCGCTGAAAACGAGCTAAGAAGACACATTGAATATCTGGAAAATGAATTGCAGCAACTTCGAATTTACGCTGAACTGGCTGGCAGTGAAGGAGCCTTGCAAAAGATTAGAACGGAGGTTAGTAAAACTGTAAACAAGTTTGACATATAAGCTATTCAATAAACCGAGGATTTACTTTAATATTGCTAATTCAGAAAACTACATACATGTATCATGGAGGTAAGTCCTTTGGTGCATATTTCCAATATTCCAAAAAACTGTTTAACAATCCGTCAAAAATCTCGCGAGTAGCGCTGATGAACGTGACCAATATCATAATTGTGCGTGCCATTCATGTTATTTTAACAACTTATATCCATGACAGAGGCACTGTTGTCTGTCAGTCAGTTGGCAATCTTGTTCACGCTAAATTCCTGTCTTCGTCTTTTTTCAAAAAAAACCCAGCAACTTTCTTGTTATGCTAACTAAAGGAGATATCTAGATATATCAACGTAAATCATACATTATAACATATGATGTCTATAACATCACTTTCTTTAGTTACACGAATTGGATGTTCAGCTAGACAGAAAGACCAAAGACTTGGAGGTTCTACATTCCACGGACAACTTGACTTGCAGTTCACCGTCCGAAGATATCTCTGCTAGAGATATAGTGAGTAGTATATTATAGAATATTTGAAACCTTTTACTATAGGTAGCATTTTGTTTTACAGCCAAGATCAAAAAGTCCAATAAAAATGGATGACTGTGAGGTACCACTGCAACAGCTGGCAAGACTCAAAGAAAAATTGATAAGACATTCTAGAGCTGAAGATGCAGCTATTAAGAGAATAAGGGATCTAGAGATGCAAGTTTATAGCCTTAAACATGATTTAGAGGTATGTTTGCTTATTTTTCTAACGCTACATCCTGCAGAAAATCTCAAACATGATTATCAATTAGATTTTCATATCCAAGAACCAACACCGGCTTTATGACATTTGTTGTAGAGCACCTACTGGATTTATAGTCTGCTACTTTGAGTATCTGAGATCTGTTTGTACTTATTCCCTGGATTACCTTCTCTACACTACATTTTTACAATTACAATATTTAAGGTGATTCGTACATATCGATCATAAAACGTGATATTTACTGAACGTGTTGATGAATCTCAATATTTATTGATGTATAAGACTGCGTGTTAAACCATTCACACTGACAGGTGCATCAATACATTATAGTTAATATGTATCACAAAAAATTATTGAAAGTGTGGCGTTCACCTCATAATGAACCTTTTGATATCTGTATTTTTTTAACAGGAAGCAACCAATGAAAAAGACTACATGAAAAAGCAAATTCAAGAGCAGCTAGTCCTTATCTCCGACTTCCAAATTCGATTGGATGAACAAAGAATTAGAGCCGAACATATTGAAAAACAAACAAATACGTCACTAGAAACGAAGATTTATGACTTGCAAAATGATATTGTTGCGCTAAGGGAGAAACTGCAAAATAAAGATAAATTATTGAACAGTCAACAGACGTTGCTGACAGAGACCCAGGAACGAGTTAAAGCTCTCGAGGCAGAAATCGAATCCCAAAAGGATGACGAAATCATTGTACAAATGCAGAGGGAACTGGAAATGCTCAGAGTTGAAAATGCTCAAATGAAAGACAGAATAAACAAAGAAGCACAGGTAATTTTGGAAAACTAAACGTTTCGGTATATAAGAAAATTTATCTTTTTTTTTTAGATGGTACCGAATCTGGTAGGAAACATAATATCAGACAAAAACACCGACATCGAAAATCTCAAAGAAAAGCTTAGCGAAACTGAGAAGCTTCTACAGTCATATACATCTTTGAATCTAGATCCGAACGAGCTCAAAGCATTATCTAATATGAAAAATAACGGTACGACTCTAGAACAAATTATCAGTTTCCTAGATATGTCTCATCCAGAACAAGTAAGAAGGCTGGACCTACGACAAGACAGTTTGAATTCTTCCAACATCCTACCGCATAGGAAACAAGGCGACGTCACTCCAGAACCTGAAATATCGGCAATTGCACCTTTCAGTTTGGGACACTGTAAAAATTCTACGGAAGTCAATAGTAAAAAAGTTCACTTCGAGGATTCTGAAAGTGAAAAGAAGAATAACACTGATAATCTGAAACAGCAGCTTGAAGAAAAAGACAAAGTGATAAAAGAATATGAAGACAGATTGAAAATGCTCCTGAATTTAGAACAGAAGATAGAGAATTTGCAAAAAGCTTTAGAAGAAACTGAAAAGGCACTTGCTAATGCTACACAAACCTTTGAGAAGGAGCAGAAAGAGCTGCTGGATAGAGAAAAGGATCTTGGTGTTGAGATTGCTGCAAAGAAGTTGAAAATAGAGGAACTACAGAAAAAGGTGGACGTTCTGGAAATGGATTCTAACAGGAAAGATGAGATGTGTTTGAAGCTATCAAAGGAGAAGAAAGAATTAGAAAATGCACTTAACTCATTGAAGAGGAACAGCTATAACAGCGTAGATACAGTTATCAACGAAAAGAACAAAGAAATCGATAACTTGAAGTTTGAGTTCGCTAATGTGGAGAGACTGTTTCAAAAAGAACTGGAAAACAAAGATGTGGAACTGCTTTCCTTGCATTCTCAACTGGAGGATCTTCAGTTCAGAGTCGAAAAGTTGCGCGAAGCGAACAAGTGCTTGGAAGAAACGCTTAATATAAGTAATAGTGACAAGGCTAAGTTGACCAAAGAACTGGAAAATAATGCCAAGCAAATTGAGAAACTAAGCTCAGACAATGATACTTTCAGAGAGAAGTTGAACAGGAAGAGGAAATCGTACAGAGACCTGGAAGATGTTTTAGACAGAAAGAAGAGACAGATCTCGGATCTGGAGGAAGAAGTCAAAAAGCTTCAAGAAAGATTAGTAGAGAGGGAAGAAAACATTAAAGTTATTAGTGAGAGTGTCAACGGTTACAGTAACGAAATAGCATCGCTCAAGCAAAATATCGCAATGTTGAACAACGCTGGAAGAGAAGAAATGACAGACAAAGGGATGAAGCTAGAGGAACTGAAGAAGGATAAATTACACTTATTGGATCTGCTCAACGAAAAAGATAAAATCATCAATCAAATACGTGAGGATTGTAATCAACTCCACCTAAATCTAACGACGATAAAGAATAAACTAAAGGAACCTGGTACTTTGGTTGATCTGGGAAATAGGTTGAGAGATGAGCAAAGGAAAAATGCAGAATTATTGCAACAGATACACGAGCTTAAGGCTCAGTTGATGAATTATAAGACTGATATAAACACAGTTGATGAAATAACAGACCAATTGAAACGACAGTTAGACTACGCAGCTGAAATAGACTCGAACATTATTTCCGCTGTCAGTGACCAGAGCCTAAGTTCTATATCGGAAACTCAAGATGTAGAGCTATATAAAAAGGCGTTGAGTAAAGAAAAAACATTCAAGAAAAATTTGATGGCACAGGTTAATAAACTGCAGTCTCAGTTGACTGAGTTACAAGCTGACCTCGATAAAGAAAAGGTAATTTCTCAGCAAATTCAAATTGAGGACGCAAAACTTATAGAGCAATTGAGGATTCAGTTGGACGTTGCTTTGGATAGCGGAGAAGATTACAAGAAAGAGTTAGAAGGAAAGAAAGAAATGCTGTTAAATCTAGAAAATGAAATAGAGATATTAAAGAAGAAACTCAGCAGCTGCTCAAACTCAAAATCCGAATCCACAGAATACAAGCAACTGCCCTCGAAAGAAGCACTGGATTTGTGTCAATTGAAGAAAGAATTTGGATGTTTGGAAGATGAGAGAAATGAATTGATGGTTGAGATAGCAGCATTGAAGCAGGCGAAGCTGGAAGCCGAAAATGACCTGAAGCACACGAAGGATATGTTGAATATGGAAGTTTTGAGATGTCAGACTTTGGAAGAGAAGATTAGTGAACATTTGAAGAAAGAGTCGGAACTTAGAGATACAATCATCTTGAAAGATATGCAGATAGAAACATTGACAGTAAGTTTTTATGAACCTCTTCCTATTTATGATTCATTTAATTTCATTTAACGCAACTTAAAAATGGTGTATACTCGTCTTATGTGCTCAAAATAATGAGATATTTTGATAAACGCTATCGAGCCGAAAATTAATATCAAAATTCGAACACTTAAGCCATTAAATTCAAGGTGTGTATTCCCTGAGTGCCCGACGACGGTTCCACCTAGCAAAGGTGGAGCTTAATGTTTATTCTTGATACATGTAATATGAAAAAGAAACGATGAAAATAACAAACATTTAGTTGAATTGATGTTAGGAACATTTTGTATTTCAAAACTGAACAGTTCTATTTTGATCCAACAAATGATGACAGCGAAATATTCGGACGATTGCCAGGCCTCAGTTGACCCCATACGACACATATTTTTCACCATATCCACTTACGAGATCTGTAAATTAAGTGATAAAACTGATTTTTTTCTAAATCTTATTTAAGTTTAATTATAATTTTATGTTGTCGCTCTCAAAATAACTTCTGAGGCCACACAGCTGTGAATACGGTTCTTTCACTCCTCATAGCAGTACTGTAACTAAAATACTGGAATAGCAGTTTGAATGTTTTCAATTGTCTCAAAATGAGTTCCCTTGAGGTGATTTTTCAATTTCGGGAAGAGAAAAAGACACAAGGAGGCTGAGAAGCCATAGAAATGTTTTTACTGGCCAAAAACTCGTGTAGAACACAATATAAAAAAATGTCTCACAAACAAGGCACCACGGACAGCTAAATAACTGGAGCGAGTTCAAACTTGTACTGAAAGCGGATCACATGTTCCCCTGTCTCCCCTCCAAGCCCGGCTCCTCCAAGCCCGGCTCCTCCAGTGTTGCCAGATCAAACGCTACGTTGCCAGTCACAATCACTTAATTTACAGACCTCATATAGTCCACATCAGACCGTCGATGTTTTCCTTTTTGTGTACTGCGTGCGCGGCGATCGGCTTAGTTTGCTCCTGGCGAATTACGAGCTGTCAACCGTACCAGTGATGCCAACTGGTTAAACATTTTTCCCTCATGCTTTTTTAAAATTCCCTAAATTCCGACTAAAATACCCTAGCTCAGAATGTATTAAAATATAAGAATCTATACAATTCCTCTTCATATATTTTGATGCTTGATTGAACAATAACATTAAATTTTTACAATTGTATTAAACAATTCTAGTAAAAGATACACATCCCTAACCTTCGACTTCTTTTATCCACTTTTGAGTATAATTAATATTTTTATCGATTTTCGTTTTCTCTGTCGATGTTTTCAGTAACATGTCTAGTTCGTGAAGTCAGAGACCTTGGAGAATAGTGAACTCCATGGGTCTTCTTTTTTCATAAGTTAGACGGAGTTGAGAAGTTATTTTTTACTTCCTGAAAAATACCCTAAAAAATGTACCCCTATAAAATCCCTTTCTTGAATCTTTCTCTTAAATTTGGTAAATAACCCACAGAATCCTGCTCGCTCTACATTATAGTAGGATTAGACGAAAGCCATAAGGATATTAAAGGGCACTTTTGAACTTTTTTAACAATTTTCCGATCCAATAGCGATTCACTAAGCCCAGTATTCTTTTAAGCATACAAATATAGGAATTTGATTTTTAGGTACATCGTTTTTGTCGTCGTTTATTGTCAGCAAAAGCAACTTGACCTCAACCCGATTTCGACTTGTAGATGTAACTGTGACATAGATCGTATCTTAAAAAAATCATTCATAATCCGATAAATGCTCTTCTCCATCACGTTTCTGTGTTATCTCAATGTGGACCTTACACGAGAGCTAAAGTTGATACAAGAATTTCAGTAGCGTACGATCATCAGTTTTTGGTAAATAAAAAAATAACGCATATGCTAATTGTTTGATCTGGCTGTATTGTATTTGCGAAATATATTACTTGTGCGCTTTTAGTACATAGTACATAGTACTTAGTGACTTTTCACAACTTCGAAACTAGACGAAATCTGGTTGAAGTTGCGTTGCCGTCGGCTTGCTTCTGGTGAGAGTGCCTTAGTCTATTTTGACATGTTACTGAAACGCTTTCCAGTATGAAATGGAAAGAGATAAGACAAACCTAACCAAGCAAAAGACTGAGCTGATAGAATTATTGAAATCCCGTCCATCACTTGGGCCTTCTCCTCCCTTGGAGGCCAACTCAAGCGCTCCAATTTCTGACGAATTGCTCAACAAAATCAAAGAATTAAATAGGGCCTTATTAGATAACAGAAAGCTGATGGAGCACATCCAAAAACTGAGTGAGGAAAAAAGAGCTTTGGAAAGGGAACTTGAAGTATTGAAACATACTAGGGGAGATAATCAACCACTCGATGACTTGGTTGCGAGGGTAAGTTTTGTCAAAATATAGACTTAGGAGAAGTAAAATCACTGACACAAAACCTTTCACTTTGGGCCTTTTAAACAGTGCTGCCAACCTTGCCAAAGGCTATGATTTTTTCTGGCGACCTAACAGTCTCTGTAAACCGGTTGTTTTAGCCGAGGGGGTTGGAAAAGTTGATTTTACTACTCCTGAGCTTATTTACTTCTGTTTTGATGAGGATAGATTAGGGTTTGATTATTGCAATTATTGTATATACTGTTTTTAGTGTGACTATCTGTTTGGAAAAACGCTTAAGCTGGAAAGCACGAAGAAAGCGTTGATATGGCAAAAACGATACCTGAGTGACTATATGTTAAGTCATCAGAAACACTGTTTGCTGAGTAATGAGAACGGTAAAGTTGCAGCATGTAGGAATGAGTTTTTCAAGAGGTTATCACCTAAGCAAAGATTCAGGTTAGTAATATAACAACTTTCGTCTGTGTACCATTTCAAGGCTATATTTTTCGAATACTCGAGAAAGAAAAAACGCGGTAAAAAACAGTGCGAATTTATAAAAGTACTTTGTTGTCAACATTTCAATGCTGCGGCGTCGGAAACACGCACATATCTCGACAAACAGTAGCACAGTTGCTAGAGACATTTTTATTGTAATCATTTCCTTAAAATATTCTATAATTTTTCCTGGCTTTGTAGTAGGATTTCAAAATAAATTGCATATTAACACTACCACTTTTTCACCTCTACAAGATGGCATAAATAGAATTTCAATCTGACTTTTCGCCTCTCGCCCTCAATCATCAACTTTATATTTTCCTATAAACGCCATTTTTTATACCTCAGCTAAGGCCTAAACACTCTTGGGGTACCGTGGGGGCTATAGGGGGATACAGAGGAAAGGGGGAACTCCACACGGACTCTGGCGAGGGAACACGTGTGCATGAAACATGTACCTCCGCATACGACAGTCAGAGACCATCTACCACCTAGGGACAATCCGCAACATCCATAGCCAAGAGAAAATTTTCACTAGGGACGGAATTCGAATCCGAGCAGCGCACGGCGACTGATTAGAAGACTGTAGCGTATACCACTACGCCACCGCTGCTGTCCAACCATATTTGACTTTTGCACGCTTGAATAGAATGTTTAATTTCGATTCAAAAAATGTATAATGTCATAAAGTGACATTGTCAAACCTAAGCACCGAAGTTATTTCGAAACAACTAGTGTTGGCATGGTTAACCTTGAAAATGACATGATTGTTCGATTAGATCCCCAATGCTTCATGTTTTGAGAAGCGTGTTTAAATGACATTCAGGCAATTTGTCTAGCCGGAGATTAATAGTATTTGAATGTAAGATGTATGCAACTATAGAAAGATTACTTTCTTAGATATTTGAAGTTTTATAATATCAAAATATTATACATTTTTAGAGTCGGAATTGAAAACTCTAACTGTGCATTAATCTAATATGACGTCGATAAGAGAAAATAAGGTTGATGATTGTAGAGGAGAAACAGTGATAGTGTTGTACCTTTTATTTTGAAATCTCAAATATAGTGAGGACAAAATAAAAATGTTCAACTTTGCTCCTATTTAACCGACATCGTATCTCTTACCGTTTCCGAGATCCCAATATTGAGATTGAATTTGAAACACCCTGTATATATGACGCAATTGCCAAAACATCCTATAATTCACCGGTTCAGCCACCGGTGCAACGACCGGTTGTACACCTAACTTATCTTTATATTGATGTTGGTATCCACAATTCATTCATCCGTGTATTTTGTCTGACACACCCTTTAACAACTGTCATATCATTTTGATAAATACACAACACAGATCTGAACAGGCTGCAGGAAAACATTTTAATCTTGTCAAGTAGATTAAATCGCTGTTTCTCTTATATTTCTTGAACAGAATTTTCTTTCAGATCTGTGGTGCTAGCCGTCACCTCAATCCATCGTATGACGTTCCTGGTGAAGCGCTGGAGTAGCGGCGCGCGCATAGTAAGCAAAATCAATTCGAGGCACTACAAGCACCTGCTGCAACCTACAGCGGTGACGTCGACGACTGGTGCCCCTAACCGGGGATTCGGCTTTCAGGTGGGGCAGCCGGTGTCCAGTCAGCTATTCTCCGCCACACCTACCAGAACCACCAATCCGTTCGTTGCTAGAAGTGAAGCTACTGGTGATATGCAGGAGAGGATTATATCGCCTGCACCCAGCGCGGCTGGTGGTACTAGAAATGAGAGCTTGCCGTGGTTTGGAAATAGCCCGCCGTCCAAGGAAGATAGGGGAGTGATAAGAATAGGGTGAGTCTGTAGAATGGTTTTTAAATAGAGGCAGCTATTTCGAAACTAACTAACTACATCCGACACTTAATTCGTTAATTTTTTACAATTTGCGGTCATATCGTTCTTTTCACGGGTTTTGGCAGTTACGTCACAATGCTATTTGAAAAGGATCACAAAGAGTTCTCATCGATATGAACACTTCTCCTGAGGCTTTAATATTAATGGGGGGTACCTCAAGAGTCGGTTCTTGGACGACTATTTTTTATTTTATATATCTCCAAACTTGATAAGGTTGTTAACCACAGTAATATTCATTTTTTGCTGATGACACGCAGTTATACAAAAATGTTAGTACTGACAATAAAATAATTGCTGAGGCTCAAATTAATGAAGATTTGAGATCTTTTGCAACAATTCATAATTTTACATTAAATCAAAAATAGAAATAAAATTAATAAATATTCGACTGTATCATTAAAAAGTGAAATTATAAAAGTATGTGAAAACAATGTTACAAAAAGTTGTTTTTTAGTACTTTCGCAATTATACTTAAACAAATTCTCGATTACAAAAGTGAAAAAATTCTCTGTGAATGAATGAATGAAAAATTACTTACTGCGACATTGTTTATCATTGGTTTTTAGATTCAGTATCCGTCAGACGCTTACAAAAAATTCAAAATTCATGTTGCAGATTAATCTGTAGCTTGAAAAACTATGACCACCTTACCTCCTCGTTCATAAAATTGGAATGGGTATCCATTCCCAATCTATTTAATTTCATTTACTGTGTTATATTCATAAGCTTTTACTAACTTCAATTTCCCCATTTTTAAATGATCAGTTGAGATTTCGTGGTTGTATGCACTCGCGAGATATTCGCTTTATTGATACAATAACAATACTTCCTCACAGAACTTCATTTTTTACTAAATTTTTTACTACTATCATGTACAGTGCTTTACCTTCTGATACTAAAGCTCTAAATCTCGAGAATTTCAAAAGTATGTATCTAAAAAAAATCATTTTCGAGCATTCATTAACATAAATTCATCTCTCATTTTTGCTTATACAGGTATGCATTGACATCATTCTATAAGTATGTTATACTTTTCCTTTTATCCAAATTTTGATTAAGCTTACTGAATTAATTCGCTTTTATGTTGATATGCATTTTTAGTGGTATATATTGTTTATTTGTGAATCTACATTTTACGGGTCAAGTGGTAGAATAGCTTATGCTAAACTTCTCCCAGTAGAACCGTTTTATTATTATTATTATTAAAAAATTAAACTATGATACTATGTGTGTAGCTGAATTTCCCCAAAGGAAATTGCATACTCTTGCGCACATACACATGAATTGGATGATAGAGGAACATTGTCTTAATTCACTTTTTAAAAATACTCAATACAGACTGTCGACATTGTAGTCCTATCATCTGCCACTACTATGATTTATGTGGAAGATCAATATGTGTAAAAATAAATTGCGCGCCCATAACAAGCAAGTGGTCATACTGATAGTGACAGACATAAATGTGCAAGACTCATACGTTGCTTAGAACATTTTCAAGGCTAAAAACATATAATATATAATAATACTAATAGCGTTTATTTGCAGAGTAAAAAATACAAAGAGAAAAAAATTAAAAATGAAGAAACAACATGAATTCCCTGCAAAAGGGACTAGTAAACAGACAAGCTGATCAAAGTACTAGCCCAACAAACAAAATTACAACAGAGGAGTTCTTAACCAAATTATATAAGTTAATATTAATAATTAATCAATAACAAATACAAGCGTAAAAAATATGTATATGAAGAAAATATATAAAAATATAATTTAACGAAAAAGGCCAAATCTACTATGACCCTAGAGAAACCGTAAAGAGAACGATCAAATATCTACCGTGGTGGTTTGGTTCATTGGAGAAAACATATATAGAGAAATCCAAATATCACAGAGGTAATGTATTCGACAGAGAAGCGCGAGTTACGCCACAGGAATTGCATCCACGTGCATCAAGAATATCCAGAGTGAGGAATACATTTCTTTGGTCAATTTCGAAAATAAAGTTTTTAAAAAACAACTTTCTCGAAACTCCCGACATAAGCATGCAGATATGTTAGAAAGAGTGCTCCAATGGCAACACGGCAAGCCGCAGCTGCGTCGGTGGCCTCGTCACTCGGGTTGCTAGGCAACGTGGTGCTTATATCTTTCTAACATACGTATTGCATGCTTTTCTCTTTTACACATGACAACGTCAGTGGTATATGGATTATGTATATGGATTTCTCTGTACACTGGAATTATTCATTGGGATCTCACCGACAAACTACAAACAATTTGAGACTATCTGAATCTCTTGCACACTAATATTCGATTAACCTCAGCAAGGAGATTTTGATCTTATTGTACTATTCGATGTCAAAGATTGCGGTTCGAAAGCATAGCGTAAAATTTTGAGGTGGTACGTGCGTTTGCTCACAAGTTGTATGTGGAATTTTTATATGGTCACGATACTTTACAAGTAGGTGTTTCTGTGAAATTAGAACGAAATCGACTCCCAAGAAAATAATCCAGTAATATTATTGATATATGTTTTTATTAGAAACGAGGTATGATCTCGGTTTTATTTCAGTTTTACTCAGGAGCAGATTTACATAAATGTTTAAAAATCATATGAAACATCACGAGCATTAGACATCAAAATTTGCGGAAGACCTGCCAACGTATTCTTTAACATTATTTTTTGTTTCTTTGTTTTCCCATCTTATTTCACTTCGTAAAGAAAATAATTATAGAAATGTTTAAAAACCATTTGAAATTTGAGCACCATTGAATCATTACTGTAGAATTGGAAGGTTATCTTACGAGTTTTTGAAATACCTAGTTAGAAAATATTTTTTGTTAGTGATATGCCATACGATTTTTGCCGATACTCATAATCGACTGATACCGATATATCGATCTGAACTGAATGTTTGCTTTCTGTCTCTGTAACCATGACCAATCGGAGACAGCGCTGTTTCGTGCCCGTTAGCAATTCAACAGTGTGGTATGTCTATAAGTCTTTGAGACAGACAAACGGAAGGCAAACAAATAGGCATGGTCCTTTGAAAAACTTTCTTTCTTCCAATCCAATATATGACTTTTGGATGGTAGCAACTTTGGCAAACCATTGGTAGGCGGTTATCGTTAGATTTCTCACCTAATTGCGCAAGATATATCGGTGTTGAGTATGTCTTCAGAATGTCAGAGCCTTTTTTGCCTCCATTTTTTATCTGTCAATTGTTAAAAATTGGCAGGTTGAAAGGAAAATCTTGCAGACTATGCTAGGTAAAACCGTATTGGTGAAATTGAAGTTTGCAAAGCGCATAGTCCAAGCAGCTTCAGTTTCACGTTTCGTGAAATAGGTTTCTCCAATGTGGATCGCATCTTACTTCATCTGGTTGCAGTAAGTTTAATAATGTATGAAAATATTATGAATGCGGATATTAGCGCTGCCTGGAAATATTTCGACAAAATGTCTAATCAAAAGTCTGACATTATTGATGATGTAATTCGTGTCATATGTATAAGACAGAAAGGGGGTTACTTTGAGGAGTAATTTCAGTTCCGACTGCCTTGCAGTGTCAAGCCATCTGTATCAATCCAAGAGTTCGAATAAATTAGGAGTCGAGCCTATATGTTTACATTGTCGCTAAGATTGCGTAGCTTTAGGGCATACTTTTGACTCATTCTACCAAAGAAACGGCGTTGTATCGACATAATAATTATACTTACCGGTGAAAACATCTACCTTCATTAGGCTTGTGCCGCTCTTTGTGAATTATGTAGGAAGTGACATATTTTGAAATCGTCTAACTTCACAATTATCTGCAAACACTCACACTTTTAAAAAATAACACTAAATATACAAATTTTATGACAGAAGTCAAGAAAATAACTTGTGTCAAGTGCACTTTGATCCTCACAACAGACAATGATAATTAGGAGACAAACTTATCCTCCTTCTACCTAGTCTGAATTTGTTGGTATCAACCAACACGACAATGAACTAGAATCGCTCGTGAATCACAACCTTCGACTTCGAGTAGTAAAATTGTAATTCGTCTGTAGAAACCACATGCCTTTCGATCAGTAACTGATTTTATAAACTTATTCGTAGGTCTTCAGCCTTCACTAGGGCAGACATGAATCCACTGAGAGCACCAACGTTAATCGCAGAGTTTGCAGGAAGGATAGATCAAATTCAGGAAAAGCTTGGGTTAGCGTTGGATAGTAGTAACACATAGGTTGTAGGTATTAACGCAGAACCCATAAGTATCGGCATATATGACAAATATTTAAATTAATGAGATAACCTTTAAGTTTTAGTTATGTTTATTTTATATTAATGACCAAACTAGTCATTACTTTATATTGATTACCGATCCTTTTATTTATGTTAAAGGTATTGAGTATTACCATTGATCCAACCATTAACAAAATACTATTTTTTTCTGTGACAGGAAAAAAGTTTAACATATCTCTGTTGACAGGTAACAAAATGTCACTTTTTATGAAATTACTTTTTTCCCCGGAAAAAATACTACTTTTTTCCCAGATATTGTATGAATGATTTAGCTGGCAATAATTTTTGTGACGCTACTTTGTCTACTTCTACTAATTCCGGTGGAGTCAAAGAAAACTCGGAATCAGACATTTTTCATTTTATAGTATTAAAAATAACTTCTAAACAACCACTAAGTTCACACCTTTTAAATCAAATCACAAAATTAAATTGACAGCTATTTGGTTATTTTCAAAGTTTCCTTAGCAACGCAGGTCTAATTGTCTCTATAGGTTCAATATTAAATCGTGCATTATACACGGGAAAAATACTAGATTTTAGCTTCTAGTAATTGTTTTCCCTTGTAGAATAAATAACATTATTCATACATTTCACATCATTGATATTTTAAGTTACCACTGTAGAAATGTGTGCCTTCACGCCAAAGTGCCATTTAAGTTTTGCTCTACCTAAGATATAGTATTTTTTATACTGTTATAATAAAGCACTGAATTTTGTAGTTCATATTTATTTCACTTTTTACCATCCTTAGCAACAGTGGCGTACTGGAAAAGTCGTGAGTATTACGATTCTCAAAACACTTTTCGCTGTTCTACCTCCTTCGGGCAGGGCTCTTGAGTAGCTGCTTTTTTGTCGTTAATAGTTCAAGAACGGAAGGGGAGGTTACTGCCTAAAAAATGTGATTTATCTAGCTAATGGTATCCTGTACAGGGCGGACTACCAATACCGCGGGCCCTGCGAATACTCAAATACGCCTCTGAGGATATAGCTTGAAAATTAATTGCTCGCGTTTGTTAAGGAAATCCCTCGGACGAAGGTAGTCGATGCTATCGGTCGGATGACCAAAAATAGTCCAGTGCTTTGAAAAATTTACCAACTCGAACTGGATTAGTTGTCTTCCTTCACAAAAAATCATTTTTGCCGAGTGTTGTTTTATTTCTCACCGAGTATATACATATATTACTGAACTCTGTATAATATTGAATGTTGTAATAATGATAATGAATGCATTTTCAAATAATAATTCTATTGTCGCATACAGAATATTGTAGAAAATTCCCACATTAATTGTATTTATAAAATTGTTTGAATAAACATTGTTGCTATTCCACTGCGCAACTTAACGGGCCCACTTCCGTTGATCACTTATTTTAGCAATAACACTTGTCAAATTTAATTGCGGTTTTGAGGCAAATTAGTCTGAAGATTCCTCTACACCAGAGAAAAGAAGTGCAAATAGGTTTCCATAAATTATGTCTGTTAAAAATGTTTTGTCAAACAACTTGTTTATGGAGATATCTAGGTTCGAATGTTTGAGATAAAATCCTAAAATATTCTTTTGAAAAAATTCTGAAAACGCTATGAAGCTTGATATTGGAAACACTATATGGCATGTGAAGAAATCTATGGCACCTCATCACAGCATTATTTGAACAATGTGCATGTTTTATCCTCAATCAATAGCGTAGAAACTCACCATTCGTTAAACCTTGTCTATGAACACCACTGGTGGTGATATTACCCATGTTAGATTCTTCCGTTTGTCGAAAATCACAACTAGATATTGTGGAACCAATCAATTTGAATAAAATTCTTATTTCGGAAATTATCGGCCCTTCTTTCTCAAAATGCTTTAGCGTTTCGTATTAAGTGAGCTCAACAAAGATGTCACAAATCGTTAGCAACCTCGGACACTTAATATGAGGACGAAGTATATAGAAGCCTTTCACTGTTCGTACTACGCCAGGTATTTTCCAAAGAGTCTGTGGCATATAAGACGAGCTTGTCTTGAATCCAGAGATGGCCACTTTCAACATCTCTTTTATAAGTTAGATGTATTTACTTACCATAATTTTTGTTTATTTTTTCCCCAATGTTATGTCCTCATAAATTAAGATACAACCACGTAAGTTGTATCAAATGTAATGTTTATGGTTGTCGTGTTTAATCCTGATAAGCTTTATTTATTTTTATTTATAAACAAAAATATGCTGGCAAAACCTGTGGCGTGTAGAGGCAATGTTTAAAGCATGGGGTAAGCTTCTACGCTACTGGTTGTTTCTGTCGCATTCCTACCATGTTCCAAAAACTCGTCAAGAAGTGCGAAGATTAGACATATGCAAATTTTCACTCTGGTAAAAGCAAAAACAAAACTATTTTCTTCCTAGTTATTAAAATAACATGATTACAAGTTTAATACTAACAAAATTAAACATTAAGACAAATCAACAGTGCAGAAAAATGGTATAATAAATTAGAATGTTAATGGGATATGTGCTTGATTGATTGACGGCAAATTATCAGTATCAGGCTTCAGCTTCGTAAATCTCCCCGATCTGAGATATTCAATTTGCTCATTTTTTCTCTTAATAGGTTTGTAATAACACTAATTTTTTTTTTTGAATAAGTAAAATTTTTCGGGTATTTCTGCCAAAATGATACCCTTTTTAAATTTAACCTTCAGCTCCTCAGTGGTACTAATCTTGAGCAGCTCCTCTTGTAATACCACCTTTTGCCACTTCCATTTCATCAAAAGTGCCTTCTTGAAGTCATCTTGCAGGATATCTGAATTTTAAATATATGTTTGAGTATCCTTTTGACTGTAATAAGTAACCGAATATCGAATACACAAGTTTTTGAGGGACAAGTTCCTGACCTTAAAATATCATTTGACAAAACATTTTGGTACCTTACTATCGAAACGAGATAAAAATGTTCATGAACTCCCACTTATAGGGATCCCTCATATTTTTTACGCTAACGTAGGCCCCCATTGAACCTCCCGTGAACCCCTGGGTCAAGGTCACAAGGGCAATTGTCGGAAGCACTAATGCAGCCGTCACCACCCTCGGTCTTTATCACAAAGACTTTGGGTTTCACATCTACTAATGCAGCCAAGCCGCCCATCAATTTTCAATCGCAGATATGACGAATCCTGTGACCATCACTGCCCCACAGCTTCACGGTGACTTAAGTACTCCCTCCTCTCGACTCCAAAGGCTGGATCCGCTTGGGTTCGAGTTTACAAAAATTATCTCTGGGTATTAAAGAAGATAATGCCTGGTTTTGGGCGCCAAATACAACGCCAATCAGGCTTTAATAATTTTAGAGATTGCAACCCTAACCGGAGAAATTACCGACGCAATAAAGCTAGTAATGGCAATCAAAAAACTTTATTACATCTTGAATATAACATAAAAAACCACTAAAAAGAAAAATCACAGTTAAATACTATTCCTGATAAAAATACAATATACCAATGTGTTTCTGAGATGCAATCGAAATTGTCCTATATACATATTAACAAGGTTGTTATCTCCACACAACCGATTGTTAATCTGGCTTTTAAAATATTTGGTTAACAGGCAAAATTGAAAACTTTTTCTCAGCTATATATTGACTATGAAGTACATATCTGCTGCATTCATATTGTGGTTAAAATAATAACCTACTTATTCTTGTTACTTTACAGAACTAAATGTGATCAATATTGATCAACTGTTAAACTTAGCAACTATTAGTTATTTGACCTTCAATCTAGCCAAGCTATATCAGTTCTTAACAATGAACACAACACATTTCTAGTAAAATAAAAAGAGGAATATGTGTACAGTGTTTTTGGCTCTGGGATCTAGAAAACGATTGTAGATACAATGTTGGTTTAATGAGGAACCAATTGAACATATTTTACATAGATTTTCGCGTTTTTGTAAGAAAAAATGGCGTCAAGTATATTGGCTCTGTACTTTCTACGCAACGCTGTGATCAGTTCATGAATGATTATGTTCAGCACAAGCTGGATCCTCAGCAAAAAGTCAATCAAACAGGTCCATAGACATTCTTTATCCGCCCCTATCGGTAGTCCATTAGGCAAAGTCGCCTTACTTACTTAACCCGGTTACCAGTCAGACGTGGCAGTAATACACTTACTAAGACTGACACGCCGCCGGGAGCAGAAGCAGACACGGTCGATCCATCTGCTGAGAATATTTAAGTTCCAGTTTTTAAGGTCTAATGTACGGGGAAATCAATAATGTGCGAATTACCGAAACTGGAAGCATATAAATACACTAACATCAAAAAGTTGAGATATACCCTTCCCTCCCCCAAATTTTATACCACAATTTTTTTTCAAAGGACCCTCTGCAACTTCAAAAACGAAGTTTAAGCGATTTTTTTTTCGTTTTTGGGCTTTTTCTCCGTCGCTACTGGACCGATTTTCAAAAACTACAAATCTTTTCCGTCCTTGACATAGTAGTAACTTTGTGTGAAAATGTCATCCAAATCTGTGCAGTACTTTCCAAGTTATAGGCCAGTATGGCTTGAGAAGTAAAACGTAACTAAATTGTATAACTTCATCATTTAACGGACTTCAGCCGTTCCCCGGAGCTGACACACTGTATATTAGCACTTAAATATTTGTACTCCTACTGTTTAACACATTAATATTGTCAGAATGATAACTCATATTTCAACACAAAGCTGCAAACAATATTCGTTTTGTTAATGACAAACAATACAGATTCTGTTATATTCTGTTAGATTAATAGGATTATGGCGTTGCAGACAGACTAACAAAAAAAAAATATACGCTGTTTCTGTCTTAACAACATAAAAAGAAAAAATAGGATATATATGTATAATAATTCATATTTGATATGTTTACCTTTTATGTATTTGTCATGACTAATTTTCAAAAAATGGAGAATTAATCATCGACATTTGAAAACTAAAACTACATTACATAGAATATCAATCCAAACTCACACCAAAAGATCTCATTCAGAACAAATGTTTAAAAATAATTTTTAATCATTATGGAACCTAAAGTTCCCTCAGCTGTTGAACGCAATGTTCGTTGATTAATATAGAAGAATTACACAAAAAAATTACTTCTTAAATCTTACAATTGTTTGAAATCGAGGAAAGAAAATATAAAATACTATTTGAATGTCCATTAAACAACTGTGTAAAACTGAAAAACTACATCTGTGTCAGTCTACAGTGACTTCTGGAACATTATTCCTTTGTAGGACAGTAATTTCAGCCTAACAAAATATTGCAAGAAATTAAAATGTAACAAACATGTCCCTTAAGGAAGGCATCTCTTTAGGAAAAAAGTAGCTGTTTATCAGCCAGTTCTTAATGTACAAAGCTGCATCACTAACTAGCCAGTAAATGAAACCACACATGATCCCTTTCAGCTGGAATGTCAGTAAAGTAACTAATTCGTTATCTGCTTATTGGTCAGATTGCGAGGATCAAAATAATCCAGGTATTTTCACAATGCTGCATGCAATTTCTGTACTAAAAAAGCAGCATTATTTTAATTTTTCGTAATCTGCAGTAGGGGAAACCCGTCTAAAGTGGATACCCCAGGCAAAGCGAATAGTCCCCACTACTTCCAAATTTTTCGTTGGCCGGCAGCCGCGCTGTCAAATCAAGAGTCGCCTGTTGCCGCTTAGTTCGCGGAAATCACTTTGGCGCGAATTTGCGTAGCATGCCGCCATTGAGTGGACAAAGTGTGTTTCTGTACCAGAAATATTAATTTACAGAGGTAAGTGTTTCGCTTAGATCTATTATGTTTTTGGTGGCATGTTTTTGTTTATGCAGGGGATTCAATGCATGGTTATAGAGCTTTCAACTATGTGTAGTTGATGAACTTAGATAAACTGTTTTTTTTATGACCTGGCATAACCTCAAAGCTGTACCCGAAGGGCAAAGCGGATCGGGCAAGGCGGATACTGTATTCACTTTGCCCGGTCATGGCGTGTAATATAATTTCATACAATTTTATATTATATCAAGTATTTTTCTGTTACAGATGGTGAATAAATATAAAAAAAAGACGACGCAAGGTACTTGGAGTAGAGACGTTATGCAGACTGCAATAAATTTATGTAGGGCTGGAGAATCTATTAAAGGGACAGCCAACAAATATGGACTTGCGTATGCTACCCTTTACAGACATGTCAAAAGTGGAAACGCTTCCGCACAGCTCGGTCGATTTCGTCCTACATTCACGGAGGATCAAGAAATTGAACTGGTGACATACCTGCAAGATATGGACGCAGTTTTTTTTGGCCTTACTCGGGATGAATTCATGAGTCTAGCATTTGAGTATGCACACCGCAACAATTTGCGTTACCCTGAGAGTTGGAATAAAAATAAAAAAGCTGGAGAAGAATGGCTGCAAAGGTTTTTATCACGTCATACCAACTTGACACTAAGAACTCCAGAATCAACATCTGTAGCGAGGCTGAAAGGATTTAATCGCCGCGAAGTGAGCCATTTTTATGAAAATCTTGAATCTGCCATTGAGAAAAATAACATTGAAGCCTCCAGACTATACAATATGGACGAAACCGGAATATCAACGACCTCAAATAGGCCTCCAAAGGTTATCTCCGTAAAAGGGAAAAAACAAGTGGGTATGATTGCAAGTGCAGAACGCGGCCAATTGACAACCGTCATCGGGTGTTGTAATGCTGCTGGCAGTTTTCTTCCACCTTTCCTGATTTTTGCAAGAAAGAAGATGCAAGCAAGGCTTCTTGATGGTAGTCCTCCAGGGACTCAAGCAACGTGTACTCCTAATGGCTGGACATCAGGGGAAGTCTTCTTGAACTGGATCCATTTTTTCGTAGAGCAAGTGAGGCCAACAGCAGATAAAAAGGTTCTACTAATATTGGATAACCATGAAAGCCACAAATATTATCCTGCACTTGAGTATGCCACCAAGAATAACGTGGTAATATTATCCTTAGCACCGCATACTACAAACAAAATGCAACCTATGGATGTTGCTGTGTATGGCCCACTGAAAACGCATTTCGAAAGGGAAGTTAACATTTTCCAAAAATCTCACCCTGGCCGCATCATTAATCAGTACGATGTATCTAGATTGCTAGCACCAGCTTATCTCAAAGCTGCCGTGGCCATCAATGCAGTGCATGGATTTGAAAAACCTGGGATTTGGCCTGTAAACAAGCACGCATTTGGTGATGAGCATTTCACACCAGCCGAGGTACTTGCAGGTACATCCACTTTAAACAGTCAAGCTGGAACTTTGGCCCCAATAGAAAGCATTGATTTACCCGAGTCCGCTGTTGAAGCGTTACCTTCGATTGAACCTCAAGATCAGCCCATATCACCTTCATTTGCAAATGCCACTCAACATTCTCATTCATTCATAAACCCTATTGAAGGAGAAACCTTACAGACTATAGAATCTGTTAGTTCTTTACCTATTGCGTCATCAGGTGAAGTTGTTGCTTTAGGTGATTTTCAGTCTCAAGACGAAGTAAATATATATATTGAAGATCGACCGTGCACTCCTATTAGATCTGAAACTAAAAAAGAAAGCTATGGCAATACTGTTCCCGCCGCTTCACCCGAACCTGGATGTTCTAAGACCTACTATAGTCCTTCAGTTTTGAGACCTATTCCTCAGCCTGCTAGACCAACAACAACACGTAAACGGAGGTTACAAAGATCTAGTATACTGACGAGTACTCCAGTAAAAGAAGAGCAGAAACAGAAATTTGAAAAAGGAAAAAAGCCTGCTATGAAGCCACTAGATGATGTTTCGACGAAAACTTCTCTGAAGACTGGTAACAAAAAAACTGTTAAATCTAAAATCACTGATAAAAAAGCAAAGAGGAGTGCAAAAGAAAATGGAAATCAGAAAAAAATACGGAAATTTGATGATGTCAGCTGCATTTTCTGTGGTGAAATGTACATTGAAGAAGATGATCAGCCAACGGAAAACTGGATACAATGTAGTATTTGTACTCAATGGTGCCATGAAGAGTGCTCAGCCTTCGAAGGCAGTGACGATTTTGTTTGCGATAACTGCAAAAATTAGAAACATGTTATTTTAAATATTTTTTCCTGATTTTCAAGGTTTATTTCCTTTGTAAGTTTAATTTCAAGCCAAATAATGTTGCTATTCGCTTTGCCCTGGTATCATATTCACTTTACCCGGAATCCCGGGCAAGGTGGATAGTTAGTCACTCTTGTTAATTCGATTAATAACTTTTAATTTAATTAATATTTAGGAAGAATCTTATACAATTCCGTTAGTCCTTTAAATAAAGAGTGCTTATAAATATTTGTTTTAATTTCCCCGGTTATAACTAATCTACAATAACCAAAAACAGCTTAAGGTATTCACTTTGCCCGGGTTTCCCCTACACATATTTTAATGTAACATCTGAAACTTATCATGTCGTTTATTCCTGATACTCCTCCGTTTTCTGGCCATTAAATGGAACCACGTGTGTAGGCTTGGGTTTTTACGAAGATTTCGCCCACCTCAGTGGCCCCCTTTTTTAAAGTACAGATAAAAAAAGTGACAGTGACAATATTATTTTATATCTATGACTCCCAGGTGGCAGAGCATTTGTTTTTGCCGGTACTATACAGAGTGTGCAGCACCAATAGCCTGGAGGGCACTGCACCATACTGAAATCGTGTGAAGCCATCATTGTGCCCCAAAAGATATCCAGCCGCTCCAAGGCGACAAGCGCGCATGAAGTATATGTTGTGTACCAGACACGTCAGTCTTCCACATCACCCGACAGACGCCAAGCGGCCTGAAGAATCCAAAAACCCACCCAGTCAGAACTCAGCTCTTGACTGTTATGCAATCTTGATTGCTGCATCTGTATTGTTCATGGAACCGAATGCGAGAAATAGCATACAAATCCCCCATGTTTGTCTGGCCGAATTAAACCACATTTCTTTAAAAGTAATCTTTATTGTACGACGTTTCGATCCCAACGGTGACCTTCTTCAAGCACAATAAACACTTTTCTGACAATTCTATTTACCTGTCTACGCGTCAAGGACATCATGAGAGAAAATAATATAAGAAAGAACTGTAAAAACTCAATCCTACATACGCGGTTTCATTTAACATCCAAAAGCATGGGAAATTACATATATTCTCTTTCCTCGATCAAGTTCACTCATCCACATCCCATAATTTCAAAATTCCAATTACATTTCTAATTGACAACTACAGTAATCAAACCGCTTCGCTTCTGCCACAATCTTCATGGAATCAAACCCAAATAAATTTGCGTTACACATTCTATTTATCTGGTGATGCAATCAAACCACACCCTTCATCAAATTTCAGATCATCAAACGATTTATCAAAACTTTCCAATGAACAAGCAGCATCAAACTGCCGCATCAAGGTACACTTTCCAACTGACGGCTAAGTACAAGTGGTCAGATTTGCAAGCGAGTCATAGTGTTTTGGTATGGTCATCATCACATCTTCAGGAGTCCTGTCTTCTGAGCAATTCATCGGTCGTGGACGGTTGGTATCCACGCAATCGATAGGCATTTTGATGGTTTCCATGTTATAGTGGTAGCCCTGCAGAGTGATCTTGATGATGGTGTGCAGTGGTACGTGAATGTACGGGATTTCTTCCGGTGGGGTTTCCAAAAAGTAGCCTAGAATAGCAAAAGGATAAGAAATATTAAAGTGTGAAAATCGCAATAGGCCAAGATCACAGAATATATCCGAATCACTATCGATATCAAAACACGTTTAGATCTGTACAATCATCTATCAACAACTATTCTTCAACTTAATACAGTTCGTTTTAAATATATTTTAAAGAAGTTCATGACAGAACATTGTTTTTGTTCCATAAGTGAAAATTTAGTTCAAAATTGCAAGGTTTTCATGACATGTCTATCTTGTACTTTGTTCATGAACAGATGAAATAAATATCTATCTATCTAAGATGTCTCTGCAGTAATGGGGCTATAATACAAGTAATGATTATCAACAGGTGTGTTACGGCTCCGAATAAAACCTATGCCAAACGAACATATCTTCTAAGTGAAATAAGTTTGACTAACTTTGTAAAGGCTAAAAGAGGTTTGTAGTTTACGGGTCCAATGATGGTAGACAACTTTTTCGATTTCGATTTTTGGAAGCTTTCTGTGAAGTTATGGAGTTTCTATATAAGATATAGGGCTACCCTGTATTATACTAGAAGATAGAAGATGCAACTCAGCACCTTTACGCAGCGCCTGGCAACTGCGAGAATGCAATATGAGATTTTCCTTTGTCTTATCATTCAAATGAATATTGTACTTTACATTTTGTAATTCAGTTAGAATCTAGCCTTCACGCCAATCACTACTTGTAATTTAGGAAATAAAATATATGTCAAAAAGGCACTTACGCAAACTCGAAATATAAGTTATATAAAGGGTGTCTCAATAAGAGCGCCGGATTTAATTTTCAAGAAAAGGACAATTTCTTTTTGAATTAAGCGAGTATTAGTTGCGATTGAATATGACATATGATATCCAGTAAATGGCCACCACGAAACCTCTGGCTCAGGGTCAGTCTTTAACGGCCCGTATCTCTTCTTTGAGACGTTCAACTGCTTGTGGCTTGTTCGCATACACCTTTTCCTTCACATAGCCCTAGAGGAAGAAGTCCATTGGCCTTAGATCGCACGATCTTGGTGGCCAATTTCGATCGCCAAACCGAGAGAAAAGACGGTCTGGAAGCTTGGTCCGCAGTAACACCATTGTTTCGCGTGCTGAGTGGCAGGTCACACCGTCTTCTTCGCATAGCATATCCTCCACATCAATTCGTTCCAACTGGGGCCGCCACAATAACTCGGTTAACATTTCGCGATACCGTACACAATTAACAGTTATCGCAGTTCCAGCTGCATTTTCGAAGAAATATGGTCCAATCACTCCGCCACTCCACAGTGTGCACCAAACGGTAACTCGCGGTGGATGCATTAGTTGTTCGATTATTACACGAGGGTTTTCAGAACGCTAAATTCGGCAGTTCTTATTGACGTCTCCGTTCAGTTGAAAATGTGCCTCATCAGAGAAAATAATTTTCTTCGAGAAATCCGCTTGAATTTGGTGGTGCTCCAGCGTCCAATCAATGAATTCACGGCGCTGAGCATGGTCCCTTCGTTTGAGTCCTTGCGTCAGTTGAACCTTGTACGCATGCAAGCACAGATCTTTTGTCAAAATTCGTTGCAGAGTGGGTCTGGTAAGGTTCAATTTTTGGCAACGATGCCGAATGGAAGTGCCTGTTTTCTCGGTCACACTTTCCCGCACTGCGACTATATTTTCGAGGGACCGACCAGGTCGGCGACGAACAGTGGTCTTCACATTCAGCAACGTGAATGTTGTTTCAAATTAGGAAATTATACGACGCACTGTCGACTCATTTGGCGCAATATTGCGTCCGAAAATTGTACGTAATTTGCGAACTGCTTCCGCGTAATTCTCTCCATTTTTGTAGTGAGTTTTCACAATAATTAAACGTTGCTCGTTTGAATACTGCTCCATGACGTCTTATCGCATGGTCTGGACATGACAGCTGTTATCAAGTAATCACCATACCATTTGTACAAAAAAAAAATGGCGGCAAATTCAAATCCGACGCTCTAGCAGTTCATAGCGCCAAACATTGAGGCTTTTAGCATATCTCATATTCATACTTGAATGATTTGTTTGCTATGGACACAAAAGCGGCAACAATGATAAAGACTTACCAAGTATACAACGCAACACTGCCTGATGAGAGACAGTCAAGACATTTGTCTCGCACTCCATTTGAGTCAAAACAGGAACCAATCGGTTCATGACATCGATGTACGACTCTCCTTGAGGATAGCGGTACTTGAGCTTTTCTCTATCCCTCAACGCCAGTTCTTTTGGAAACCGTTCCGCCAATTCTTCGTATGATAGGTTCTCGCATTCACCCTGCAACAAAAATGATAAAAATCATTTCACAAATAAAGCGTTAATATAGAACCAGGTACGGATCATATGTTACAAGTTCCGTATGTAGCAACTTTTGTAAATACTATTTACTATGATAAACGCTTGTTTGTTTGTCAAAAAACATGAGGACGTTTTTTGACAGTGTTTGTATAGAAAATTGACTGGGATTAAAAGGGGTGAGACACCACACAAGTGTATATCATTTGTGATAGAAGTAATTAGTACAAGTTTACGAGGGTACTTTTTACAACTAATGATACTAACCGACCAAATTTCGTCCAGTTCAGGCAAATGTAACTGAGGTGCTGGTATGCCCGCGCTAGTAGCTTTTGTTCTTTGTAAAGTGGAAGTCCAAACTTGTAGACTAGGAAGATTTAAAGCTTGTATATGCTTAGCTAAAGATTGAGCATATGATCTGCCTCTGGGAGACAATTTGGCATCACCACCAATTCTTCCAATTACGTTGAACTCACTCTCTCCATGCTGAAATGATAATTAATATGTAAACAAACCGGTGAAGAAATAAATACCACCGTTGCCATGACTTGGAGTTATTATTAATGGCAATATATTGTATAGGGTGTCAGAGAATTAAACTGTAAAGACGCAACTTACTCTACTGAAATAAAGTGTTTGCTGATAAGGCTTCGGAGTAGACACATAGGCCAGAATTTTTCCTTCCATCTGCCCATTGACACCGTGAGCTATGACACCTCCTTCACCAGCATCCAGGAGTTTGACCATTGGACACGGCAACTCCCACAAACTGCCTAAGGTAGGAGATTCGTATTGAGCTTTGTAATGCGCCATCTTGTGAGTGAGATCTTTGAGCGCCTCCTCAGTTGCCATGTTACGATAGTCGGCACTGTATTGAAGAATCTCCTGCAAAGAAAAATAGCTGTTAGCGATAATAATGAATCGTATCAAGGAGAAAAAACTATCAATATTTGAGACCAGACTACCGCAACAGTCAGAGATAAAATGTTTCCTAACTAATAACGGTTAAGACATATACAGGAGCTGTCTAAGGTGCACTTACTGAATACATATGTTGTGGAACGAGTGAGCGGTTGAATGTTGAATATAGACATGAATTATATGGCCTAAAAATGTGCAAATATTTTCTCATATGATGCTCTCAACTAAAACATCTACAGAGAACTATAGATCTTTTCACGGATTTGATGGTTACGTGACAGTGCCATAAGAAACAGGATGACTAACTACCATGTGCTTAACATTAATAAAGGAAATTGCACACTCGGCAAGTCGTTCGTTAACACACATACATTGGGAATCGTTGTTTTCATTTAGTTTCTGAAGCATTGTAAGTTATCTTCAGGGATTGTTATGTTTTATATCGAAGGTAAACTCAAGTAGTATGCTCATGACAAGCATAAATGTGGAACACTATACAATAATGTGAACATTTTCAAGGCGATGAGACAAAAGTAAAAAACTTATGTCTGAGCTTACATAAACAAACGTCCGCACAAATCGCGAAAACTGTCTATTATGAAACTTTGCGCCCATGGGGACTTTTAATCAGAACATTATTATGCACAGCCAATTCCACAGTACCCCTTTCCCGTATATTTTGTGCGGTATTCTTTACAAGTTTTCTTGCTAAATACAAATAAGTCATTATATCACACAAAACCATGACAACAAAATAGCGTTTTTAGCTATAATACAATAACTGTTCCGGCGTTTAAAATCGGGGGTTTTCAAAATCCTTAATTTTTATTGATGTTGCTTATTTTTCCAACATCTTAACCAATACTTGCTTCAAAAAATACAAACACACCTTGAAATTTCTCTCGAGCATAACAGGATCCTCGCAAACACATTCGATGAACATGACCCTAAAACCCAGTTGACAGTAGACCAAGTCGTAGATCTCCTGCCTCTGGGATCTGCTCACATTCGGTCCGTCCAAGATGGCCACTTTGTTTCCAGGTTGACGCATCCATCCGGCGGCGTCTTCCAGAGCCTCTCTGAACGACTGCTGGCGAACGCGCCACATGGGAAGGTTCTCGGCACGGAACATCTCGTGTGAATCATACTGCTTGATATGCTTGCGTCGGTAGTCACTAATGTCGTATACTGAAATAATGTAAATTTAAATGCATTAGTGTATTCTGGAAATATTACGAATTGGAGATATTTTAAAATAAATGTTTTCTAGTATGTTTCAGAAATGTACTTCCAGAAAGTCCAAAAGATCTAATATACAAATAGATTCATTTTCATGTGAATATGTCGCACTATGGGGTAATAGTAATCCATTGGCTAATAGTTCTGCTAAAACTAAGCAATTTCAAGAGCAATAAACAATTATTATACGTTTATCAGAATGAGAAAAATTTAGAGGGGCAAGGTTTTTAGTTATTTAAAGATCACTCCACGACTAGCGGACAAACTCTGAAATACTGTAAAGCATTTTCATCGAGAAAATTACTATCTCGATTTCAAATTGTTCACGATTACAATAATTCCCTCACCTATTGCCGTGAGAAATAAAAACTGACCTAAATAATTATGTTAAAATGGGTGTAGGGTTTCGAAATACATATTTCTGGGTTTTGTATTACGTCTGGGTAAATATAAACCTGTCTCCTACTACGCGACTTGCCATGACTAATCCTGAAATAATTTGAGATATGAATGAGATCGCAAATTGAAAAAATTGACAACAAAAACTTACTATAATTATATATTCAAAATCAGTAGATGCACTCAGAATACATATAAGTTAACAGGTTCTGTCTGTCCAGAATGTCAAAAGACACCCGTCATCCTCTTTGATCCCTTAGCCAAATTTTTCTATAACAATAATGCACGTATTTTTTCAAAATCATCCAAGTCACGTTTGAATTAAGCATTCAGGGAACCATGTCGATGTCATGCTTTCTTGACCTTAGTAACACACAAATGGCATTAACATCGAAACATACGAACTTTTTTACTAGGATTATAATTAAAGTCAGTTTCTTCTTCTTTCGAAATAAAAGTAAATGAGTCAGATTTTCTTAATTTAGAGGGATCAAAAATATAATGAACGGACAACGGACTTGCAACGAATTCACTAACAGCTAAAAATATGCTGTTATTTACTGCACATAGTGCGTTTACCTCAAAATGTGATTTGAATATATCAGATTAGTATGAACACGATTTAAGATGAATCGAAAAAAATGAAAGTCATTATCAACAACAAAACGCATAAGTTATATTTTCGTCTCAAAGATTAAATTATTGTTATTGCTATGGTGAAGGAGAGTTTATTGATGTCAAAGGCTAATGTTAGAATTGGGAAAAGCTTTTCGTAGTTGATTTTACCAGTTATGTCGATCCCCTGATAAAAAAAACATCAAGTAGATTTTATCAGTACTTCCTATACAATGATGTAGGCCTATTTAAGATTTTAGGTACACGATAACCGATGCATTAAATTTTGTCAATCCCAATCATTTTTTGAGTACTCCCAAGAATGCTGTCTGACAGGCCGGTTTAGCAGACTCAGAATGCTTCATGGAAACGTCACAGGGAATCAAGAAATGAGTAAAACGACTGAACTGCACCGTGTATTATCTACGTTCATGTTGTATTAGCTAAATGATGTTACGCCTAAATTATATTGAAAAATGCATGTTGTAAAAGAAGGAAGTAGATTTTGGAAGAGAAATATTAAATCCCCCTGACCATGACGTACTTTAATAAACGATTCCTTATGAAACCCTGATTTATTAATATCTTCCCGACCTGTTTTCTATTTATTTGAAAATGTGTGTACGCAAAACCGTCTGAAACGTACTTCCTAGAAATATATTTTTTCTTTATATTTTTAGGCCTGTCAAATGATGAAGTCCAACGATTTCATGGACAGATCCATCTAAGTAACAAAACGGGATCTCTCCATCGCAGCACGGAGTACCTCTTATCAATATTAAACAGCTTTCACAATAGAGAAAACATCGCGGATATAGATTAGTTTACGATCAAATACGTATTATCTCTAAAATGTTTACGTTTTGGGTTATATGAAAAATGACGTGTGCTCTTAGAAATAAACTTAGTAACAGTATGACTTTGTTTACTCTAGTATGGAAAATGATGAAACAAATGCGCGTGCATAGTATCTATTTTGTGAGAGATGTTGTGTAAGTGTAGCAATAAACCTACTGAACAAGGCGAACATTCTCCACATCATCACACAATTGGAAAAGTAATATTTTCCTTTCACACATTAAGAAATGGCATCAAGTGAATTTTGTTTAAGAATAAACATTTCAATTCTTCCAAAACCTGTAAAACTTTCATGTGCTTGCCATATACAGACTAACCTTCTGTCAAAATTTTTTTAAAACCCGAATGATTACTGCGGATATATACAGGGCAGACCAATAGCTCATGGACGGAGTACTGTTGACAAAACCGTTTCAAAAAGGTATGGATTTATATATCATCGTATCCGAGGGCACATTTTAGAAATATTTAGCATAACACAGTGCTGTCACTAGTCACCTTTTGTTTCCATCTGTGCTGCGATTTATTAACTGCCTACTTATTATCGTATGAAAATTTTCTTGACTTTTATATTAAAAATAGTTTCTGAAAATACAGGTTCCGCTAGAAAGACCGCATGCTTTTTAAATGAGTAGTACAGTCAAAATAAGAATGGAGAAAATATTTTATTACATCAAAATACTCAGGAATACATGCCAGTTTTTTGAGTAAAACAAAATCTACGTTCTAAAAACTATGTCGGCCATATGGCGCCCTTGAGCCGAAATGCAGGAATCAAGCCTCTCCCGAAATGAGCCCATTGCGTCGGCCAGCATCCGTGCAGAAATTTGGATTACTTCTCTTCTTATTTCCTCTTTCAAATCGACGAGGGTCCGAGGCTTGCTTTGGTAAACTTTTGATTTCAGGTAGCCCCATAAAAAAAAATCACACGTTGACAGGTCCGGGGAGCGAGGGGGCCATGGAATATCGCCATGACGTGAAATGAGGCGTCCTGGGATTTTTTGCCGAAGAAGTTCCATGCGAGCTGCGTGAGATGTTGCCCAGTCTTGTGGAACCGCACTGTTCTGTGACGGACACGTCGACGTCGAAGTTCCGGGAAAAAATGAATTCACAGTAGTTGTTTCTCCATCATCCTCAAAAAAAAATAAGGGCCAATAATCATCGTTGGGTCTACTGCACACCCAACTGTAACTTTCGGGGTATGCAGAGGGTGCTCATGCAACTGTTGGGGGTTCGATATCGACAATTTTGTTTATTGAAGTATCCATGTAAATGAAAATGTGCTTCATCACTCATAAACAACGTCAAGTCATTATTATCTAACTGTTCAATCATGAGCTGTGCAAAATTAACACGTTGTACATAATCCCCCCAACAGTTGATGACAAACCTGCATTTTGTAAGGATGGAACACTAAATAATTCTTCAAGATGCGACGTACAGAGGAGGATCCCTTCGGAACTGACACGCAAACGGACGGGCTTTGCAGCGTGTCAACTCTCACTCTGTCTACGTTTCCCTGGGTTCTAACAGTACGGTTTCGCCCTGGCGGTTTTTTCTTCATCACATTACCTTTTGTGTTGAATGCTTCCACCCATCTCAAAATGGTCTTACGGTCTGGTACTGTTCCACCACGTGAAACACGAAAGTGAACGCGAAACTCACGTTGCGTTCGAACGACAGACTCGCCGTTTTGAAAGTACCGACGTACAGTGAACACACGATGCTCTACGTTCCAAACCATCTTGCCAACTGAAACGGCATTTCTACCACTATCACACACGATCTTTCCCACTGACACGGGACGAGCCCACTCGATGTACTACCCATTCGAAAAACATGCGTTCTTTCTGACGTACCCTGTATTTTCTTTAATCAAATAAACAAAATACAGTGATTGACCATCACGGTGTGTTTTTTTGTACTATAATTGTTCACATTCTCAATGGAAGATTCAAAATAGAAAACAATTTTCTGGTTGACGTCGCATAAAATGCAATCAAGTTTAATACACAAGACAGTTCGTGATTAAGTTAATAGTACTCATCAAAGTGGTGCAATGCTTATTCCAACATAACATTTGTTACGATTATTAGTTGCACGAGGCTGATAAGAAATTAAAAAACTTGTATGCCAATCGAATGCCTAACACAATGCTAGTTGAGAATCATATAAACTATGATGCACCGTCTAAACTCACAAAATACTATAACAGGTAGTCCGTAAAACAAACAAATAATGACGGTATCATTAGTAAACTATGTTGATCGAGATCGGAAATTTTTTTGGAAAATCCTGTAATAATGGTAAACGTGATTCAATTACCAGAAAGTACATACTACAATAAAATTAATTTTCTGTGATTTAAACCTCCATTGGTTAACGTTTTCCACTTGAAGATACCCAATGGAAATACAATAAGCATTATGGATGCACCAGTAGGCAGACGGACTAAACCCCAAATTCTCAAATGCCAGTAAAAGTTTCTTTTCGAAACTTGTTTGTTGATGGTATCATATTTATTAACCCGGAAAATGACCTGCAAGGTTACTTAAATAAATAGTTGATCTATCGAGCGCTGACCTCCCCGTAAGGTAAGTTTCACTGATTTTTAATGATTGTATGCTTATCGTAGACCAGGTCATTCACAGAAAATAAGTAAACAAAAAAATATTTAATTATTAGGCTGACCGTACTCAGACATATCCTCGCAAATTCCATTACACTATCATAACTACTTCCTGGATGATCGATTCATCATCCGCCGTTGCTTATACAAATAATTACATAACCTTGTTAAGGATACATTAAGAAGTGTTATTTTTTATACAATATTCTCACATTAAGACATTAAGATGTAAGCAGCTATATTGAAAGTATACCGCTTGAAGGTTATGCGAATATTATTATCGATTTTATGAAATAGAGGCTGAATGGATTAACACATTTATTTTCAATGTATTCTGAATAATAAAGGGTGTACCAAAATTAACGCAAGATTTGAATTAAATAGAAAATGCCATTTTTAGTCTTTTAATAGTTATATTTTTATTGACTCATAAAGTACATAGGATAGGGTTATGTATGGAATAACACATCGGACAAATGGCCTCCACGGCTTTGCATGCACATGCGCACTCTTTTGTCGAAATTTTCCATGACCCTTCTGCATAAATGTGGATGAATTTCGTTGATGCAGCGTTGAATCTCCTCCTTTAATGCACGGGTGGTTGTGGGCTTGTTGACATAGACTTGTGATTTCAAATAACCCCATAAAAAGAAGTCTAATGGTGTTAAATCACACGATCTAGGAGGCCAATTTTGATCACCGAAACGAGAGAGTACACGACCGGGAAATGTCTCATGCAGTAATTGAATTGTTTCACGGGCTGTATGACATGTGGCACCGTCTTGTTGAAACCACATATTGGGTACATCAATATCATTCAATTTTGGCAGAAAGAACTGTGTAATCATGTCGCGATATCGAGCACCAGTAACAGTCACTGCTTGACCAGCATCATTTTCAAAAAAATATGGCCCAATTATGCCTCCAGCCCAAAATCCACACCAGACAGTCACGCGTTGTGGGTGCATTTCTTTTTCGACAATCACACGTGGGTTCTCCGAACCCCAAATGCGGCAATTTTGGCGATTGACAAAGCCATCAAGATGAAAATGTGCTTCATCGCTTAGGATGATTTTGCTTGAAAAATCAGGGTCCATTTGTTGATGTTCAATAATCCATTCAACAAACTCTCTTCTCTCTGCATGGTCATTAAGCTTCAATTGTTGTGTTAATTGAAGTTTGTAAGCATGAAGACACAGATCTTTGGTGAGTATACGCTGTAGAGAGGTTCTTGACATTTGCAATTCTTGTCCACGACGTCGAATTGAGGTTCCTGGATTGTCCGCAACACTCTCACGCACTGCTTCGATATTCACATTTGAACGGCTTGTTTTTGGACGACCAGTGTGTTTGGCGTCTCCAACGGATCCAGTCTCCATGAATTTTTCAATTAATCTCTTCACAGTTGACGAAGTTAAAACACTATTCCGGCCATATTTTGTATGAAATTTTCGAACTGCAGCCGCCAAGCTTTCACTATTTTTGAAATATTCTTTAATAATGAAGACACGTTGTTCTATCGTGTAACGCTCCATTTTTCATAACCCTATACTGTTAGCTGTCAACTTGCTTTTTTTCAGGGTTGCCAACACTTCACTGCACAAATGGCGGCAAATTCAAATCTTGCGTTAATTTTGGGACACCCTTTATATACAAGTATACTGATTCAGCACTTTGCCTTGATTTTTCCTAAACATTGATAAAAATCTAACATCTTGAATATCCGAAAATCCTACGGTCATAAGTAATAAGTGAAATACGTATAAAACATACCTAATATAAAAAAATGAGCCCTATAAAAGTTTTTAGTCTACGCTCTGAAGTAAGTATAATGTTGACAAATCCCGAAAAGCGGAGTTTAGGATTTTTTAAGGTTACATCTCCCTAACAAAATTTTTGGCAACGGTCAAAGACTAATTGTAAAAAGTAGTGAAACAAAAGCTATAAAAGGTGAAGAATACCCTGACAGACGAGCCAACGTAATTGACCTTCAAAATTGTTTGTAGTATGTCCTAATGAACGAACTTCCTTTCTGGCCTGATTCATGCATTTTGGCTGCATCATCGAGAATTCTCGCATTGTATATGCACCTATATACAATGTACAAATATGTAAATTTGTGATTTAAATGTAATGAATTGTGTGACATTGTACGGAGAAACGTATGACTATAAATAGTACGAGTTATCTGACAATACACACTCAGTGAAACAAAGCTCTTTTTGACAACATGTCTTCAAATAATCTAGTTATGTATTATTTGCATTCAAACATTTTCTACAAAATTTTATTAACAATTCGCATCAAAGGTCAAGTTGAAAAACGCTTCTCTTAGCGACTTTCGTAAGAAATAAGGCCCATCAATTATTATTATTGTTATTATACATGTGTAGAATTTGAACTTCGGACGTAATATTATATAATCTAATTCCAATCGATAAACTATCCCTCAGTACATTGTTACGACAAAGTAGAATGACTGTTAATAAAAATTCATTCAACTTTCAGACAAGGAAATTCTTTTAACCGGCATATCCTTGAATACTTTTCCTGTTACTTCAGTGACGCACAAAAAGCGTGTGTTGGTGTTTCATGGAACACAAATGGGCTTTTGGTTAGTAAAGTTTATGAAGCGAACGGTTTAAAATACATACAGAGTGATTCAAAAGATAAGAAAGTATGTTACATATACCCAAACATAATTATAATGAAACATTGCAAACATAGTTACCAAATTATCCTCTTACCGAGGTACAGAATGTTGTGGATAATTTATTCCCCATTGATTCCAGTCATTGAGTATGAAACGTGTATATTTTTCCAATAACATTTTGGTGGTGATATCGTAATGCCTCCTTAATATAATACATCCAATTTTCAATGTTAAACTTCGCTAACTTCAGCGTATTTTCAAAGTAGATTAAATTTTAGTTTTTGTATGGATTTTATCTCGAATATTCAAACCTATATTCCTCCAAAACAACTTGTGACAAACATTTCTCGAAAAAGACAAATGAGTGATTTAAAAAAGTAGCGGAGAAAATATTTTTTCCATATTCTGTTTAGGCAAAATATTCCAGTTTGCACACCACTGCTGTAATTTGAGCCACGAAAATTCTTGTATGTTTCAGTTATGCTGTGCCAAGTCGATATCTTTATCTATTAGGTTAGAGGCTACTGACAACCATGTTTATAGCAACTCAGTGTTACGTTTAGACGTATTTTCTGGCTGAATATGACCTGTTTGCTTCCCGACCGTTTTTAATTACTCTATATGATACCAGTCCTTGAGATTATCTGGTGACTGAACTTCACACCGCGTGTCTGAATTTCAATGTATTCGAAAAACTTGTATGTGCATTTTATTCCTTATCTGGAAAGATGTTTTTAGATTAATTTTCTCGTAATGGAAATTCAAAACGATTACAACGATGATTACTTCTGAGAATTTCAGTATCATATGATAAATAAATGATGGTGAAAATCATGTTTTCACATTTAAGAAATACGCAATACAAATACAAAATACAGTTTGTAAAATAACAATAACACGTACCACACGAATCCTACAAATTAACAATACAATCAGTGATAAAGTATGGAACCGAATATTTTTCAAATAAAAAGTGTATGATGTAATAGTGAAAAGCGTCATTGCAATTGCTAAGTCTTCTAGTTTTTATATACTCGAAATTTATACAAATGTTCTGAGTCATCAACGCACGCAGGGATTAAAGTCAACGCTACCCAGGTTATCAGTGGTGGACTACACATTTCATCATAAAGATGAGTGATATTTTATAAACAGATTAAAATGCGGTATGATATTATATATTAAATATAGGTCAGAAGCGACTGCAAGAGATCATTTTAGTAAATAATAACAAAGCGATATCAACGGTGGCCAAAAAATCAATGGTCATCCATCAACTATGTTGCTAGCCCCATTTAGGTTTGTCAAAAGAAATATTAATAGGTGGCAGTTTAATTTTTTTGGACCTTTATTTTTCATTTTGTAACAATGAGCATACTAATTTGTTTGGAAGCATTCAAAATAATGGGTACCTACAGTCAACTGCTTCAAAAACCTTCAGTTTTGAAAATACAACGAGTGCGCCCCACGAAGAAATGCATGCAGCAATCTATTACTCGGAAACTAGGAGATACACAATTAAAATAATTTGTCGGTCTGGTAAAACTCATGGGAGCAATTCGGCTGAAATAGTTTCAAAAGGGTGACACTTCCTGGCAGTGCAATATCGTATGATGCATTATTGATATATAAAAACGGATCTGTCTAAATACGTTGGAAACTACTATTTGAGATTAATTTATACGATAAAATTATAAAAATAGGTGGTTTCCATTTATAAAAATTGATCATTATTCATCAGCCTGCATTTGTGATTTTTTACACATTTGAGATACCTTCTAAACGGTTAGATTTGGAATACAAAAAGTGTATCATGTAGAGGGTATCCCATTTAAAATGAGCAAGTTGAATCTACTTCCGGTTTAACCACTTTGAAAATGTTTTAGCCCAATTGCTCCCATCACTATTACCAAAACCTTAGGTTCAAGTTATACGGTTGAGGATAATAAGACTATAAAATGCAGTTTTCTTGAGATACTGATCTTAAATACTACGAGGTCATTGTTAAAAATCGCCGTAACATTCATATATGTTGCATATCCAGTTTTTCCCAGCAATAACTGTGCTGAAATGCTACCTTTCCAAATGAAAAACAATGAATTTGTTTAGGAATATTGGAATGTACCAAGAGAAATTTCTGTAAACGTGAGTCCTAAAATGCCTTCCTGTCGAGATATATACTGTTCAGGTTACATTTACAAAATTACAAACAAATGATGTCAACAAAGCGCAAAAAGGAATCAACATGAAGTTAAACATGTCTCAAACCATTAAGTAAGTCAAGTAAAATCAGAAACGTAGATACTAGGAGAAATACGCTAATAATTTTCTCAAAAAATACACTTTGAATTTTATTTCTTCATAGAATAGTCACTTTAGAGAAATCAGTACATTTTAGGTAAACTCCGAAAAATTTTGTAACATGGAAATTGACAGTGCAAATTCTACAAAATATGTCAAAAATGTAATGTTACTCAACGTTATTTGAGTAATATTCAGGTTTTACCCTCAGTCAGAGGCGCTGACAACCAAAACACTGTATCTTTACAAAGCCACTTTAGGCCTAACAACACAAATACTTTTGCTTTTTGTATCATGATTAAGGTGCTTCCAGCTCCCGCGATACACCAAATATCTATTGTTCAATTTATTGGAACACTTTATGGACCTGAGAGTCTATTTTAGAGGCTCACTGTATTGTGAAACATGAACATTTGAAGAAAAAATGTGGAAAAACAAGTAGCTGAAAATAAAATGAGTAAAAATGAGAAAAAGCAAACTTTCCTCACCTTTAGTCTTATCCCCGGTGTAGTTCAGGTACCTGCTCAGCCGGCGCGCTAGCATGCTCTTGCCTCTACCTGGCAGCCCCACCATAGCTACCAGAAGAGGTCCAAACTGCCTCAAGGGTTGTCTCCTGATGGCCATAGCACCTGCTGGACAGACCTTTCCGTTAGTTTTATCCATTTTGGGCACCTTCGAAAAACGGGCGTTTTTCAGCATTTCTCGCGGCACGGGGTTCATTTTGCATTAACTTTATTCACTACCGCTCAGTTGATTGTCCGATCACGTTCTGTGTGATAATGGTATTACTTGTTGTTTAAATGGAGTATTTATCGAGATTGGATGGAGACTGGCGTGGCATGAGCGCGGATCAAGGGGTTTTTCTTATCGAATGAAAATTATGTTTTGCATAAACAACCAGATTCGCGAACAAACACGATATTGCCCAGCATGTACTTAAAAATTCCAGAAATTATACAGGTATATAATGATCTAATACATAAATATATCACCCCTCATGATACAGATTACAGTCTAAATGGCAACAGTGAGGCGGTGCTATCGAAAGCTTTGTGGAAGTTGTGAGATTGTTGGGAATCTCCAGAAAATGCACCACCTGTCGCCTAGGGATAAGATCAAAATATTTCTGCTTTTATACATGAACGGGAAATAAGAAAAGTCCCTTCCAAAGACCAACCACGAAATTTCGCGCGCATTTTTAACGTCATACGTTTTTCTACGCACTGTCCTTAGAACGTTGCGATAGAGGTTAGGGTTTTGTTAAACATGAGAAAAATAGTATTTAAATGGCTGATTTCTATAGCCTAAAATATAAAGGGGTGACCGGTAAGTGCGACCTGGGATACAGTTCCAACAAACGGCTTGCTGTTTTCACTGTCGCAGTGGTCGATTCTGGTAATAGCACTTTGTGCTGTCTTATTTCGATAGACCTTATATCCTGCATAGAGAATAGTTGCTTAGCTTTGGTTCGTTGTCCTACCTGAGACCAAGCATAGACCATGCTGATGAGTTGCCAAATAGCAGGAAACAGCTGTCCATGGTTGGCCGTCGGTGGTCGGTCGAATGAAACGTATATTATTACCTCTAATGTATAAATCCCGAATAAGTTTTTCCAACACAAGAACCATAAAATGGCGGATGAAATTATGTATTTATCTAATAAAAAAGGAATTTTTATATGGTGCTGAATACCCCATTGTTTACAGAAAGATCAGGCCACCTCCCAATGCGACACTCCTCCTACATGGAAACAGCCAAGCTTTACACCTGTATTCTCACTATTTTAAGACAATTCTGATAAAATTAGTAAGTGTGCGATGCTTTGGCCAAAGTTAAAAACGTATGGTTTGTAAAATACTGTTAACCGAGCAAATAATGGAGATATATCTCTTGAAAGATGCTTTAATAGAACTCGAGAAGTACTTGTAAGTTAGTTCTGCTACCTCAGAAGTAATCTTGATGAATATATATATATATATATATATATATATATATACTAAGTGACATATAAATCCGAACACCCAGTTTAAATGGTTTTATTTTAATAAAAGTTGGTGAATGTATTTATCTTACTGTAAATAACAAGTGAAAAAATTTTCAGCCTTATCAGTTGGACTTTCCGGTTTTTATACTGCTTTTTTTTAATTCACTAACGCTCTAAAAATGAATATGTCAGCCGCAGTAAAGAATCAACGTTGGCGGATTTTGGTTCTTGACATCCTTTACGATCGGTTACGATGCCTAGAGTACGGAGACCTGTACGATTTCGTCAACTTAGTGAGTTTTATAGGGGCCGTATAGTGGGACTTCGGGCAATTGCAGTTAGAGTGCAAAGAAGTGTAGACACTGTGGTTAGGTGTTGTCAGGCATGGCTTCGAGAAGGCCGTACGCAAAGAGCAAGGGGCACTGGACGCCGCCGTAGAACAACAGACCGTGAAGATCGCCGCCTAAGATTATTGGCCTTAAGGGACCGTTTCTCCACTACCAAGTCCATTGCAAATGAATGGTTTGCAGAACACGGAAGACCTATTGGCATGCGAAGTGTTTACCGACGAATGAGAAGTTTTGGCTTGTTTTCATGCCGGCCACACCGGGTTCTCCCTTTAACTCGAGAACACCGACGTAATCGCCTTGAGTGGTGCAGACAACGGTCACTCTGGGATCAGGAATGGAACAGTATTGTCTTTAGTGACGAGTCTCGATTTTGTTTAGGCATGCACGATGGTCGTGCCAGGGTTAGAAGGCGACGTGGTGAAAGGAAGAATCCACAGTTTTTTGTTGAAAGACATGTTCATCACACTGTTGGAGTTATGGTTTGGGGACCTTTAATCTTCATCAGAGGTAACATGAACGCGCAGCGTTATATCCACGAAGTTCTAGAACCCCATCTTTTACCCTATCTTGACACCCTGGCAGATCCAACTTTCCAACAAGATAATGCCCGACCACATGTTGCAAGAGTCACAATAGACTTCTTTCAACATAATGATGTCACATTGTTACCATGGCCACCAAGATCTCCCGACTTATCCCCAATTGAGCACGTATGGGATATGATGGGTAGGAGATTGCTCAATTTGCAACGTCCTCCTCAGACTCTAAAAGCACTTCGAGAGGAGTTGGTGGTTGCCTGGAATGAGATACCACAGGAGGACATTGACCATCTGATCAGAAGCATACCTAGGCGCGTTGGAGAATGCGCAGCACATCAGGGTGCATCCACACATTATTAAAGGTCAAAGGGCTTTAAAGCAGTGCAATCATTTTGAAATTTTTATCATTTACTTATTATGCTCCATTAAGTACTTATACAAAATTTTATTAAAATAAAACCATTTAAACTGGGTGTTCGGATTTATATGTCACTTAGTATATACAGGGTGACTTTGAAGTTGAGTCATTAATTTTCAGATAATGATTGTAGAAGGAAGATAAACCAGAATATGTGTGTAAAAATAAAAAAAAATTAAAAAAAAATGTTTACCTTGTTTTATAAAGTATCCCCCCGACAAGTATTTCAGTGCGGACCTGTATTTGATCGTGAGGTCCCCTGTGAGGTCTTAAGTCACCTGATTCACGAGCCCGTTGTACTACATTACATTACAAAGGCAAGAGGGGTTGGTTGCACTCGATTGGGAAACCGATCCGCATAAACATGTGCCATTTTTTATTTCGTTTGAGCCACGCAACAGACACTATTCACACGCTAACCGACAGACACTGACTGTATGTATAACTGAACTGAATAAAATACTTAATTGCAAAAACATCGTTCCAAATTCTTTCGCTTTTTTGTTTCCGATGCGATGAACCGGTAAGGCGGATTATATCCGTTGTTGCCAAACACAAGTACATGATATTATTATTGAGACAGGGCGGTACTCAAACTTCCAAAGGGCTATAACTTTGTTACTTTAATTTTACCAGAAAAATGGTAAAGGAAAAAAACATTTCTTTTGATCAGATCTACTCACTGTTAAAATAAATGACTCAACTTCGAAGTCACCCTGTATATATATATTATTATTATTTTGCCATAATATTTTCATTTTCTCTGTACTTAAATACAGCAGACACCTAAAGTACACGTTCATTCAAGTGGTTCTAGATCAAAATATTTATAATCTAGATTCTTGAAATTTCTCAAGTACGCCAGTGGTCTGTCAAAAATATGATACTCTAACTGCTTATAAAATTCAAAATACGTCTTTAAAGTATCTTGCACTTTTATCGCATACTTTTGTTTTTTTTTAAATATTGCATATGCGCTACCAATGATAATGGCGGTTCCCAAAAAGTGAAAAATACGTAAAAAGAGCATTATAGCTGCTGTTCCAAAGATATTGAATTTGTGAAGGACCAGTGGCGTAGATGAAATGTAATCGAAATGGGTTATGAGTCAACAAATAACAACATTATTCTGCGGAGCGACTGATTGACTGAAGGTAGCTATAAACGATATAGACCTGCCAGCCAAGTTTAAATAGCTACCGTTAGAATCAGAATTCTAAATATTTTCATGATAATCCTAATTTTATTAATTTCTAAATAACTTATAAACCGTGAATATATTGTCTAGTCTATCAAAACAATTTACTTTTGAAGCATATTAGTTAAACTAGCAAAAATATTGAATAGCATTAGTTTGCTAACATTTGTCAACTAAAAGCGACGACGCGACACTGGCTTCCCGAACTAAGCCTTTATCAATTAACGATATTCGTTCATATTTTTTAAAAAATTATCTAGTATTTTTCTATCAATACACCAATGAGAAGATGATCACTAGCCGCTCGTTAAGTAGGTATGTCTAGGCTGGTCTCGAATCTCTAGCGATGTGTTTGTTGACGGAAGCCTGGTTATTTTGGCAAAACTGTGATACTCTGTGAACTTTGACGTCAAGGACTGGTATATGTCTGCTGCGTTTCGTAGTTTTTTGTGAATCTTGATATAGACTTTACCTTTGGCACCTAAACGATCATGCAATTTTGATGGATTGCCAAGTTTTACACATCCGTTGGTTACATCTATTGTGCGAGTTTAAGTTATATTAGTTTTCATCATACAGCCTTCTTAGTTTATACAAATTATACATACAGCTTAGTAATCGCTCTTATAAATAGGAGGCTGTTGCATCCGTATTTGATGGCATGCAACCCAGTCCTTTTTTACATCAACAGGCGATCAGTAACCTGTTCCTTCGATATATCATGTTTGGTTTACCCACAAAAATTCTGACTTTTACTTTAACCAATCTCAAGAAAATATACAGAACAATATACAATTCAGAAATACTGAAAAAATGTCAAGAGTTTATAAAGATATCGACTTAAATACAAAGAACTTCGCAAATGAAACTACACCAGTTGCCAGTGGCGTGTAAACGCTAATAAGCTGAGCCCTATAGAGGAAGAAATAATATTTTCTTTCTGGAGAATGTTTAAGCAGACCACTGATGTAACTAATGTCATTTTTTTAACATTCAATTTCTGCTACCAACATTCGCGAATGCGAATATTCAGTTTTTGTTCTGGCGCCAATTGTGTATGGCAGTCTCGTTCCGTTTGTATTTCAAACTGAAGTCGAAGACACACAAATAAATAAACGAGTATCTCTGAAAGAAACAATGAATTTACTAATAGATGCAAATTTTAATCCGTAAAACTACCACATACTACTCAAGAGAGAAACGCGTGGCAAATGACGTCGACCCTTAACTTGGTGGAAAGTGAACAAGGAAAGATACAGTAAGTATTCTGTTTCCTGTAGTTCGGCATTATTTCGTTACACCACCAGTGTCCCGAGCAAGCGCATGTTTAGTGGCGCTGGACTT